CCAAGCCAGCCTTGACTGCTTCCTTCTGCACTCCCAGTGCCTCCAAGCCAGCCTTGACTGAAAGTGCCTAGTCTCTTTGACTCTATCTGGAGAGATCAGCCTCTCTCCTACCTGCTTCCTGGGAGGAAGCCAGCAATCCCTCTCCTTTTCCTGCCTAGCCGGGAGGGGTTTATTCCCACTGCAATAGCTCATTAACTGCAGCTGAGCAGTGGGTTGGAGACGGTCCAAAAAACCCTGGCCTGGATCTATGTCTCCCCAGAACACCACTAAACTGTGGAGTGGAGCATTGGCCCACCCTTCTCTCCAAATGCTCCACCCCAGGGGCCCATAACTAAACAGTGTTTTGTGTTGCACAACACATCCTACACATACTCCCCCTGGGGTTAAAAGGCCTATCTGCCTTCACTTTATCACATATCCTCCTCCCCAGCTCAGACCCATCGGGTCGAGCGGCCTTAGAACACATACCGTGAACATTCACGTCACCTAGGGCTGTACCAGCCCTGACTAGCTTCACAGTTATAGGAAGTGGCCTATTGTGGATGGCGGCTACCTTGCTCCCTTGTATTTTAAGGAGCCCCCACCCAAGTGGATAACCCAAATAGTTATCAAATCCCAGATAACACGTAGCAGTGTTATCGGTCAAACCGGCAGCCTTTACCTTATTTACAACTAACCGGACCTTCATCAGGTGTGCTACCCAGTCCACCCTGTTAAACACCACATCAAGGTAGGCAGCTGCATACTCTGGCTGGAACAGAACACTTTTCATCAAAGTAACCTCACTCCCTGAATCTATCAGTGCTTGTGCACTCTTCCCTTCCACCATCACCACTTTTAGCTGTGCTGTAACACCACCACCACCAGTCACCATACACATCTTTAAGCAAGTCAATACTATCCTATGCAGAGCCCTTATTCCTACGTCACATTGTATTGTCTCTTTACTCTCAGGACAGCTATATGTAATATGTCCATGCATGCGGCAGTTGAAGCAGTTTTTCTCAGTCTGGTCTCGTAGCCAAAATAGGACTTTTAGGTACGTTCTACCATCATAGGTATATTGTCCCAGACTTTGTCCTTGCTTTCCAGTTTCCCCGCTTATCTGGTTGCTAGCGGATCTAGGCTGAGGATCAGTACTGTGTGGCTCCTTAGTAGCCAAGTTCCTCTGAATCATCATCTGCTTCCACATCCATAGCAGCTTCTGATTTGATAATCTCTCAACGTTAGAGTAACTTTCAAAAGCAAACTTTGCAAAGGCTTGGCGTGTAGCTATACGTCCAATTCCTTCATGAGCTGAATTTTCCAGGTGCTCAACCTCTTCAAGACCTGGTTCTGTCACCAGCTCATCCTTCACTGGAACAAGTCCCTCAGCGAAGGGCTCCACAACATCCTCCATCTGTTCTGCGAATCCCTGGGAACCTGCCTTGCTCCCTATGGGGTTGTCCAGAGACGCAGTCATGGCCTCTCGCTGGGTCATTACAGCCCTGGTATCAAACAGCCGGTCAGGCATTCCGAGTCCCGCCTTTAATTCCATGACTGTGTTCCCAGAATCTGGCAGCAGTTCCCGGTAGTCAGTGCGCCCAGGCTTTGTAGCAGTAGTCTTTGCCAGCAGATCTAGTTCTACGGCTCCCGGAAATCATTCAAATTCTTTGTAACAATACCAGGTGTCTCTGCTACTAAACAGCGCACCACATTGTTATACTCAACTGGAGTGCTTTGCTTCTCTTCATTTTGCTCAGCTCCTTTGCGGTTGTCTTCTCTGACTCCCCAAGTCAGTCTGCTTTTCATGACTTTAACTTGTTCACTTGGGTGAACATCAGCGGCTTCTGCTTCACTTATTACACAAACCGGCTTGACACTGCTGGCCTCAGCCACAGTCTTTTTTTCTCCTTTCTGATTCTTCTGACCTTTCTTACTTTGGCGCATGTCATCAGTGTCGCCATCACTGCCTCTTGGCAATTCCGCTTTTTCCTTCAGCTTTGCTGGACTCTTTACTAACTTTTTTCTTTTTGTTCCTTTGAGGATCCAGCTGGCTTTTCACCCTCTTCCATTTTATCACTTCTTTCAGGCTCAATTTCATCCTTCTTGCCTTTTAATTCCTGTTCTTTCTCTCCTGCGTGTTTCTCAACAGCACGCTTTGCTGCCTCCATGCTTTTCAGCTTGCTGAAGACTTCTTCTACTGCCTCTGTCATCCCATGCAGGATGTCAGTAGCTTGGTTACAGGGTCCCTTGTCCCCACGCTCCCTGCAGGGGGCAATCTGCAAAACCTCAGTAAGGGCAGCTCTATGCTCCTGCTGAGCGTCCCTCAGGTTCTTAACCTATGCAGCCAGCAAACTGTTTGTGCCTTGTTGTTTAGCGGTTGCCTGTACCACAGCTCTCAGCAGGTCCTCCATTATAGCACCAAGTGGGTAACAGTCTTAAAGGTACAGTGCTACTCGTTTGCTTAGCAGGTCTGCCAAAATAAAAGTCCTCAAGCAGACTACCAAATGACTGGCACACCCACAGACCCTCACTGTGCTACTTTGCCCGCATTCTCCACCATATTGTGATCCTTGTTTGCAGGTAGCACGGCCCTCTAGGGTAAAAACATGCACAGTCCTTGTAGTTGCAAATACTCCAGGCACTTTATTTGTAAGTTCACACAGGATACAGCAGTTAAATGAAAACATAAATGTAACAGAAAACCCTATAAACAAAAACCTAGCTCGTCTGAGCACTAACTGACATAAGTTTCCCTATCTCTCAGGGTTAAACTAAACAATATTGCACCAAACTTTTAGATAGCAACACTCTGCTAGCTAGCCTGTTGCTTTCCTTTCTGCACTCCCAGTGCTCCAAGCCAGCCTTGCCCTGACTGCTTTCCTTTCTGCACTCCCAGTGCTCCAAGCCAGCCTTGCCTGACTGCTTTCCTTTCCGCACTCCCAGTGCCTCCAAGCCAGCCTTGACTGCTTCCTTCTGCACTCCCAGTGCCTCCAAGCCAGCCTTGACTGCTTCCTTCTGCACTCCCAGTGCTCCAAGCCAGCCTTGACTGCTTCCTTTCTGCACTCCCAGTGCCTAGTCTCTTTGACTCTATCTGGAGAGATCAGCCTCTCTCCTACCTGCTTCCTGGGAGGAAGCCAGCAATCCCTCTCCTTTTCCTGCCTAGCCGGGAGGGGTTTATTCCCACTGCAACAGCTCATTAACTGCAGCTGAGCAGTGGGTTGGAGACGGTCCAAAAAACCCTGGCCTGGATCTATGTCTCCCCAGAACACCACTAAACTGTGGAGTGGAGCATTGGCCCACCCTTCTCTCCAAATGCTCCACCCCAGGGGCCCATAACTAAACAGTGTTTTGTGTTGCCTACAACACATCCTACACATACTCCCCCTGGGGTTAAAAGGCCTATCTGCCTTCACTTTATCACAGGTTCCTCACAATAGGTTAGTCTTCAAACTAAAAGAAAATGGTCTAGATGATTATTCTTGTTCTTGGGTAGAACATTGGGTTAAGGGTAGAGTACATGAGTTGTCATAAATTTTCAGGCTGGACAAAAGTGGTAAGTGGTGTCCCTCAGGGTTCTGTTTTGGGACCGCTTCTATTCAACATATTTATAAATTATCTTGAAATAGGCATTGAAAGCCATGTTTCAGTGTTTGCAGATGACACAAAACTTTGTAAAGTAATAAAATGTGAGCAGGATATTGCTGGGGGACTGGGCACTAAAATGGCAGATTAAATTTAACGCAGAGAAATGTAAAGTTATGCACTTCGGGTTCAGGAATGCACAAGCAACTTACACCCTAAATGGTAGTGAATTAAGGTTAACCACACACGAAAAGGATTTGGGAATTGTTATAGACAACAAATTAGGCAGCAATATGCAATGTCAATCTGCAGTTGCTAAGGCCAGTAAGGTTTTGTCATGTATAAATAGGGGCATAAATTCTTGGGATGAAAATATAATTTTGCCTCTTTATAAATCGCTGGTAAGACCACACCTTGAATATGCTGTGCAATTTTGGGCACCTGTTCTAATAAAGGATATCATGGCACTAGAAAAAGTGCAGAGACGAGCTACAAAATTGATAAAAGGAATGGAGCATTAAAAAATTTGAATCTCTTTAGTTTGGAAATACTGCACCTCAGAGGGGATATGATAACATTATACAAATATATTCGGGGCCATTACAAACCATTATCTGGAAATCTATTCATAAACAGGGCTATACATAAGACACAAGGTCACACATTTAGGCTGGAAGAAAGGAGATTTAATCTAAGGCAAAGAAAAGGTATTGTTTTACAGTAAGAGCAAGGATATTGAATTCTCTGCTGAAGAGGTGGTTTTATCAGAGTCCATATAGATGTTTAAACTGCAATTGGATAAATACTTACAAAAACAAAACATACAGGGATATAATTTCTAATTAGTGAGGTAATAGCTGCTTGATCCAATGAGACATCTGACTGCTATTTTGGGGTCAAGAAGGAATTTTTTCCTAGTTTGTTGCAAAATTGGAAGCACTTCAGACTGGGTTTTTTGCCTTCTTTTGGATCAACAGCAAAAACATATGTGAGGAAGGCTGAACTTGATGGACTCAAGTCTCTTTTCAGCTATGTAACCATGTAACTATGTAACTTCTTGGGCCCTCAGCTCAGGGCATGGTTGATGTTCCAGTGGTTGTGTGATGGGGGTGAGAGATCTGTTAGAGATGCACCCCCAGAACTCCTGGCAGAGTTGGTCAAATCGGGCCTCGAAGCCTTCCCTCCATTTCAGGCTGTCAGCATCTTTCTGGGCCTGTAGGGTCCATTTTGGGCTCCAGCCCAGCGGGAGAGTCGGAGGATGCAGACAGGTGGGATTCCCCAGCGGGGACCGGGATATCCCCCACCGGTCCAGAGGGGGGGTTGCGGGGCACCAGGGCTGTTGATGAGCGATGCACACCTGGCGCCGGGAGATCGTCCGCCTTCCCCGACTGCCAGGCCATCACCCCCTTCAGGCCTAATGACCAGATGGCGCGATGGCACGGCTATGCAGTGTCTTTCACGAATGCTGGAGCTACCGGTCGGTGTTGCTGCGGGTTTGTGCTCAGGTAAGGCTATTTGTAGCTTGTTAGCAGGCAAAAAATGATTTTTTTTCAGCCTAATTGTGCATGAGCCGAGCTGAAACATCTTGGCTCCCAGGCCCCGCCCCCTAGATATTTTATTTGGCTTCTTTATTAAAAGCCTTATTCACAAAGTTAATCAATACCTGAGTCCGACGCAGTTTTGTCTTGATTTTCCAAAGCTGGAAGTTGCTCTTTAACATCAAGTTTACCGCTCTTTTTGGTTTCAAATCAGACATTTTCAGGATTAGCTTACCTAGTTCCATTACATAAAGCAAGCTGCATAAATGTCACACCCCTGGTTTTGGCACCATTGTTTGACACCACTTCTTTTCCCATGCAGTATGGAATACCATTGAAAGTTTTCCTCTAGGCAATAGTACCAGTTATTTTTTCCACCACACCAAAATCTACTATCTTGATGTCTCTGCTGGTCTTCAGTGGGATTCTTGTCATAGCTTTTCCCAGCAGAGACAGACAGCACTGAAAGCCACAATATTGTTGTAAGAAAGCAGCGAACAGCTGTTGTATTTGCAAAGTCCTATCCTTTACATATCGACATACATATTGGTACCCATTCAGTTGATAAACTCAGTCTTCCACTATCTAAGCTGTTCAGAGTTTAAGAGAACCCTGTGTGTCTTTGCTGATCATTCTCAGTCAGTGTGTGTGTGTCAGTGAGCTTGTCTGTAGTGAGCATGTGTGTGATAGTGAGCCTTTCTGTAGCAAGCTCTTGTGTGTCAGTGATTTTGTTTGTAGTGAGCATGTGTGGGTGTCAGTGAGCTTGTATTTACTGAGTATATGTGTGACAGTGAGCTTGTCTGTTGTGCGCATGTTTGTGTCAGTGAGTTTGTCTGTAGTGAGCATGTGTGTGTGAATGACAGTAAGCTTGTCTGTAGTAAGCTTCTGTTTGTATACTAATGACTTTGTCTGTAGTAAGCTTGTGTGTGTCAGAGTTTGTCTGTAGTAAATTTGTGTGTGTGTACCAGTAAGCTTGTCTGTGTGTGTCAGTGAAATTGTCTATCAGTGAGCCTATTTGTGTGTATCAGTGAGCTTGTGTTTTATGTCAGTGAGCTTTTATATATCAATGAGATTGTCTGTCTGTGAGCCTGTGTATCAATGAGCTTGTGTCAGTGAGATTGTCTATGTCTGCATGTAAGTATGCTTATTGTATGATTTATTTATTTTTACCCTGAAAGGACCAATATTTTGAATTAGAAAAAAAAAATACCAAAAATATATAACAAAGCATTATTTTTTAAATTGGATGACCAAAAATGCTGTTATGGATTGAAAAGAATTGTGCGTGTGTATGTATATATATAAATGTAAGCTAATACAGATTGGGTTGGAACCTGTCTGGCTGTGGTTACAGCTTTAGGCAGATGGTAACCGATAGGGGCTCCCAGGACTATGCAGGCATGGTGAGAGGTGGGAGCCGTGTTATCTCAGGGGAGGGGGAAATCTAAAACACTAACCAGAGAAACGCGCCACCTCTGGCTCTCACTGACCAACTGACTGCACCCTCATCCCGACCATTCACAGCTCCCGGCTCCCAGTCACAGCGTCATCATAGCAACTGACTGATTAACCATTACCAAACCAACTGACTGATTAACCCTTACCCAGCTAACAGTCTGATTAACCATTACAAGCCAACTGACTGATTAACCCTTAGCAAGCCAACTGACTGATTAACCCTTACCCACCCAGATGACTAATTAGCCCTTACCCACCCAACTGTCTGATTAACCCTTAACAAGCCAAAAGACTGACTAAGCCTTATCCAGGCAACTGACTGATTAACCCTTATCCACCCAGCTGTAGGATTAACCCTTACCAAGCCAACTGTCTGATTCACCCTCACCCAGCAAACTGAGTAAACCTTTCAACCTAACTGACTACTTCCTCCTAACATGCTGGCGTATTAACCTTTACCTGTTCAACAGGACAGCTCCCATTTAGCCACCTGAATGGTGACATTAACTTTTACTTATCCAATATAATTCACAATCTGATTTCTCTACTTGTTTATTAGAGCAATGTCTCATTAACCTTTAGACTAGCATGTTTACTTATTAACCCTTAAATAGCCAAGAATTAATTTTAACAACCTAACAGTTTTTCGAGTTACTAACCCATAGCTATTTAAATGAGAGTGACGTGCTAACAACTTGTTTATTGGCATTTCAGAAATCTGAAGCACTTCGGCACTTAGGCAATTCGGTTTGGTTCGGCACTTCAGAAATTCTGCAATTCGGCAACTCATCACTTCGGACATTCGGAAGCATCTGAATGTTCGAATAGCACAAAATTCATCCGAATGTATATTCGTAACGAAACAAATTGCACATGTCTACTGTCTACTTCAGAGATCATATATGGAGATGGAAGAAACTTGCAGCTGGACAACACTGCAACACTCCACTTAGAATTTGCTAAATATTAGATACTTGCAAACTATCTTCTCCGATGAAACAAAGATTAAACTGTCTGGATGAAACCAGTCATTGTTCATCACCTACATAATTGTATTCTAACAATGAATCATGTTGGTAGTATCATGTTTTTGGGATTCTTTTCAGTGGCAGGGACTGGGAGACTGGTCAAGGTTAAAATAGAGCTGAACACAGCAAAATACAGAGATATTCTTAATGAAATGCTGGTCCAGAGCGCTTAGGGCCACAGACTGGACTGAAGGCTCACCTTTTAACAGGATACTGGCCCTAAGCACACAGTCAAGACAACACAAGAGTGGCTTAAGATCATATCTGTAAATGTTTTTGAGTGACTTAACCAGAGCCCGGACTGTAATCCAATCAAACATCTCAGTCGATGGGCTGTCCACTGACGGTCCGCATCCAACTTAATAGAAACTACCCAAATCCAGATGAGCATCATACCCAACAAGACTTGAAGCTGTAATAGCTGCCAGAGCTGCTTCAATTAAGTGCTGAGTTAAGATTCTGAATACTTATGTCATTGTGATATTATAGTTTTTTTTCTAAAACAATAGAATAAATACTGCACCAGTCAACGAAATGACAATTCGAGATCAATCTAAAAAACACAAATAACATAACATGTGTATATGTAATGATAGACCCTATATGTAGAGTAAAACTCACAGGATTTAGAGCAGTCCCAGGCTCTATATAATATGCAGGAGGGTGCCTAAAAAGGCTAAAACGATATCCTTAAAGGACCACTATAGTGCCAGGAAAATATTCTCGTTTTCCTGGCACTATAGTGCCCTGAGGGTGCGCCCACCCTCAGGGTCCCCCTCCCGCCCGGCTCTGAAAGGGGGAAAAACTTACCTTTTTCCAGCTCTGGGCGGGGAGCTCTCCTCCTCCTTTCCGCCTCCAATCTGCCCCGTCGGCTGAATGCGCACGCGCGGAAAGAGCTGCGCGCGCATTCAGCCGGTCGCATAGGAAAGCATTATGAATGCTTTCCTATGGACGCTTGCGTGCTCTCACTGTGAGCGCCTCTGTGAGCGCCTCTAGCGGCTGTCAATGAGACAGCCACTAGAGGATTAGGGGGAAGGCTTAACCCATTCATAAACATAGCAGTTTCTCTGAAACTGCAATGTTTATAAAAGAATGGGTTAACCCTAGCTGGACCTGGCACCCAGACCACTTCATTAAGCTGAAGTGGTCTGGGTGCCTAGAGTGGTCCTTTAAGGAGAGCAGCACAGGATACAAAGTGCAGAATCCAAAATGTATTAAACAAATAAACAATTAAAACAGGGACAATAAGCAGTGTATAAATAGTAAAATATACTAGGCACAAAGCCTAAATAAAACACCGATAGCGCCAATACACCTTGATTTCTTTGTATAGGTTTTTTTCTGCCTAATATATTTGCAACTGGGTTAAAACTTAGTTTTTTGCTTTGTCATTATGGGTTATTGAGTGTAAACTGACGAGAAAAAAAAACCAATTTAAATAATTATCGCATATGGCGGCAACATAACATTTTGAAAAAAAGTGAAGGTGTTTGAATAGTTTCTAAATGTACTTTTAAAATTTATTTGAAATGTTTTTACTCACATACCATCCAGTGCTGGATTGTCTCCCTGCTGCAGCCATTCCTCTTCTTCTGAGATCATCTAGATCAGGCATAGGCAACTTTTGGCACTCCAGATGTTTTGGACTAAACCTCCCATGATGCTTTGCCAGAATTATGGGTGTAAGAGCATTATGGGGGATGTAGTCCACAACATCTGGAGTGCCGAAGGTTGCCTATCCCTGATCTAGATGAACTCTGGTCCAATCTAAAGCTTCTCATAGATGCATTGGGGAACTACTAAGAATAAGAGAAGCATTCTATCAAGAAAACCCACTGCAAAACCTGGGCCTACCTCACTTTTCCTTATACAGATGCTTCCCACTGGAGTTGTTCCCCGAATGTCCAGGCCTGCCCTGTCCTTCTGCAGCAAAGCAACTACAGTCCGAAGCCAACATGGAGAGATGGTCTCACAAACCCCAGGAGGCATCTCACAAAGATACCCAAGATGGCGGCCGAGCTCAACAAAGACACCAGCTCTACCTGCTCTGAATTGAACCTAGAGGGACCAGAGGCACCTAAACTACCACACTCACCTAACTTGTTACTGGCTGACAAGGATGATTTGGCACCAGCAACCAAATGTGACATTCACAACCTGCTTCAGGAAATGAGATGTCAATCCTGTTCAGACAGATCTGCAGGCAGTAACAGCACAAGTCCAGGCCTTGGAGGAAGACAAACTTGATATGCGACAAGAGATGAAGAGTATAGGGAAAGCCCTCAATCAAATGCAGACAACCTAAGCCGTGCTCCAAATGCAAATGGACACCATGGAAGACAGAAGCAGGCAGACTAACTTCAAAATTCAGGAAAGCCGGATGAGATCGTTCCGACAGAGTTACCACATTATTTGAGGAGACTCACCACTAAACTCCTTCTGAATGTCCAAGCCAAAATTATGGAATTTGATGGTCACTTTCGGATCATCAAATCCGGACAGGCACCCTCTACTGCGCCATGAGATGTGATCCTTAGGTGCCACTGTCTGATGGACAAACATTGCCTTATGGCAGCTGTGAGAGGTAAGACTCCATTAGAATTTGAGTCCTTCCAACTCACTTTCTATCAAGATATAACCAGAAGCAAATTACAATGGAGGAAGTCACTGAACCCGATCACCTGCCAACTGGGGGATGCTAGCATTGAAGACAGGTGGATAGCAGGGCCATAGCAGTTGTCCACAATGACGGCGTCCGGAAACTCACCTCCCTCTCTGAGGCTCCATCATTTCTTCAATCACTAGGTCTCCTGTTGCAGCCTACAACCACGGAAAACCTTTCTACTTCCCACACCTGTCCTGTTTATTCCCTAAGTCAGAACACGGAAAGCAGCAGTGACCTAAACAACCTACCAGCACTAGACATTAGTTTGCCCTTAAAGTTTATGATATAATACTTTATGTTATTGCTCATATTTAGTTAGACTTTTTAGTTTGATTTATCACCTCCTGTAATCCCCTAGATTAGGGGTTGTAACTTGACTTCAAAATCGGCATGTCCATGCTATAACGCACATCCTCCCGTTGGGGACAGAGAATGTATCACACCGGCCAAACCCCTATTACGTCTATGGTCCTTAAACCTCCAGCCAAAGCACTCACATCATGCTTGTAACCCATGTTTAGCCTCCCTGTGTCCACCTTACCAGAACCTATTCATTTGTTTCCCACACTGGAGGAGTGATGCACTAACATGTTCCAACAATTCTGGGCCAGAGCAACCAAAAGAACTTTATAAAAATGAAGTTGTTATGGTGCCAAAAGATCCCTGGAGGCACTCTTACTTTAAGAGGTTAAACTGTTTGAGAGTTGCCTCCAGCGGCAATGTCCACTCCTTCCTTGTAGCACCTGGCTTCTGAATTTTCAGATTCAAAAAGCGCAGAGTGCAGCTGAGCAGGGGTGCCACTGATTGGTCAGCTGACGCTCTCAGCCAATCAGTGACTCCCCATTCATTAAGCTGGCTTGAGAAAGGTACATTTCTTTCACAGCCAGTTTAGTAAATAGGGAGTCATTGATTGACTGAGAGCACCAGCTGACTGCACTCAGCCAATCAGCGGCACCCCTACCTGGCGGCACTCTGTGCCACATGAATTGGAAAAAGTGGTCTTTTAAATAAATATATATTTATAATTTAGTTGTTTTTTTTTAAAATTAAATAAACATATATTTGCCTGCATCTGCCCCCCCACAATACAGGCCTGTAACAGTCCCAACACTGTCACATACTTAACCCATCACACACACTGCTTCCTTTCACACACACACACACACACACACTGCACAACTCACACACACAGTGCATCCCTCACACATATACACATATTGTACCCCTCACATACACATTGCACCCCTCACATACTGCATCCCTACACACTACATTACAGACACACAAGACATCCCTTATACACACTACAGCACTTACACACTACATTACAGACACACACACACTACATCCCTTATACACACTCTGAATCCCCTACACCCACAATAGATACCTTATAGAAACACACTGCACCACCTACACGCACTCTACATTCCTAACATACACACTCTGGATCCCCTATGCACACACTAAGTCCCCTGTACGCAAACACACAAACTATATTCCCAAAACATACACTCTCTACAGCTCCTACACATACGACTTCAACTACACACACATTCAGTACAGCCAGTATGCACACACTCAATACATCCCCTATACACATTGCTTCCTTTACACTCTCTCATTCTCTTCAGTCCCTAGTAACATATATTACACCACAAAAACAACACAACGGAAAGCAAACTTTTTACACAAAACACAACACCACAATCATCACACTCTAAACACATGAAATTCCACAAGCAGCCTCTAAACACTTGCACAGTATGCTTTCCTGGGCCTTTTGTCCTATAGTATACCACTTATGGAGACACCAGAGACAAATCACAAGCACACACAGCGTGTGATTAAATTTGCTTCTGTTGTGCAGAACAAATACAGGGCCTTTATCTCATGCAAGAGCTCATCAATGGGGCTCTGCGCATGGGCTGCCCTGGAAGAGTATTGACTTCACTTTGAGAAGGGGCATGCTTGTCATTGGTGATGAGAAAACACCCCCTCTCTAGCCCCGCTCCCTTCTCGCTGGGCCGCTGTCATTAAAAATGCCCAGGCCAATTTCTTTTCCCAGCCCGGACCTGGTCAGACAGAGGTTGTCCCTTGTTTTGCCAACGATGCCAGATACCATAACCACGTTCCCTTACTGCTTTATGTACAAAGCACAATTCTAAAGGTAAAGCAGCCTGTGCAGGATTACATTGTGTTACAGTAAATAAGTCAGGAACAATGGTTGATGATTTACCCCCTGCAGTGTAAGCACACCCTCTGTACATAACTAGGAAGTCAGAGTGGGGTCTGTTAATTGCTTTCATTGTTCCCCCCTCCCCTTCTGGAATGACCTGTACCTGATGTCTTTTGTTAATTAGTGTTTGAGATTTTTTTTAACATTACCTGCGGTTTATTGTACCTGTAATTGAATTACCTGTTTTAAATTAGGCTCACTATTGTTTGAGATTTAACTTAGTATAATTGATTTAATTTTTCCCCTGGGCCAGTGGCAGAACTACCGCCAGCTCAGGTGGCCCGTCGGGTCGCCCATGCACTTAGGGCAACCCAATGAGCATTCTTTATTTTTTGCTAAACTGGGGCCCGGTTGGGTGCCCTTTAAGACCGCGACCGGTCCCCTTTGATACCTACTGGTTGGGAGGAAGGGACAGCAGATCACTTCCTCCCAGCTTCTTACTGAAAGACTGCTTGGGAAGAAAGCGAGGAGGTGGCGGAGGAGGAGGCACAGGCAGCATTGGAGGAGACAGACAGGAGCTATCTAGACAACTACACCCGCTCCCCTCAGCCAGCAGAAGCAAGACTCCAAACAAGCCAAGATATGTTAACAGTTGGGTGGCTGCAAATGTAAAAATTAACATTTATGTGTTTATGTCAGATTGTGTGTGTGTATCTATGTCACTGTGTGTGTGTATCTGTGTCACAGTGTGTGTGTGCATCTATGTCTCAGTGTGTGTCTGAGTGTGTGTGTGTGTGTGTGTATCTGTGTCACGGTGTTTGTCTGTGCGCCAAGGTATATTTCAATGTGTGTATATGTGTCAGATTGTGTGCATGTGTCAGTGTATTTCTTTGTGTATGTGTTTATATGTGTGTCAGTGTGTTTATATGTGTATCTGTGTGTTAATGTGTATGTATATCTGAGTAAGTATGTTCATTGTGTGTATCAGGTTGTGCATCTGTGCATGTGTGTGTGCATCTGTGTGTCAGGCTGTATGTGTGTGTCAGTGTGAGTGTATCTGTGTATTTGGGTGTTTGTGTATATGTCAGTGTGTATCTGTGTGCCAGGGTATGTGCATGTGTCAAGGTGTGTGTACAGTATGTGTAAGTATGTATATGAATTTGTGTGTATGTGTCAGTGTGTATGTGTCAGTGTGTTTATATGTATGTATCTGTGTGTTAATGTGTATGTATATCTGTGTAAGTGTGTATGTATGTGGCAGTGTATGTGTATGTTCATATATCCAAGCAATTAAACACTAACACAACATGCAAACACAGTCCAGCAATCTAACACAAAGATTACATACAAACACACCCCTTAACCTCAAAAATTATAAACAAACACACTCCGTCACATACTACAAACAAATGTACAACCACATTTAAAAGTCAACATTACATCCAAACACACCCCTGCAATTTATGCAAAGATTACATACAAACACACACCTGTATTAAGACACTTAAGTTATGTTCAAGCACCCCTTCAATTAAACACCAACACTATTCACAAAAGCACACTTTCATTTAAAAGCCAACACTACATACAAATACACCCCTGCATTCAAACGCAAACACAACACACAAGTATACCACTGCATTCCAATTACAGCAGTACATACAAATACAGGGAGTGCAGAATTATTAGGCAAATTAGTATTTTGACCACATCATCCTCTTTATGCATGTTGTCTTACTCCAAGCTGTATAGGCTCGAAAGCCTACTACCAATTAAGCATATTAGGTGATGTGCATCTCTGTAATGAGAAGGGGTGTGGTCTAATGACATCAACACTCTATATCAGGTGTGCATAATTATTAGGCAACTTCCTTTCCTTTGGCAAAATGGGTCAAAAGAAGGACTTGACAGGCTCAGAAAAGTCAAAAATAGTGAGATATCTTGCAGAGGGATGCAGCACTCTTAAAATTGCAAAGCTTCTGAAGCGTGATCATCGAACAATCAAGCGTTTCATTCAAAATAGTCAACAGGGTCGCAAGAAGCGTGTGGAAAAACCAAGGCGCAAAATAACTGCCCATGAACTGAGAAAAGTCAAGCGTGCAGCTGCCACGATGCCACTTGCCACCAGTTTGGCCATATTTCAGAACTGCAACATCACTGGAGTGCCCAAAAGCACAAGGTGTGCAATACTCAGAGACATGGCCAAGGTAAGAAAGGCTGAAAGACGACCACCACTGAACAAGACACACAAGCTGAAACGTCAAGACTGGGCCAAGAAATATCTCAAGACTGATTTTTCTAAGGTTTTATGGACTGATGAAATGAGAGTGAGTCTTGATGGGCCAGATGGATGGGCCCGTGGCTGGATTGGTAAAGGGCAGAGAGCTCCAGTCCGACTCAGACGCCAGCAAGGTGGAGGTGGAGTACTGGTTTGGGCTGGTATCATCAAAGATGAGCTTGTGGGGCCTTTTCGGGTTGAGGATGGAGTCAAGCTCAACTCCCAGTCCTACTGCCAGTTCCTGGAAGACACCTTCTTCAAGCAGTGGTACAGGAAGAAGTCTGCATCCTTCAAGAAAAACATGATTTTCATGCAGGACAATGCTCCATCACACGCGTCCAAGTACTCCACAGCGTGGCTGGCAAGAAAGGGTATAAAAGAAGAAAATCTAATGACATGGCCTCCTTGTTCACCTGATCTGAACCCCATTGAGAACCTGTGGTCCATCATCAAATGTGAGATTTACAAGGAGGGAAAACAGTACACCTCTCTGAACAGTGTCTGGGAGGCTGTGGTTGCTGCTGCACGCAATGTTGATGGTGAACAGATCAAAACAATGACAGAATCCATGGATGGCAGGCTTTTGAGTGTCCTTGCAAAGAAAGGTGGCTATATTGGTCACTGATTTGTTTTTGTTTTGTTTTTGAATGTCAGAAATGTATATTTGTGAATGTTGAGATGTTATATTGGTTTCACTGGTAATAATAAATAATTGAAATGGGTATATATTTGTTTTTTGTTAAGTTGCCTAATAATTATGCACAGTAATAGTCACCTGCACACACAGATATCCCCCTAACATAGCTATAACTAAAAACAAACTAAAAACTACTTCCAAAAATATTCAGCTTTGATATTAATGAGTTTTTTGGGTTCATTGAGAACATGGTTGTTGTTCAATAATAAAATTAATCCTCAAAAATACAACTTGCCTAATAATTCTGCACTCCCTGTACACCCCTACATGCACACATATACTCTGTACAAAAATAAGCTTACATTCAAATGCACAAACACTGCTACAAATACAATCCTGCAAGGATGGGCAAATTGTAGATCCCCAGCTGGTATAGCTTATTTGGAGTTGCACGACAGATGGGGATCTACCTTTTGGCCACACTTGCACTATAGGGGGGCCCAAATAAATGTCTTGCACTAGTGCCCTCTCGACATTAGTTCTGCCACTGCCCTGGGCCTCTTGAGTCCCTGATAGGTAACTGTTGTTTATGTGTTATTTGGAGAACTGCTATATATTCTGTCTATGAACCAGAATAAAGTGTGTTTGTGATTTACCAAGAAGGAACTTGTGTGTCTCTTAAAGTATCCAGGTATGTCATCCACTTTAGAGTAGTTACTCATAAACAATTGCCCATGGACTAGATAGATAGAATATCCTATATTACCTGGAGCTATCAGTGCAGTATTCCCTGCATTGCTGGTGGATACACAAATCAAAGTACTGGGTATAGTGCAGGTTAGTGAAAGAAGCCCATGGACGACAACGCTAGGCTGACAGATATTCTTCTGGCTGGCCCCCAACCTACAAGACCATGCAGAGAGCATTTCTGAAGCACTCTCTCCATGGCCCTTGTGCTCCCCGCACAGTTAGAGTTGTATAATGTTGTGCTTGTACCGTACTACCCAAGGACAGCTCCCTGATGTCCCTGAATGCAGGGAACTAAATCGGGATGGCGGGACAAGACCTTGAAATCTGGATTGTCCTGCTGAAAGCTAACAGTTGGGAGGCCTGCGCCCCCCTATTTTTTTTATCAGGCAGTTTTGTAAACAGTTTGAAAAAGTGGAGATCTCTCCTACAATTTGGCCAACGTGAAAGTACACTTCTACGTTTTTCTTTACAACTATGGGCAGCAGTGATAGCAGTGTGTGTGTGTGTGTGTGTTTTGGGGAGGTGTTAATGAACCTAGTTATATAATTTCCACTACATTTTGACAGGCTTATGTGTAACTGAAAGTCAGGTCCTGGCTGAGGGCACCTGGAGAGCCTCACCTCTCGTCAAACAATTATAAATTGGTTTGACACAAACCTGAGAGAGCCACGGATTCTTTGCACCATGAAAACTGTGGGACCATTGCAGCAAATTAATGCTGAACAGGACCACACTTTGGGTGGGGCAGCTTGGATCCAGCACTTGTGAATATGAATGTGAGAGACTATGTAACTTGAAGGATGGACAATACTTGGGTGAGGGGCAAGTGCAGCATGTAAGTAGGAGGAGAGGGAGGGATTTCAGCTTATCTAAGTTAGTGTGAGTATTAGTGTGTCACCTTATGGATGTGGGCTAATTTGTGTCTGTATTAGTGTAAGTCTGTGTATGAGTGTCAGTGTGTATGTGAGCTAGTGTGTGTCTATGTATATGTCACGGTAATGAATATCCCATCATGCAGTAGTAGAACCCATACTATCCTAGAATACAGAAAGGATAGAGGCGTGTTACTGATTCTTAGAGTAGCTGAACGGAAAGCACCCTAGAGAGTTAATAGCAAAGGAATAACCAGAGACAAGCCAAGGTCGAGGGATCCCAGAAGACGGTCAGAATGATAAGTGAAGCTGGGCCAGAGATGCCAGAAATCAGAATAGCCAGAAATAAGTTACATTAAAAGTCAAAAAAGCCAAAACACTATAAATACACCATCGGAACACTAAGGAACCACAACAGTGCCATGTGCTCCAGGGATTGTAGGTTTTATATAGTGATTAGGGCTACAATAGCATCTTGCATCATTCAATGTGCCCAGAACGTGTGTGTACCCAGTTGCGGAAATGACGCTGGTCGCACTGTGTCCTTAGCCAGGGTGACCAGATCCACCATGTTTACCGGGACACATATCATATATACATATTTATGGGCAGCACATGAACAGGGTAGCCCTGTAGTATGTATAATTCAAAAGAAGGTGTGTTAGATTAATCAATTAGCCAGTGAAGAATCCTACAGAATATGCATTATACATACTGCAGGGCAATGCTTTTCATGCAATTTCATAAATATGACCAAATGATATGTCTTAGTAAACATGGAGGATCTGGTCACCCTGCCTTAGACTGATGCAGGGTATTGGAGGTTTTAGAGAACATGAGTGTCCAACCTATTGCTACTAAAATGGAGTGTGAGTGAAAAAGTGTAGTCGTCAGCGTGTGTCTAAGATGGCGTGCTAGCATGTAGAGTGTGTGTATGCATGTCTGTATATATCTATGTATTGTATATCCATGTGTGTCTGTGTTTATGCCTGTAAAAGTGTTAAAATGTTTCTATGCGTGTCTTTATTCTAAATGTCTGATGATATTGCTAAGTAGGTCAGGGTGTGTAACAAGTTGTGTATGTGTTTTAATGACCTATGAATGAGTGTATGTGGCTAATTAGTTGCATGGGCATGGGTAAAACTGTATGTAGTTTTATAACATGTTTATAAGTGCATGTGTGGTTAATTATATATGTGTGGGAGGTGAGACCCAGCTTATTTCTATTTACTAAAGTGAGAATTATTGGGAATTCAAAGTGAAATTAAAATGAATTTCAAATTTATAGGAACACCCCACTGTCCAAATACAACATGAATTTTAAAAAAATCACTGTTTAATAGATACACCTCCAATGAAAATATGCCTGCATTCAATTATGCATTTTCCATTGGGATATTTACAGGTGATACTCGAAAAATTAGAATATCGTGCAAAAGTTAATTTATTTCAGAAATGCAACGTAAAAGGGGAAACCAATATATGAGATAGATGCATTACATGCAAAGCAAGATAGTTCAAGCCGTGATTTGTCATAAGTGCGATGATTATGGTTTACAGCTCATGAAAAACCCAAATCCACAATATCAGTAAATTAGAATATTACATGCAGTAAAACAAGGAGTGTACATAGAACAATATTGGACCTCTGAAAAGTATAAGCATGCATATGGACTCAGTACTTGATTTGGGCCCCTTTTGCAGCAATTACTGCCTCAATGCGGTGTGGCATGGAAGCTATCCGCCTGTGGCACTGCTGAGGTGTTATGGAAGACCAGGATGCTTCAATAGCGACCATCAGCTCTTCTGCATTGTTCGGTCTCATGTCTCTCATCTTTCTCTTGGCAATGCCCCATAGATTCTCTATGGGGTTCAGGTCAGGCGAGTTTGCTGGCCAATCAAGCACAGTAATCCCACGGTCATTGAACCAGGCTTTGGTGCTTTTGGCAGTGTGGGCAGGTGCCAAGTCCTGCTGGAAAATGAAGTCAGCATCCCCATAAAGCTTGTCTGCGGAAGGAAGCATGAAGTGCTCCAAAATCTCCTGGTAGACGGCTGCATTGACCCTGGACTTAATGAAGCACAGTGGACTAACACCAGCAGACATGACATGGCTCCCCAAATCAACACAGACTGTGGAAACTTCACACTGGAATTCAAGCATCTTGCTGCGTGTGCCTCTCCATTCTTCCTCCAGACTCTGGGTCCTTGGTTTCCAAATGAGATGCAAAAGTTGATCTCATCAGAAAAGAGGACTTTGGACCACTGAGAAACAGACCAGGTCTGTTTTTCTTTAGCTCAGGTAAGATGTTTCTGACGTTGTTTGTAGTTCAGGAGCGGCTTCACAAGAGGAATACGACATGTGAAGCCCATGTCCAGGATCCGTCTGTGTGTGGGGGCTCTTGATGCACTGACTCCAGCCTCAGTCCACTCCTTGTGAAAGTCCCCAACACATTTGAATGGCCTTTTCCTGACAATCCTCTCAAGGCTGCGGTCATCCCTGCTGCTTGTGCACCTTTTTCTTCCACACTTTTCCCTTCCACATAACTTTCTATTAATGTGCTTTGATACAGCACTTTGGGAACATCCAACTTCCTTCGCAATTACCTTTTGAGGCTTTCCCTCCTTATGGAGAGTGTCAATGTTGGTTTTCTGCACAACTGTCAGGTCAGCAGTCTTCCCCATGATTGTGATTCCTACTATTCAACCAGACTGAGAGACCATTTAAAGGCTCAGAAACATTTTGCTGGTGTTATGGCTTACGTAGCTGATAAGAGTGGGACACTGTGAGACTAGAATATTGCTCCTTTTCACAATATTCTAATTTACTGAGATTGTGGATTTGGGGTTTTCATGAGCTGTAAGTCATAATCATCGCACTTATGACAAATCACGGCTTGAACTATCTTGCTTTGCTTGTAATGCATCTATCTCATATATTGGTTTCCCCTTTTACGTTGCATTACTGAAATAAATGAACTTTTGCACGATATTCTAATTTTTCGAGTATCACCTGTAAAAACAGGTTGTAAAAGCTGCAGATCTCTTGTCTGAAGCCTTTGCAAGAACAGCGCTCTGCTACACCAGTCACTGTATGTAGTGTGAATGAGCATGACAGTAATTGCTCACTGACAGAGCACTTCCTGTCAGACCAGGTACCATGGTCTGCTTGGCTATGGAGTCAGCAGGTACAAAGATCCCAGGGCAATTTTTGCATCAGGCCTTGTGGTTTTGTAGTTATGCCTCTGGTTTTGCTCCTGTGAACTAAACAACCAAGAAGTGATTGAGCCAGTTGTCTGCAAGGCTAATTTAATAAATAGGTCCTGTCTACTGGCCATGGGTGGTGGAAAGTAATCTGCACTTATGCCCTCACATGCCACATGAAATACCTCCCTTATACTAATTTGGGGGATATTATTGACCCCCATGGTTTTTTATTCATTTAATTATTTAACTTTAATAAGTCAAGCAGGAAGCCTGAGGAAGTCAGCAATGACAAAACTCATAGGGTGAGGAGTATCATGAGTATCAACTCTACTTGATCCGGTGACATTTTGTGTTTTGCTGTCAAATATTTTACATGAGTTATGTGCAAAAAATTGGCATTTCATTCATGTATTTTAGCGTCCTACGATATTGAATGCTTATTTGTTTACAGCCAATGCACTCACTGATTTCTAAGGAAGATTTGAGTCTGAAGAGCTTACAAGGGGAATTTGCTGCTATTTGAGTGGCCTTACAGCCATTTACATTGTGAGCAAACTGAATCCCACATTTACCTATATCACCTATTATTATTTATTTTATTATTATATATACAGTATAGTGCCAGCAAATTCCGTAGCGCTGCACAACGGGTATTTTTAAAGGCTGTGTTTACACGAGAATGCCTGCAGGGACTGACATTAAGCTGTAGTTGTTCTGGTGGTGACTATAGTGTCCTATACTGATTTTTGTCAATCCAACCAAATCCAGTATTTATTGAATAACCCCATGTCAGTTCCCCTGTCACTACAATTCTAGATTTAGAACTGCAGGAGCTGTTGTTGTAGTTCTCGCGGGAGCCGGAAGGGGTCGCTGTCTCCTATCCTCCATCCCTTCCCATACTCCTTTCTCGTTGATTGACAGCTGAGCGAGGGGGAGGGGCTAGAGAGGGGAAAAAAAATACACAGAGGAGAAAGACGGAGGAGAAAGGCGAAGAGTCGGAGAGCCCTGTCGCCTTTAATCCGTCGCCATCCTGCGCACCGACCGCCCATCCCGACCCCGGCATTATCCACAAGTTACCGCAAAAGAGCCCTCCACAAGACCAGGTCGGTAGTTGTAGCGGGGCGGCGCTCTGGGTCATTATATCCCGGGAAGAGGCGGGGGAGCTGGGGCTGGGTTAGGCCCAGGCCGCAGCTTTGTTCGGTCAGGCCCAGCAGCCATCTTCGGTGGGGTCTGTGCAGGAGGACACTACCCGGGGGGCGTCCTTGGGGTCTCCCTGCCTCCCTCCATGAGCCCCAGAAGGGATTGGGTATCACCGTGAGGCCTTCTCCATCCCCCTCCATAGGCCTGATCATCAGGGCAGGGGCCAGTGATGGAGGATGGGAGCACCCCATCCCCCTATATCCCAGTATCTTGCTGTAAACAGGGGGTGACAATAACAGGCTGGGGGGGGCTTTGTGATGGTGTATTGGGGGGTGGGGGCACCTTGGCCTGTGTGGGTGCTTCTCATAACCTCCTCATTTAGTAAATACCTACAATTCATCATTAATATCCAGTAAGGTGTACACAGAGCTAGGGTATTAAATTAGAACAGTAGGTTTTCTTTGGGGGAAAAAAAAGCATTTCATTACATTTTGTGTATGTGGCTTATTGCATTTTGATATTAAATAAAAACATGGTGGTTTGGTGAAAATTGGCGTGTGTATGTATGTATGTGTGTGTGTATATATATATATATATATATATCTTAAAATGGATTCCTAATGAATATAGTCCTTTTATAAATGTGTCACATTCTGTTTTGCTACATTCTAACAACATGGAGGCTGAAATCAGTGTGTGTGTGTATACCTCATCTGTGTTTTTTTTTTAGAATTCATTAATGCAGTCATTTATGTACATAGACAAAAGGGAAATGGTATGGAGAGAAACCTATTCCACCCCCATTCTTCATGAGCTTGTTTTGTGAATGCAGTTATTGCTCTAATATTACAGCTCCACCATTTCATACTTGAGTATGCACAGGATGATTGTGTTCTACTGCCTCATTACTATTACGGTGTATTTCTAAGGAACGCACTGTTCTCCCAAAACGTGTGTGTTTGGATGGGAAACTGGTGCATAAATAAATCACTGCTGACTAATGTTTTGAAGACGCCTCTAGGAGAGAAAGGGTTAGTGTCGTATTTACAATGTCTTTTGTACTTCCAGTATGTTAACTGCCCACACAACTTCCGATGTGTGTGTAAACGGAGTTTCTCGTGTGGATGTTTTTAATAGTGTAGTGTTTCAAAATAGGCATGTGCAGACATTTAAATCTGCTATTCCCATTTCCATCTTGTACAGTCCTATAGCAAAATGATTTTTTTGTGGCCTATGATTATATGTACTGGTCTCTTGTCATTTACCATTATTTCTAAGTTACTAAATTCAGTAAGCGTCACATCTTTGAAGGCTTAAGAATTCTTTTTAAGATACCTAGAACTACATGTATCATTTTGGTTTTATTGAAAGTCTGTCGATCTTGAGTAAGCATGACGTATGTGTCCTTTTGGTACTTTATGTATTGCAAATGAGTGCATTTGTTATTGGATGAACATTGTAGGGGTTGGAAGTAAAATGTTAGACTAATTTGAATTGCAGCCTTAGTATGATGAAATAATTTACTTTGCTAGTCAGAGCAGGAAATCCTGTCGGATTTCTCCAAATAAATATTTGATATCCGCTGTAGAAGAACCAAAGTTCTGCACCACCTTGTGTTTGACTGGACAACGATTTATCAAAAACAGCGATTCTTAACCTCTTTAGTAAGGGCCCAAACTTTGTAAATGTAATTTACCTATTGACCCATTCTTTAATTTCAAAACTACCTCGTTGACCCATTATTATTCAAATGTTATGTAATGTATACAAGATGCAGAAACCATACTTGCTTAATCTTGGTGAAGTGGATATGGTTCTCTAATACTGTCTCTGCTGTTAATTCGGGAGGGGGTGTGTGTGTGTCCGTGTCCCCCTCTCTCCCCCTTAATTCTGTCAGTAAGAAACCAGATATTGCCCTTCCTATCGCTCATACCAATACGTTGGCTGTGTTGACACGCATAGTAAGCTCATATAGATGGATGTGCAGGCACTCCTGCACCCCGGCACTAATCATCACTGACTTCCATAGCCTGTCCCAATGGAGGAGACTGTGAGTCTTGTTGTGACCAAAGCTGTGCTTGTCTATAAGATTGATTGGTATCCACGGTAACAGCACATGATCCCTATGTCCGAATTGCTTCTCTCCTTTTTTTTTTTTTTCTCTTTTCTTTTTTTTTTTTTTTGGCATAGGTCAAGTTAATGGGACAAATAATTATTCATAGAATATCACTTCAATTCCATGAAGAACCTTTTTTTTTATTATGCACTTCAGAGTGTCAAAGTCCTAGAGAAAGCAGTGCCACCAAAGCAGCATATTTTATTGTGGCCAGCTACCTGTAAACTGATTAATATGACGTGCTTGTTCTGACAATGGAATGCCCTTTAAAACAATGATCGTAACTAACTGGTTAGAGGCACCATAAACATCACAGCCGTTAAGATAGTTTTGGTTCTTGCAGATTTGCTACATCACCAGTTCTGCCTTAAACCATCTTCAAGTGGTTTGGCACAAGCGGAGGGTATCCTCGGTGTCCGGCTCAACCAATATTTATTTCTGCATTGACCATGTCGTTTTTGTCTATTTGGACAGCCTAAATTAGCTGACTTTGTCATCCACAACAGATCGTTGGTTGGTGTTAAACCACTCAGTTTGACACAGAACCCGTGAACAGTGACTAACCTGCTAGCACCATCACAGCTATTGATTGTAGTGGATATGGTGCTTCGAATGGCAATTTTAAAAGCCACTGAACTAAAACAATCAATTTTGGGTGAGATGTGTAGATCTAAATGTTTTTCCCTAAACATTTAGGCCCAAAACTGCAATATTGAAAACTTTCTCCAACTCTATAATGTTCCCAAGTCGGTTTTATTTATTTATTTATTTATTTATTTATTTTTTACTTTAAAGTGGAACAGTCCCCCCCACCTGTCCCTCCTCCCCCCCACAAAAAAATATAATTTATATAGTGCCAACAGATTCCATAGCGCTTTACAATATTACGTGAGGGAGGATTTAACTATAAATAGGACAATTACAAGAAAACTTACAGGAACAATAGTTTGAAGAGGGCCCTGCTCAAACGAGCTTACAGTCTATAGGTGGTGGGGTGTAAAACACATTAGGACAGGAAATGGCAATCTAAAGGTTGGGAGTGAAGCAGAGCTGGAGGAGAGAGTAAAGTGCTGCCTTTTAGAAGAGAGCAAGAGACAGGTATTTAAGGTACCCCTTAAAGTGGAGATTACACCATTGAATAAATCACCTATAATTCGTGTTCATTTTTATTTTTTCCATATGGTTTTAAGTTTTATTTTTTTCATTATTTTTGCAGTGCGGCTTAGTACAGACAAGCATTTATATGGAAAATGTAGTAGAGTAAAACAAAATAAGGTAGACAAGGCATAAGCTAAAACATTCAGACTGTGGATTGACGTCCTGACATGTTGATTTCAAGCAGAAATGATGAAACAAGCTAGGCTCACATGTCTTGGCAAAAAATATCGGTTAAGCTAGTAGACTATTTATCTATAAACGTAGTAGCATAATAGCAGCGTTAAACCAAATAAAATGATTTGTCGTTTGTGTGCCTCTGGGTTTACATTCGCCTAGGTCAGAGTCCCTGTCAGAGACTTATTTCCGTTGTCAGCCAGCTCTCAAAATTAGTCAGCCTATACCCTGGCTGGGCACCCATCTTCCACGTGTGTATTGTCCACTGTAGTGAGCCACGCAGCGGTTCAGAGGCGAAGCACTCCCCTGGCCTGTTTCAGAGCCTGCACCATGTTGCCACAAGCTTGGAGTCTCCCTGAGACCAAATTCTTCTTGTTCGGGAAATTGCAGAAAGCTTTACCCTGCTTGAGTAGGTGTCAGCATTTTGTTCTCCTCCACATGTGTGATCGGTGCGTTGGGAGTATTCCACCGGACGAGCCCTAAGTAAAGCATAGAGTAGGATGTTCTGCTACTCTTGAGGTCGGTTTGCCATTGGGGAGGTCTCTCGGGCTTCATCCCGCCACGTGTCTGCTCTCTCATCCTTGATAATTTTGCGGGGGGCGGGAAGCTTCATCCGTTTCATTAAGCTAGCCCAAAAGCAGTTAAAGGTTGCTTCCAGTCGTTTTTCAACGTGGTTGGCATGATGCAGCACCAGGTCCTGTGTCGCAGGTGCGTCCGCTATCTTGTTAGACACCACTCGGCACACTTTTTTTTTTTCCTGGACTCAATCTGTCGGTGGGTCGTTTAATAGATGAGAGGCCGTCCGCGTCTCCCGCCTGGTTGCAGGCTGCAGGAAGCCCTCCTCTCCAAGAGTACTCTGTCATCGGATTTTCAAACCAACATGTTGCACTTTCACTCCCAGGTCGAGGTAAGCCCGTGGCAAAAGGAATTAAGTGATTTGACTGTTTTGGCTTTTCCCTGCCTAACTTCTGCCGTTTTTCTCACTGAAAAATCCATTTCAGAAAGGTCCTCCATATTTAGAATGGCAAAACTTTTTTTCTTTTGGAGAAAGTGATGAAGATTGATAAAGTTGTTGCATCACCAAAAGAGATGTTGGCTGGAGCAGCAACAGAATTATAACAAAAATCTCAGATTGGAGACACCGTGTTCTAGCATGGATGTGTGGATTTCTATTTTTTTTTATTTATTTTTTTTCAGACTCCACTAAAACCTATATATCCTTCAATTTGGAGATTATGTAAACTGGATATAAAAAAAAAAAAAAAATAGATGTTAAAGCTTAACTTGACTGTGTAGTGAAAGAACCTTTTAAAGGATCACTATAGGGTCAGGAACACAAACATGTATTCCTGACCCTATAGTGTTAACACCACCATCTAGCCCCCCTGTACCCCTCATGCCTCCATAAATATAGCAAAATCTTACTGTATTCAAGCCTGAAGCTGTAGCTCTGCATGCTGTTAGACTCAGAAAAACAAGCAGTCTGCGGACGTCATCAGAAGTGGTAGCCTGATCCAATCACAGTGCTTCCCCATAGGATTGGCTGAGACTGACAGAGGCCGATTAGGAGCAGCAAAAAGCCTGAAGGTAATGATTCTACTCACCAGAGCAAATTCAATAAGCTGTAGTTCTGGTGACTACAGTGTCCCTTTAATCTTTGTCTGTTTCATAGTATATGTGGTTGGAATCATGTGCTTCTGCACAGGTTTAGAGTCACTCATGGGGTCGGACAGACTTTCTTAAATGTGGCCCCTGTTTTTTTACAGAGTTTATTCCTTCAATACGTTCGTTGAGGGATAGAGCAGGGTTTGACAAATTTTCTTTGAATCTAGGAGCCAGCTTAAAAAAGTTAGGAGCCAGCTCCTGGGATAGAGGGATCTCAATTTATCATTCCTGGCAAAATGTCAAATAGTGAGTGGTTGTTCAGCATTCAAAGAGTCAATGAAACATTTCTAATCTATGGCCATTGCTTTGTAAGGATCTGTTACTGGTTGTCTGCTCAAGCTCTTTTGCATACAGTAATCTTTTCTGCTTGGATTTCTGTAATTGGCTTCATTAGTTTATTTCAAATTTGCCTCTGTTTTGAGTTCTCTGTGAGGCCATGCAAAATCTACTTTCACAGTAAATAAATTACACCTTATAGTGAAATGGTCACATTAAAAGGCAAGCTAATAACACATTATAATAGCCTACTTAAAGTGAACCAGTCATGGCAGGTTTACTTCAGCAGATAAAAAGATCCCATGGCAGTAAATATATCACTTGTAGTGAACTTGGGGCTTTGAACACCTGTAGTGCTGTAAAGAGAAGTGTTTTTACTTGCTTCTGTTGCACTTCTCGCCCCCAGCAAGCACTTCAATTACCTTTAGGAGTGTCAACCCCTTAAGGACCAAACTTCTGGAATAAAAGGGAATCATGACATGTCACATATGTCATGTGTCCTTAAGGGGTTAAAGAATAAAGAACTGCCACTTTTTGAGATTTGTTTCAAATCCCCAGGATTTACTGCTTGTCCAGAGACCTGGGAATGGCATAATCGGTCAGCCTGAATCCTCCTCTGGCTTTCATTAGAACAACTGTATGAATTCCATAAACCTGTACAGTTGTTTATAACCTACATTCAGTGTTTAATTTAATGTTTGCTTTAAGAGTTCAGTCTTGGTTGTAATTGTGTCAGCAGACTAATAGAATCGGGTAAATATTGCCATCATTTATAATATGGTGTCAATGGAGATAATTATGGTGAATTTTATGTAAACTGGTTATTAGTTAAAGGTTTATTGGCTAAAAAGGAAAACTATCCTTCTGTGGAAATGATTTAAAGAGATTCTAAAGTGTTAGGAAAGACTATATTGGTATGTCATAATACACAATTTGGGGGACTTTATTTTACAGACAATATGTGGCAATGAGCAGGGTTTTCATCTCAACGTCTTGCAATCGACTAAAATTTTTAATCAGAAAAGTGCACCTATAAATCGTTGCACATAAGCAAAATCATCTATGGAAAATCCTGTGGTCTCAAGGAATAAATGCCTCCATTTTATACTCTTGTGTATGCTTCAGGGTGCCATAGCACTGAGAGATTCAAGCCACTACAAACTGAAAAAGATGGCTGTGCCAAGGGAATAAAACGCCAGTTAATAGATCTACCTTTCTCCAATAAGCCGAAAGTGACACTCTTTAAAGATATGCTTGGTTCTGCCTGATAGTTCGGGCAGGTTGATGACATTCTAAAAACTTATGTGAATGACCAGGACATAAATAAATGGTGGTGTCATTAGATACAATGTCAACACGTGTAGATCTTTTCCTGTAGACTTCCTCTTTGCAGTATTTTTGCATGGACAGGTTACAAAGCTGCCTTCCCACCCTTACAGTTTGTGTAAGGCTTGCTTGGCTGCTTATGCAACTGCTGTGCCAGTGGAATAACTATGAAGTCCTTGCATAACGTTAAATTGACACTAAAGAATAATATGGCCGTTACGTTCAACTAGAATTTTATATACATGCTCTTTCAGCCCGTGACCTCTTTTAAATCGTAAATTTGCCTTGAAGGAACACTCGACCCGTTCTAACAGCCACAGACATTGTCAAACTGTTTTGGATTCTGTTAGGTGTCTGTGTCCTTGCAGGACAATCCAGTTCGCACACATGAGGTAAGCAGAGCTGTGCATGGCCGCTCTGATTGGTTGAGAATGTCGGGTGAGAGCTTTCTGCCCATGAGTGTGGTTCTGTATGGAACTTCTTAGCTCAGTGATGACCTTCAGAAAAAGCTGAATGCAGTGTTAGCCCAGGTAAGTTGCTCTAAAACAGACCAATTACTCTAGGACAGTGCCAAGGCACTCAATCACCATAACCACTAGAGAGGACCTTAGTGGAAATGGTGATTGTAGTGTTCCTTTTAAATGGACAAATGCTCAACACCTTACATTTAATCCAGCTTTGGGGTGCTTTAATCCCTTTGTACACCTATGCAATCATCCATTCCATAAGAGTCCATGAAGAGGTTGACATAAATTTTCATAAATGAGGGGCCTGAGATGTAAAGTTAGTGGAGTATAGGTTCACAGCAGTGTTGCTGCCCTCGAAATACTATGTGCTATTTATTTTGTAGCTAGTTAACTTATTTGTAAATTGTTTGTGATGGGTACTATAACTTTTTATTACAGTTTCTAAAAATAAAATTTCCTGGATAATATTTGTCTCATTGAAGTGCAATAGTAGTTGTGGTTTTTTTGTTTTTGTTTTTTCCTTGTACCGATAAAGGGTGGGGGAGGGGGAAGCATCTGTTTTTTGTAAGTTCTGTGCTGGCTTTCATCTCGCTGTATTTACACTGAACAAAATTATAAACGCAACACTTCAAAGATCTAAGACTTTATCTATGTACACAAGGCCATTTCTCTCAAATATTGTTCACAAATCTGTCTAAATCTGTTAGTGAGCACTTCTCCTTGATAATCCATCCATCCATCTCACAGGTGTGGCATATCAAGACGCTGATTAGACAGCATGACTATTGCACAGGCTGGTCACAATAAAAGGCCACTCTAAAATGTGCAGTTTTACTGGGGTGAGGGGTTCCTGCCCATACTATAACGCCACTAGATCCACAACGTTGACCTCAGCAAACCGCTCACCCACACGACTCCATACATGCTGCCATATGCCCTCTACATCGAAAACTGTGATTCATCCGTTAAGAGAACACACACTTCAGTGTAAAGAATACACAAGCAACATGTACCCTTAATGGAAGCGAATTAGGGATTACAACACACGAAAAGGACTTGGGAATTGTAATAGACAACAAACTATGCACCAATGTGCAATGTTAATCAGCAGTGGCTAAGGCCAGTAAGGTATTGTCATGCATGGAAAAAGGGCATTCATTCTTGGGAAGAGAATATCAATTTGCCTCTTTATAAATCACAGGCAAGATCACATATTGAATATGCTGTGCAATTTTGGGCACCTGTTCTAAAGAAGGACATTATGGCACTAGAAAAATTGCAGAGACGGGCTACAAAATGTAATAAAAGGAATGGAACATACCAGCTATGAAGAAAGGTTAACAAATTTAAACCTATTTAGTTTAGAAAAACTTTGCCTGAGAGGGGATATGATAACATTATACAAATATATTCAGGGCCAATACAAACCATTGTGTGGAAATCTATTCACAAACCAGACTTTACATAGGACACGAGGCCATGCGTTTAGACTGGAAGAAAGAAGATTTCGTCTAAGGCAAAGGAAAGGTTTTTTTACTGTAAGAACAATCAGGATGTGGAATTCTCTGCCTGAAGAAGTGGTTTTATCAGAGTCCATACAGATGTTCAAACGGCTACTAGATGCATACTTGCAAGAACAGAATATTCAAGGATATAATCTTTCAATGTAGGGTAATAACTGCTTGATCCAAGGATAAATCTGACTGCCATTCTGGGGTCAAGAAGGATTTTTTTTCCTAGCTTGTTGCAAAATTGTGCTTCAAACTGGGTTTTTTTGCCTTCTTTTGAATCAACAGCAAAAAACAAATGTGAGGAAGGCTGAACTTGATGGACGCAAGTCTCTTTTCAGCTATATAACCTTTCCAAAGTGCCAGACTTCATCAAATGTGAGCATTTGCCCACTCAAGTTGGTTATGACAAATTGCAGTCAGGTCGAGACCCCGATGAGGACGACTAGCATGCATATGAGCTTCTCTGAGTCTGTTTCTGACAGTTTGTGCAGAAATTCTTTGGTTATGCAAACCGATTATTGCAGCAGCTGTTCAGGTGGCTGGTGTCAGGTGATTTTGGAGGTGATGCTGGTGTGGTTACAAGTGGTCTGCGGTTGTAAGGCTGGTTGGATGTACTGCCAAATTCTATGAAACGCCTTTTGGAGACGGCTTATGGTAGAGAAATGAACATTCAATTCACAGGCAACAGCTCTGGTGGACATTCCTGCAGTGAGCATGCAAATTGCACGCTCTCTCAAAACGTGCAACATCTGTGGCATTGTGCTGTGTGATAAAACTGCACATTTTTAGAGTGGCCTTTTATTGTATATAAAAAATTTTTTTTTTTTTTAATATATTTTACTATTTAGGAACAGACTCAATCAACTGTCAGTCTGTGGCTCCAGCTGACAGAGGAGACCATCTGGCATGGATTGATACCTGGTGCAATTCCTGATACAAGTGGTGATTTAGCTTTGCTGGTACAATACTTTTAACAAAGTAAACACAAAGGCCGCAATACTTTGAAGAAAATTATAGTGTAATACCGTATATACTCGAGTGTAAGCAGAGACCCCTAATTTTACCCCAAAAAACTAGGAAAACTTATTCTCGAGTGTAAGACTAGGGTGGAAAATGCAGCAGCTACTGGTAAATTTCTAAATAAAATTATATCCCCCCCCCCAAAATTATATTAATTGAATATTTATTTACAGTGTGTGTATAATGAATGGTGTGTTTGTGTGTATGTGTATATGTATGTATGTATATGTGTATATGTATATGTGTGTGTGTGTGTATATATATATATATATATATATATATATATATATATATATATATATATATATGTGTATATGTGTATATATATATCAGTGTGTGTGATGCAGAGCCTTGGTGGGGGGTGGGCATTTTTTGTTTGGTTTTTCTTATTTTAATATATTATAATTTTTTTCGTTTCCCCCCCCCCTCCCTTTGTTAGCTGGCCAGGGATGGGGGCTCTCACTCCCTGGTGGTCCAGTGGATGGGCTGTGTAGGAGGGGGGCTGTCAGCGAGCTGTAACTTACCTTTCCTGCAGCTCCTGTCAGCTCCCTTCTCTCTCGTCCGGTCAGCTCCCACTGCAAGTCTCGCGATACGCTCTGACCCCGCGGCTCTCGCGAGACTTGCAGGGGAGCTGACCGGACCGGAGGAGGGAGCTGACAGGAGCTGCAGGAAAGGTAAGTAACCGCTCGCTGCCAGCTCCCAAAAAGCACCATACAATATTTTAAATCAATTGAGCAATCATTTGATAACTACTCTGTCAACTTTTAAAGTGTTGTGGAAACTTTAAATCAAATAGCCATTACCGCAATAAATGAAGAAATAAGTACCGTATATACTAGAGTATAAGACGAGTTTTTCAGCACACTTTTTGTGCTGAAAACCCCCCACTCATCTTATACTCGAGTGAGTGTCTGTATTATGGCAACTTACATTGCCATAATACAGACAAGGACTGCCGGACGTGGACTGTGCAGTGGGGGCCCGCAGCAAGCTGTTACTTACCTTTCCTTCAGCTCCCTGTGTAAATCTCGCAGTCTGCGTGCCGCAGACGGCCGCGGGATTCGCGAGATTTACACAGGGAACTGCTGGAAAAATTACAGCTTGCTGCCAACCCCCCCCGCCAGGACCGCCAGGCTTATAATGGGCACGGCGGTCCTGGTATGTATTATCAGCAATATCGGTATCTTTATTGGCCGATACCGATATTGCCGAAAATTCCGAATATCGGACGATATCGGTAAAACCGATAATCGGTCGATTCCTAACGTGTACGCTTCTTTTTAAAATACAAAGAAAATAAACTAGGATCCTGCATAGCCAAGCATACAAGACACACACCAAATATAGAGTAAAAGTGACACTTCAATAAAAATGTATTTAATCTGAAAAAAGCCTTAAAAGATTAAAAACCAAATAGAGCAGTAACATTTCTCATTTTGTAGCACTGCTAAAGCAAACCTGGACTCTTGGTATAACGCTTTAAATTCTTGTAGGGATTAACCTCCCTCCTCCGGCAGCTTAATGTCTGCTCCTCCGCCTCGCTCACATGCTTATCCGGGTCTTGCTCATGGTACATTCTCCCTCTGAACTGGATGTTCTCAGTTTTGTAAGTGAATGCAGTGTCCTGCAAGTTCCATAACTTATGCCTACACGTTTTTGTCTGAAACAAGACTTCCTCAGGGATAAAGTTTAGAAATGAACCTTGTTACACCCCCCTGACTTACAAGTGGACAACAGGTCCTGTTACTTCCTGGTTTATTTAGCTCAGTGGAGCTGAACTCAAGAGGCGCCAATTGCCCAGAGCACCGGCTTTTGAAAAGACATCTCATTGAGCTGCATTGGGAAGTCTGTGATTGGACAGCCACAGAAAGATTGGGTGGAGTTAGAAGGGGAAGGTTTGCAAAGCATTGGACAAGAAATGTGCAGCTTTTGCAGGCTGTATTTAGATATACCACCAATGGGGAAAAAATAATCATAAATACATTGCATGTTGTCCTACACTTTTAGCGCACATTGAGTAATAAGTGGTAACACACATCATTGTTCTTTTCTAATTAAATGCGTGCATGTTTTCATTTAGACTATATTTTTACGAAATTGTGTGTGTGTGGGGTGTTAGGTTAGGTGAGGATTGTTAGTTCAGTTTATTAATTCAGCCACTTTGATGCCATTTACCGTAAACTGTCAATACATATGTTTTATGACAACCCTTGTATTAAATAAACCACGTTGTTCTTCGGTGACTGTGCTGTCTGGTTCGTGGAATCCCATCTATTATCTTTCTGCCATTTTCCGCCAGCTGTCATGTTAAGGGCGTATGGTGGGTTATAGGTGTGTAGACACCTAGTAGTACAGCTCGTGTGGAGGTTGTCTGAAGAATGAATTGGATGGATTGTTACTTATTCTACCCTAATATAAATATTTTTTAATTTGGGGAAGATCAGCCATGTTGGTCCTGCTAATCGCTTGATGAAGGCTGTTAGCTGAAATGTTCATCCATTAAATCTGCCTGCACTTTAGATATGTGCTCAATTTTTATTTTTTTTCACTGAAGAAGACTCCAGGGGAAAATCCCAGACCGAGCAATACGTTCAGGTGTGAATTAAAAGGAGTATGATTTGGATGAACATTTGTTGCACAAGTCTACATATGGCTTCAACACAGGCAGCTGTGCATTCTCCAATGTGCTACGTCCGTGGCGTATATAAATGCAGCCATGTTGCCTAGTGCAAGAACTTAATTTTTTTTTGTAAATAACTGTAACAGTATTGCCAGCATACGTTATAGTTTAAATGTATCATTATTTTGAAAGCTGAAAATGTAATCTACACCATTTGTAAGATCAAAAGTAATTTTTTGTTTTTTAAGTTGCTTGTTCAAACCTGTAAATGGGATACTGTCTGTATTTTCTTCTTTCCAGGTGGTGGATTAATTTAAAAACAGGAATTGCTCAAATATGACTAGTTTCTCCACCCTTGACTCCAGATAACAGATGCCAATATTTGCTTTCTGTTCAGTATACAGTAATACAATTCACAATATCTTGATACGTTGTTTGTAGTCTGCTTGTTCCATGTTTAATTATGGTTTAACAAAGTCTGTTTTAAGAGGTATGTTGTAGCACACAGATAATCTATTTCACTGGAATTATAATATGAAGTGTTTGTGCAGAAATAGTAAATGCAAGAGCAGGGAAACTGGATACTTGCATGCTATCTGGGACATTTGTTTCTTATCTTTGCTGTTCCTCTTGAGTGGACATTTTAAACCTCTGGTTCATGGCTGTGTCTTTTGGATTGTTTTACATACTTTTAAAGACCTGTCTAGAGCTGCTTACTTGACCGTGCAATTACATTTATGGTATTGTATGCTTGCACCGTCGTTATTATTATTGCAATTTATATAGCGCCAACAGATTCCACAGCGCTTTACAATATTATGAGAGGGGATTTAGTTATAAATAGGACAATTACAAGAACACTTACAGGAACGATGGGTTGAAGAGGTCCCTGCTCAAACTAGCTTACAGTCCATAGGAGGTGGGGTATAAAACACAATAGGACAGGAAATGGCAATCAAATAAATAAGGTGGGAGTGAAGAAGAGCTGGAGGAGCGAGTAAAGTGCTGCCCTATAGATGAGCGCAAGAGACAGGTATGTGAGGTAGAAGTTACTCTGGGAGGCCATAAGCTTTCCTAAAGAGATGGGTTTTAAGGCACTCCCTAAAAGATGCAAGACTAGGGGAGAGTCTGATGGCGGTAGGCAGGCTATTCCATAGGAAGGTAGCCGCCCGCGAGAGTACAGAGTTACAGAGATCTAGTGATTGAGGATTTTCAAGAAGAAGAAGCATGATCAACAGTGTAAGCAGGTAAAAAATAATTAGTATGGAGTATTGGCCTTTTGGTTAAGCTGCGATTAGGTTGTTAGTAACTTTGATAAGAGCAGTCTCAGTAGAGTAGAGATGGCGGAAGTCAGATTGAAGAGGGTCAATGAGGGAGTTGCGGAAGTGAGACATGCAGGTAAAGACAAGTCTTTCCAGAAGCTTTGAGTAAAAAAGGAGTAGGGATATGGGACAATAGTTAGAGGGGGTGGACAGGTCAAGAGATTCAGGATTGGTACTACAGTAGCATGTTTAAGGTCAACAGGGACAATGCCAGAAGAGAGAGCAGTTGAAGGTGTTATGGAAGGCACAAGACAAGGGGAGAGAGATCTGATGAGGTGAGATGGGACCGGATCGAGCGGGCAAGTGGTGGAGCGAGAGGAAAGAAGCGCAGCCACCTCTTGTTCAGTAGTCTGGGAGAAAGTCTGAAGGGTAGGAAAGGAATGATCAACGTGTAGTTGAGAAAGAGAGGCAAGGTGGGGAGAATTCTTTCGTTAGCTGTTCAATCTTGTCTGTAAATTAGCATGCAAAACTATAGGCTGTAAGGTTAGTTTGGGGGTGGCCACAGCAGGGCGAAGAAGAGTTAAAGGTGTCAAAGAGACGCCTGGGAATGCGGGAGCATGAACTAATGCGAGAGTAAAAGTATGACTGTTGGCAAGGACTGCACTGTATGAACACTATATGAATCTATAATGGAGAAAGTCTGACTGGGTGCGAGACTTCCTCCAGGAGCGTTCAGCACAACAGGAGCAACTTTGCAGGTAGCGTGTTGATTTAGTATGCCGTGGTTGGGGCCGTGTCCTCCTCGAGGTACATGTTTGGAGCGGGGCTGCAGCGTTCAAGGTAGAGGTGAATGTAGTGTTATATCTGGAGATGGCCAGTGAGGGACAGAAGAGGGAAATGATGGATCGCAGTTCTGAATCCATATCAGCTGACCGCTGCTGGAGGTCAATAGAATTAAGGTTCCTCCTGGGTTGAGGGGGATTAGGCTGAGGTTGTTGGGTGAGGGGGTACTCAAGAGCAAACTATATAAGCGGTGGGGATCAGAGAGAGGAAATGGAGTGTTGCAGATATTCGATACTGTACATGCATAAGAGAAAACGAGGTTGGGGGTATTGCAAGCTACATGAGTGGGAGAATTAGCCCACTGCGATAGCCCGAGGGAAGAAGTAATTGAAAGTAGTTTAGAGGCTGCTGAGGTCAAAGGTGGGTTAATGGGAATATTGAAGTCTCCGAGAATTGGGGATTGAATATTAGAAGAGAGGAAGTAGGGTATCCAGGCAGCAAAGTGGTCAAGGAAGAGGAGAGGGGAACCAGGGGCCGATAAATAACAGCAATGTTGGAAGAGAAGGGTTTGAAAAGGCGAATCAAATGATTGGAAAGAGAGGGAATGGGGGGTGGGTAGAGGTTTGAAGGAGCAGTGAGGTGAGCGGAGAAACACTACACCACCACCACCTTTACATTCAGAATGTCTTGGGTTGTGGGGAAGTTGAAGACCACCAAAGGACAATAATGCAGGGGTAGCAGTATCATAGGGGGAGATCCATGTTTCTGTTAAGGCTAGAAAATCTAGGGAACGAGAGATAGAGGTAGTGGACAGCAGTGGATTTTGTAATATTGCAAACATAGCGTGCATTCCATTACTAAAGCTTTATTTATTACATGAGTAAAGAAAAATCACTGAATCTCTCCTGGTTTCTATGACCTGGTAGACCATAATGTCCAGTAACTGGGCTTTCTTTCTGTGTAATGCTGGATTTGGCTATCCATCAAGGAAAGGTCAAATTATATGGAACCCTGAAACTGGCAGAACCATATCCTGTACCCGTGTGCAGTGTAATGTCTTTAATGTTTTTTTGTTTTGTTTTGTTTTTTAAAAAAAAGCTTATCTTTTCTTCAGTGCTGAGTCTCCCACAGCTCTGCGCATTGAGAACCGTAGGCGTATGTGTTGCTTACTTTAAGCTGCCAAAGATTGTCATAGAGGGTCATCGAATGAATTCATTCTGTGGCACTGCGCCTGCACGTGTAGTCCCGGTTCTTCTATTCAGCTGCATTTGCAAGCCTTCAAATTGCTGAAATTTTACTTTTGTGGGTCAAATTAAAGAGGGAACTATTGTAGGCATTTATTGGCCATTACTTGTGCAAACTTTGTAAATGCAAATTTATATGAAAGGATTAGTAATGACCTCATAATCCATTCAGACAACGCAAAGCCAGGGCAGATATTGCAAATGAAAAGGAGAAAAAGCAACCATGTTTGATTGTTGGAGGTGAGATAGAGGCGCTCATTTGCAGAGTAACATGTTTTTAATTTTTTCATACCTTACAAATAAACTGGTTAAATATAGGAATACATATAATATCAAAAATTCCTTGTGGTTGATGTTTCTCTTCAACCTCCTCACTGACGAGTACTTTTTGGTTGAAAAAGTATTAGCCTGACATTTATTTAAAGCGTGGGACACACAACGCTACCATTTTAAACATCATAGCATGTCAATTTGTGTATAGATTGATTTGCAGAAAAACATACAAATTAAAATGTATAAATGTAATATTAACGTATTTGTTAAGCCTTTTATAAAAATAAATTTGGTAAATACACTTTCCACAGTATACCATATCCTTCATCTTGCAATATTTTGCACAGGGTTTGAAATGCTAGTATAAAAATGCGCTATAGTGTCAAAGATGAATTCCGAACACTAGTTTTAAACTAACTGCTTGGGTTACAGGCCCAATCAGATCACATTGAAAAGGTGGTTTTGCTCACTTTTTTTCCATCCCTAGCAGCGACTGACCTCACCACCATGGCTGAGATTCATGATCTCAGCCAATCAAATCTATTCCATAGGAATGTATTATGCCAGTGGTTCCCAACCCAGTCCTCAAGTACCTCCTACCAGTCCAGGATTTACCCTGTTGTCTAAAAACACCTGGGTAATCCCTAAATCCTGGACTTTTAGGGGGTACTTGTGGACTGGGTTGGGAACCACTGTATTATGCTATTGCACATGCACCACAAAATGCTGTGCTGCTTCATACCGCATCTCCTCATAGATATGCACTGAATCAATGCATCTCTATGGGGAAATTTTACTGCATGTAGGTGCTGCACACTGTGCAGTACTGATATAGGAAGCCCATCTAGTGGTTGAGTGACTGCTACTAGAGGTCTTACTAGGCAGTAATCAACACTCTTTTCTTTGTAAAGGCAGTGTTTACATTGAAAAGCCTGAAGGGACAGGCTATAGACACAATAACCACTACATTAAGCTGTAGTGCTTCTGGTGACTATAGTGCCCCTTTTAAATACCTTACCTGTACGTATTTAAAGGCCTTAGTAGCTGGAGAGCCTACTAAAATGGCAACACAGTGTAAAAAGAATGTCTGCATTTGAGCATGTCCACATACCATAAATACAGTTCAGTCATATTTGTTAACAAATGTTGCTAAAATAAAGATATTTAAAATTTCTATAGCGATATTTATTATCTGGAATTGCCAATGTAATACAAACAGTAAAACGGCAGAATGCATTCACTCCTCTCCCCACAAGAAACTTCCTTTACTGTTTTAAAGGAGAGGTTGAGCTGATATTTTCAGCAAACATGCAGGTATTCAATCAGTGGCTTCTGGCAGAGAAATTTGTTCTCTACAGGCTAGTAATAATTTTAGAGCATAAATGAGGGTGAGAGAGGCTATATAGACTAGATTTCATTCTGGAAAATACTTGAAAGAAAAAAACGTAAATACTTGACTGGTAGCGCCTAGTGACAACCACTGGAGGTGCTTCCTATTTCACACTCTGCATGGAGATGCATTACGCTCCCCATAGATATTCATTTATTCAGTGCATATCTATATGGAAAAGCATTGGATTAGCAGAGATCATCCAGGTTGACCAATTTAATCCATTCTGTAGGGACCCCTAAATATCTAGTCTAATATTAATGTTGGTAATACTAACATGTAATCTTAACACCATAGTGTTCCTTTTAGGGGTGTGTGTATGTATTTAAAAAAAAAAAAATTATTATAAATACATACACACACCCCTAAAAGGAACACTATGGTGTTAAGATTACATGTTAGTATTACCAACATTAATATTAGACTAGATATTTATATATATATATATATTTTTTTTCTTATTTTTATAAAATGAGACATTGAGGTCTGTTTTTTATATTTTTTTTGTCATATTTTGGGATGCAGTCTTTTCACTTAAATTTTATTTTTTTGGGGGTGTGTATGAGTGGAATGTTTTAAAATATGCTGTTGGTGTTAAATGCCTAACCTTGTACTTTACTGCATACATCTGTGTAAACATCAGCTTTCACACCTAGTCAGTACAGGATGGTTTGTTTAGTCTGCTACCACCAACAATACACCATCTTGTGTTTACTATATTCTCTGTGCTTCGTGTTCAGACATGCTCAGTGGCTTGAGGTAGTCTGCATACTCTAGTACTCCACTTCTTATGTGAGTATGCCACTAGAGGCTGCATTGACCTGCTTTATTTTTGCATACAAACGATTAGCCACACTATTCACATCAGAAAAAGACATCGTTGTCATAGCTGTCACTGACCGACAACACGGAGTGATTTTGAACAACAAAGCAACCTGTTTTATAAGGAGAGGACACCTGTGTCTGCAGTTTGTCTGCAACCAGGTGGTGGATTAAAAGCAGCTCACGCACTGTTGTTAAGGGCTAATCTCTGTGCATGAACACAACTTTAATATATTTGGTAGGTTTTTATTTTGCACAAAGTATCCTTTTAGGTGTGTTTTACACCAAAGTTGCTTCCCAGGTGTTTATGTCAAACTGCTTCTGAGTGGTTTGAAAGTAAAAAATGTGGGACTGTCCCACCGACTCATAACACCATAATTACGGTGAGCTATACAAAAGGAATTCATTGTTACGGTGTTTGGAGTGTTTTTACTACGTAAAGGGGAATATTGGTTAAAAATTGCCCCATATTTTAATACATTATCTAGATAATTCATTAGAAAAGACAAAATAATGTATAAACAATACAGTTGCATCTTGTCAAGCAGCGGTTATTGGGATAAGTTGTTCTTCATATAGGATGCGTGGAACCACTTGGTAAACGGAGAACAGCCATACTGCTGTCTATACATTGCCCATTTCACTCTTTGGTCACCTATGCTAAACTGTTTCCTCTTCAACATGCTGCACCGCTAAGACCCTCTCAGAGCTAATAGACTTGCAAATGCAAAGTTGTTATGGTGCTTGGTGTTCATTTAAGGTGCAGTCTTTCAGTGAAATCTCTAGTTAATTTTTATTAATTCTCAACAATCGCTAAATCTAAAAATAACTATATGTATACTTAGCAAAAAATAGCTTTTTACCCTGTCTTGTAATGAAGCTTTGAGGGTTTTTTTTTTTAAAAGCAAGCTTTGCTCCTTCCCAGTAATTCCAGCTCCGCCTTAACCCTGCATTTGCCACATTTGTGGGCATGTAGATTGTTTTGTATCGCCCATCTGTCAGAACGTTTTGGAAGGCTTTCCCAACAGCTGTATAGCCCCCTGTTGACATACATGTTGTGGCTTTATTGCTAGCTCATCAGTCCGTATGTGTGTGTGTGGGTGTTTTTTTGCAGACGTAAGTGCTGGCTTGGACTGGAGGGCTAATATAGTGTTATATTTTTAGCAAGGCTTCTGCGTGCTCTTGTGCGTAATAGCTTCACGAGGAAAGTAAGTGCATCTGTGGCTTGCCTGTTGTATTTTGCCAACAAGCAAGTTGGGTCTAGAGGGCCTAAAAGTGTATAGCATGTATTGGTCTCTGCAGTGTATAAGAGCTTTTATTTAAGGGTTACCACGGCAATTCTGTGATACACGAGTTATGGCTCTACCAGCCTGCTTTCAATCTCCATCATGAAGCTAAATGGTCTCGCGATAACTCGCCCATTACTTGCAAAAACTGCATTTGCCAGGTCTTCAGGATCTTGGCAAATTTGCATGCAAAATGCATGTGCACTTGCCAAAAATGATGCAGGGATAGAGGAAACTGTGAAGAATGCAGTATCCCTATCAGACAGACATCGGCATAGTCTATTTAAGCGATGTTGAACCTATGGTACACATGCCAAAGCTGGCAAGCCGAGCCCTCTGTGGGCACGCAGCCATAGGTCGATCTATTCAAGCGCTGGCCGTGCTGGGTGCCTTCACGGACAGGGGTAATATCAGAGATTTCCATCACCCGTCTGCAGGGACATTGCTGGCAGGGGAGGGAGAGGAGACCTTGGAGCTCTAGCTTGCAGCTCCGCCTGATCTCTCGAGCACTGAGCGTTGCTGCGATTACCATGGAGCTGCAGGCTAGAGATCACTCCCCACTAGAACCGTCGGGGATTCTCCACTGGACCCCCAGGGCTTAACAATCGATATGGCCCATCCCTGGGCAAAGGTAAGAGGGGGGGGGATTTAAAGAATATATTTTTTAATTTAAAAAAACATTGTTTTAATGAGCCCCCAACTACTCACGCTGCCCCTATTGCACCCCCATACACACGCTGCCACACACACACACTGTTCCCACTGCACCCTATCTATACACCGCACTCCCATGCACACACTACACCCCTAGTTCAGACAACTGTATGAGTTGTTTTTTTTCTAAACTTAAATCTCAGTATTCAGGTTTAATTGCCGTGTTGGCACTTTTGAGGGAAAAAAGGTTGGTTTATATTGCGTTTTGGGCACTCTGGCTCAAAAATGTTCGCCATCACTGGTCTATACTGTTGGTAGGCTGGGGAGTGTGATTTCTAGCTCTGATCTATAAGGAAGTTATACATTTGCTAGCACAATGTATGGATGAAAACTTGTGAAGAATTTAATAATTTTTATGTGAAAAAGTGCATGACAGTTGTGTTGTCCTTTCATTTCTGGGGAAATGTTTGAATTGGAACTGCTTCTATAAGTTAATGGGAGCAACTGGCAGATTGCATTACCTGTGTCCGTTTTTATTTTTCTCTATTAGTTAAATTAAATGGTAAATTCCTTTTTAAGGAAATTCTGAGCTTCTAATAAGGACTGGCACATAACCTTTAATGAATGTACTAGTAAAAAAAAGTTAGAGGGAATCTCCGTGCACCATAGCGACTTCATCAGAACTAATGCATCTAGTCCCTTGTTCTAGTATATTTGTATAACTTTGACATGTTTAGCACAGCCCATATGTTGTACTGAACTCACACCCCAATTACTCTTAGCCTGTCACTGATATCGAAAGCTACACTGAACGTTCACTTCTGCAATATGGGGTCTATAATACAGTAAGAAATGGATCCTGTAATGAAAAGAGGTTTTGGAGGATTTGGACTCTAAAGATAGACAGTTGGGGAGGTATGGGTGTATGTATCGTTTACAAAGTTGCAAATATAACTCTCAAATTGTTTTTAATTTCATGCTGCTGTTAGAAACGGCTCGTAGAGATTACAATATTTGCATTATTTTTTTTGTATTTGTACTTCTGCAATGTTTATCTTCGTAGGGAACGAGTTTATTTTCATGTCTTGTTCAGAAAGGATCGCTAGCGATTTCTCTGCAGCGAGAGAGGAAAGTGCTTTGGAGGTTTTCCACCCACCTTGGGAAAGTAGACTGATCACATGTAATTTGAAGACTTTTTTTAATTGTCCCCAATGTGATTTAGACAATCATATTTGTAGGAATAAACACAATCCCTTAGAGAGGGCAGGGTGGTTTACTACTTGCATGAAAATTTCTCACTATGGTGATTTTGTTAGGGAATTTTTTTTTTATTATTCTTTGCGCATGTATGTATGTATTCTCATAATTGTCACCGAATTTAAAATATTTACAGCAAGGAGCACTGTTTCACAAACCGCTGTTCTGAGGATCTGCTATTCCTCAATTGGATTTCATCTAAGTTATCTAGCTTCATTGATGCTCCACTGTGCTTACTGCCAAGCTATATAACCTGTGATACTCGTGGGAGTAAAGGGCTTAATGTATTTAGTTCCTTGTTCTAGTATGTTTGTATAACCAACATTGGTATATCTAAAGCACTGTTTAGCTTAACCCACAGAGTGAACCCACCCCCATTATTCTCAGCTGGTCACTGGTGTTCAGGGCTACAGTGGTAAGTGTGGAAATTCACATCTGTATTATGGGAGCCATAATGAGTGGCTGGAGTAGTACACAGTGGAAATGCGGCACACACAGCAGCATCAATATGGGGGCAGTGTATCATTTTGACAGGATTACATTTTTTTTTTTTTTTTTTTGGTAAAAGTATAGTAAATCCTGACTACGTCTAAGCAGAAAGCATCTAACATGTTTCCTGAAGGTGATACAGTTACACGATGCAAATGGATATTAAGTATACAACTACTGTTTTTCGCTGTGTAGAGGGGGAGACTGCTCCACAGGTACATTCACTTATGAGATAAGAAAATAGAGCAAGGGGAGATGTTAATGAGGGAGCTAGCTAGGCCTGGACATACATGCCCCAGAATCATGACTTGGAAATAATAAGGCAACATAATAAAAGTATCTAACAATATTAAAAAAAAAAAGCAGGAAAACTGATCCTTCTCATATAAGCGACTACACTGCCACACTTAATGCGCCGCTGGCAGGAGGCGTAAATGGAGTAATGTTAGCTGGATCCCAGAAGGTGGGAGTGGGTGGAGTTGGAGTCTGAAGCCTTAAGCGGACAAGACTGTATCCACCTCCGAGACATCGGTTACTTTAGGCTCGGTGTTAAGATGGATAATGAGTGAGCGTGGATAGCCCCATCTATATTTCAGGTAATAGGTAGACCCGACTATTCCGCCATTTAAGGGTTGGAGAAACTCTGTCCACCGGAATGTGAATGTGAAAGATCAGCGAAAAGGTTAGTAAGATTTCCTCAAAGCGATAAGGGGTCTTCCCTTAGTGGCCTGCAAGAAGACTGCCTTTTCTTGCTCGTCTGGAACTTGACTACAATATCTCCAGCGGTCGAGGCCTTGCTGGACTGAGGTATGGGCAGACTGATCATGCCATCCAACTGGATGCTCTTTGACTGGACATTTTTGGCCCTGTTGCCTCCTAGACAGAGGCTGAAATGTGGCAGCTCAGCCGTTGCAATGCTCCTTTGAAACTCCCCTGATCTTCAGATGCTTCCACCTTTTTACGCCTGACGTCCACCCGCACTTGCGTTATAGCAGCGGATAAGGCTTGCCAGAAATTCTCCTCCGCCTGTGGACCCTGGTAGCTTAGGTCCTCCTTACTGTGTAGAGGCAGTTCCTCTGAGGTGTCATGGAATTTGTCCAGATTTGCCACCAGATCTGCTCACCAAACCCCCACCCCTCCTAAAATTGGCTCTTGTATGGGTAGGAGTAGTCTCCAGGAAACTGCCCACAATAAATTGGGCCATGTAGTAGCACTGCCTTCAAAGAGATTTCTGACTGGAAAGTCTAATGAAGGCATTTTGATCTATTACATAACCCTCGAATATGTATTCCTGGGCTAATGCTGTGTGCATAATTTAGGTTGCTGTCATAAGTCTGTTTGGAACCACTACTTTAACCTGTGCATACACTAACCATTTCATCCCTTTCAGAGAGTGGAGATACGTTTTATGTGTATCTGAACCGTAAGGTTATTCACTAAAGTATTGTTGTGCTTTCTAAATTAATTTAAAAATTTTAGACCAATATAGAAAAACTGAATAAAGCAATCTTGCAGAATATTTTGGATTGTAGGAGTACGATCTCGTAGTTTAAGTGTTTTTAGTCTTTCCGTTTGTATTTGGAGTTGGGCTTTTATTTTGATAGTGACGCTTGTTTTCTCATTAGCACCCGCAGAACCGCCTTGTGTGCCTGCCAGTGTCAATGTGCACGTCCGATGTGTCGTTTGTGGAGTAGTCGTCCCCGATTTGTTCTCGGAGTGTTTTAGAAAATGAGTAAGACTCCACAGAGCTCTTGTTTTTTTTTTTTTTTTTTTTGGTTAACACGAAACAGGCAGGTTCGCCACGAAGGCTTACTCTGCACAGGCGAGACGGCTTGGCATTGCATAACTATACATTATATTTGAAACCTGTTAAACAGTCAGTAAACCAAACATTACTAACATTTTCTATGCTATGGCATGGGGGCTCTATTTTCCAAGGTTCCTATTTGTACCTTCTTAATTACAACATACTCTTCGACTGCTGGCTAAACATTAGCAGCTTCATCATTCCCTCTCAGTTTAGTGCTTGTCCCCCTGAGTGTTTTCGCTATCATTTAGTGTCCCTGTGTAAAATCTAGGGAATGGGTATCCCTCTCTCCTGAGTGGTCCCGGGCTTGAGTTGATAACGAAGTCTAATGAGCTTTTCCTTGGTGGCCCTTACTTATGTACAAAGTGAGTGGGGAGAGGTAGATAGCCCCCGGAGGTATTAGTGGATCTGCGCTAGCTCTGGGCTAAACGACATGTGTTGTGGTATCATGGTTGTTATTTAGGTGCTTTACCCTGCTTGACTGCCACTCCCAGTGAACTATACAAAATAATGGGTATATATGCTCAGATACATGGGTGTCCCCATGGGCTCCATGTCAGCAGGTTCTGCACCATGTTCTTGGTCCCGCATTTATCATGTGTAGACGACAGACTGTGGCTTTCATGTCAGCTTTATTGTGGCTTTTTAGGGTTAAAGTCCTCCTAGCTTCAAAGGGATAGTTCATACGCTCTGACAGTGTTTTAAGGTTCTGTGATTTGGATCCTTGGAAAAAGTAATACAGTCTCGGACTATACCTCTTTGGTCCATTGCGACCCTGTTCGGTAGGAGTATTTCGCCTGTTGACATACAGCTTGAGGTTTTGAGTTCTAGTAGTATTTAGGCCTTTGTGCTCATTGCTTCGTTGTTGGGAGGCCCATGTCAGCATCTGTCTGTGTGAGGATTGTGCGTATTTACATGCAGGTCGTGGTTTGTTGTGTGGCTTTCGCGGCAGTCAAGCTGCTCTTGTTAGTGTTTCACCGGGTTCCATTCTTGGGATAGGCGCAGTGGCCTGCTATGCCCCATTGTTTCAGCATAGTGTATCCTTCCTCCAGGTTCTTCACTTGGTGGGTTTGCCCATTCCGGTTTATCAACAGGCGTGTGGGGAACCCACCATCTGTACACTATCTGTTGCTTCTGAAGTGCTGCTGTGATGGGAGTGAAACTCCGTCTCTGTGCCAAGGTAGCAGGCGAGATGTCGGCGAAGATTTGGATTTGTGTATAAGCGCCTGGCAATTCCTTTGCAGCTCTACTGGCTCTTAGTATGGCCTCTTTAATGTGGTGATAATGGGCTCTTAAAAGAACGTCCCTCGGGGCGGTTTGTGGGGCTTCCCGTGCTTTTGCCACCCGGTGTATCCTGTCAAGAAGAAACATTTCCGTCGGCACATCTGGGCATAGGGTGTGAAACATCCCCGTAGCATAAGAGGCTAGGTCACTCACCGCCGTGGATTCTGGTATGACGCGTAGGCGCAGGTTGTTTCTGCGTGAACGGCTTTTAAGGTCTGTTAATTTTGCTTCATGTGTTGCCAGCCGGTCTTCCACTTTGAGCAATTGGTCAGCCATTGAATTGTGAGCGATGGCGAACTTGTCCAGTTTGGACTCAAGGTGTGAGGTACGGGAACCTATTTCTTTTTTCAAATCCTGTATGGATGATTGGAACTTGGCTATTAGTTGCTCAGATTGTGTTGAGCAGTGTAGGGGTCATAAGAGTTTCCTCATCCCCATATGCATGGCTTTCCTTGCCTTCCTGGCTGCCATGTTGGAGACCTTCCTGTTCTGTTCGCCAGCATTTTGGCTGCAAAGAAGGATTTTATCTCCTTGTCTCTTATCTTTCGGGCGGTACATCTTCCCATCTGCCTTTAGCTTCAGCTAGTCTGATGGTTCTTTTTTCTGATACCACCTGTTATGCCGGTTTTGCCGCCAGCCTGTTCGGAGCTCTGTACCTATGCGGCCATTCTGCTTGGCGTCGGCTCCGCCCACCGCATGTAATTTTTTATTGTAACTAAAAATGAAATGGCCACTACAGCGAATATTCTATGGGCAACATTCCCCTATTTTTCGTATTCATCCTCTACACTAACCTGCAGTGGTTGTAGTAATTACGGTGCCCTTTTCTAATTGAGTTGGCTGCTCTAAAGTAGCTCTCTTTTCACACATGATATTTATGGGTTGAAAGATGCCACAAATGACAATACTAAAAATGAAGATGGGAGCCTCACTCAATCCCAGCTGACAGCCGGTGCACTGGAGCAGGTCCAGCAATCCCACAACAATCAGGCAAACAGAAAATCTCCAGCACTCAAGGTGTTCAAGCTGCTCTTTTTGTTTCATTAAATCTGCCTTCGGCTTGAACACCTCGCGTGCCTGTGGAATTTTTTTGTTTGCCACAAATGACAATGTCACTTTATAAAAAGTTATTTAAAAAATAAAAACCACACATTTTTAAATACTTTTGACTAAAGAAGGGGGTGAGGAGAGGTAGTTTACCTGTATGATAAAACCGTATTCTTACTCTTTTGAACTTTCAGCCAGTCCAATAAGTAGCTGCGTTTGGGCTATTTAAAACAGAAAATAGATAAAATACAAATTGTGGAAGTAATACAAATCTATTTTTACTACCTGTATATATTTAATTCACTCCCAAATATAAGAACATATTTAAAAAGTGAATGTTTCTTTAAATCCACATTCTAACTACTCCCACAAACAGCTAGCTGTCCAGCAATATTCTGTGTCTACAGTGCATTTGACATGTACTGAAAACTGATCATTGTATTAACTCCTAAAGCTCTCTAGCGTGTATACGATTTAGATGTGGTCTATGCTACAGCCTGGGTAGGTTGGAGCCGTCCTGCGTTTGGATGGAAAAGCCATTGTACAGGAAAGCATAATTTTGGTGATTTTTGGGTAAAAATTGCAGTGCACTAAGTTTTGCAGAAGAAATATGAAGCATGATATTTGTAAGGCTTTCCTGAATGTACAAACTCATGGCTTCCAGGCTTTGTGGAATCAGACAGGAAGATGTTCCGTAGTTGGCTATAATTCTGTCAACAACTAGAATATTCTGTCTTGGTGGGGTCGCTCAGTTCTTTACTAACCACACTAGTAGCTGCACAGATGTAACGTTCTGGTGCAGAGTTTTTATAATGAATGTCCCTAGCGTTTACGAACCACAGCCAAAGTAAGACACATACTTTCATTACATTTGCCTTGACGTCTTGTATTGCAGTAGCCTAATCTAAATCTAAACAGAGCTCTGCTCCTTTTTTAAATGATCTGTTTACTAGTTCAAGATATTGGTCATGGGGAATATTTTGAAATTGCAAACATCTGTTATGTTGCACTTTCCCAGCATACACATTTTATTAACTGGTGGACTATGCTCTTGTCATTAAACCCTCCCCCTCCCCCCCATTAAACAGAGTAAGTCATTTTCATGACCCATAGTCGGTTTTATTACATTATTAATGATTTATTAAGTTGTGTATTTCTCTGTACCAGTAACGCTCAATGCCATCATCTCTACTAAACAGCCTGCAGCAGTGTGGAGTATCCTGTTTATCTAGTGTTGACAGCTGTAGGCAGGCCTGCTGTCACAAAATCGGTGGAATATTCCATTTTGTAATGGGATCTTTTAATAATCCTTGTAATAGGATTGATTCTTTAAAGGACACTACAAGCAGGGTAACCACTAATGCTCATAGCTTTTCAGCTATTTCTTGATCTGTGATTGATTTGCAGTGAATGCAGGAACTTTAAAGGCAAAGTTTTTATTTTTTTAAATTTTTTTTGCTTGCTTGCATTATATAGATAATGCATACAGAATAATGAGGTCAAATTGTGCCATCCTGAATTGTCCCAAATATGGCTTATGTTGTGACAAATTTGATTTTAACCCCTTAAGGACTGGACTGTTTTTGCGATGTTGTACATTTGCGACCAGGAATATTTTTACACTTTTGTGGTGTTTGTGTTTGGCTGTAATTTTCCGCTTTCTCATTTACTGTTCCCATACAAATTATATATTATTTTTTTCAGGACAAAATGGGCTTTCTTTACATACCATTATTTATATAATCTCATGTATTTTAATTTAAAAAAAATACAAAAATCTGATGAAAAATTGAAAAAAATACATGTTTTTGACTTTTACTTGAAAAATCTTTTACTCATCTACAAAAGCGAATGAAAAAAACTGCTAAATAGATTCAAAATTTTGTCCTGAGTTTAAAATACCTAGTGTTTACGTGCTTTTTTGCTTTTTTTTGCATGTTATAGGGCTATAGGTACAAGTAGGATATTGCGGTTTTAAAACATACATTTTTAAAATTTATCAATAGTGACATTGTAACACTATTATCTGTCATAAATCTCTGAATAACACCCCACATGTACATATTTTTTTTAAAGTAGACAACCCAGGGTATTCAATATGGGGTATGTCAGTCTTTTTTAGTAGCCACTTAGTCGAAAACACTGGCCAAAGTAAGCATTCATATTTGTTTGTGTGTGAAAAAAGTAAAAAAACTAAATTGAACGCTAATTTTGGCCAGTGTTTGTGACCAAGTGGTTACTAAAAAAGACTGGACATACCCCATTTGCAATACCTTGGGTTGTCTTCTTTTGCAAATAGTATGCCATCATGGGGGTAATTCTCATTCCTGGGCTACCATACGCTCTCAAAGGCAACATAACCAACCTGGCCTTTTTCAATGTAAAAATATTTGACCCATATATTTGACCTTGTAACTTTCAAAAATGCTATAAAACCTGTACATGGGGGGTACTGTTTTACTCGGGAGACATCGCTGAACACAAATATTAGTGTTTAAAAACTGGAAAACGTATCACAACAATTATATCATCAGTAAAAGTGCTGTTTGTGTGTGAAAAATGCAAAAAAGTAACTTTCACTGACAATATCATCGCTGTGATATGTTTTACTGTTGTGAATCACTAATATTTGTGTTCAGCGAAGTCTCCCGAGTAAAACAGTACCCCCCATGTACAGGTTTTAGGGTGTCGTAGAACGTTACAGGGTAAAATACAGTGCTAGCAAATTAAATTCTCTGGAATTTCGGCCTGGGTTGGCAGGCAGGTCCCTCAAATTACAATCAATAAAATTACTGAATTATGTAAAAATATTACATAAATACGCACGTAGAATTTAAATATATATGCATATTTATATATTTGAAGTCTGCGTGTATATTTATATAATTATTTATGTAATTTTGTATATGGACGTATGTATATTTCTTATTATTTTTATTTATTTTTATATACATAGATATATATACAAATTCATTCTAAGTGTATTTTGATATAAATATATATATATTAATTTTAAAATACAGTTAGAATAAAATTTCATATAGATATATAATTTTTTTTTTTATTATTATTTTAAAAATTTTTTATTTAATTTAAATTACTTATTATTTATATTTTATAATAATATATATATACAATATATATAGTTATTATATATATTATATATATACGTGTGTAATTTAATTATAAGTGTATTTTATATTAATATAAGTACATATTAATATAAAAATACACTTAGTATGACATTATATATATATATATATATGATATATAGACATATATTATATAGATATATAATAACTATATATATATGTCTATATATCATATTTATACATATATAATTATTATTATTTTTTTTATTACCATTAACTTTAATTTTTTTTCTGATTTTACAGTTGCAGGGAGACTGCCTGTCAGTACAGGCAGTCCCCCTGCAGGCAGACACATGGACACCTATTGTGACCATGTGATCACTGTGTTAAGCGATCACATGGCCACAGGGGTCCTAATCTGCCGTGGGGAGACTGTCTGGGCTGCAGGCAGTCTCCCCACAACCGGAGGAACACTGATCGCCGCCGGGGGAACGACGGCGATCAGGTAAGTACCCCCAGACCGTTTGGACGGTTCCCCAGACCGTTTGGACGGTTCAGGACCGTCATCGGTCAGCAAGGCAAAAATGCCGATGACGGTCCTGAACCGTCCTCGGTCCTTAAGGGGTTAAATTGTGAGATGTAAGCGATCTAATCTTTTCCCTTTGAGAATCTGGATTGTGAGGGTGATAGTAAGGTCTTCTGGCTGAGACGCATACTGCTTTTATCTGGATAGTTTATATCCAGATTAAAAACCAGGTGAATGCTGTGCCCTGGGGTCACCCCTTTTTCAAATTGCTTTAAAAAAAAAAAAAAAAAACCTTAGTCAAAGTTTTTTGCATGCTATTTACAATGTGTATTAAGAGCACACAGAGTGCTTAATACCTTTCTCCCAATATTTGATTGTCCACCATAGACTAAACTCATCTGTTTAACAATGCACCTACAAAGCAGTACATTTTGTCCGATTGTGTGCTTCTAATGGTGCTATCTGCTTCAGGTTTGATGGGAAGAGTTTCCTTGCCTTTCTTAAGCTCATGCTTATGGAAACCAATACTATTTTGACACACATTCAGAGTATTTCAATGGGTTTGCTCATCACAAACTCTATTTTGTATTTTTTTTTTTTGTTTTGTTAGTTTGTTTTCCTGATGCTGGTTATTTTCTAATAGGCCTGAATATTGACAGCATGAACATGGTGCTGTTTGAATTCCATACTAAATCTTTCACTGAGATGCAATTGTAAGTGAAGTCACACTCACCTGGTATTTCTTGGTGACAGGCTTGTCACAGAAAGCAAAGGGTTAATCAGCGTGATTATATTGTATTGTCATGGTGCACATCTAGAGAATATATAAATATATATATATATATATATATATATATATATATATATATATATATATATATATATATATATATATATATATATATATATATATACCACCAGCGCGCCCCCCACCCCCAAACTTTGGAAAGTAGCCTGATCACTCCTTTACTTGTGGAATATCAATTGTTTTTAACCCATAACTGCAAGGGTTAAATGACCAACTGAATATTAGCTATATAATTCTCTATGCAGTCGCTGTGAAAGAGGCAGCCACTAGCTAGCTTACACATGTGCCAAACTGCCAATTTGCCCAATTGTATTTTGGATAGAGAGGCTATTTTTTCACTGCAGTTTCTGTAACTTGTAATTCAGTTGTTAGTGTTTTACTTATGCACTACAATTCCAAAGAACATTTGTGCTTCCTGATTACACAACCTTATTATTGGACAGAACCGGCTTAGAGAAAGTACTGAAGGAGAGCTTGGTCCATCATGTATGCAAGTACAGTAAACCAGAACGGAGGAAGCAGAGTTTAGACCATAATGCTGCAAAACTTCCCCAATCTCCTTTACCAAAAAATAAATCTGTGAATAAGAACTTATTTTAGGTATAACTTAGTTCAAAAGATACAAGCATATAAATTGTACCGGTATCGGAAGTCTTTTTTAAATTGTACAGATGTACAATTTGTTTTTTGCAACTGAAACTCCAGATTCTAGAATTCAAAATTGAAACTGAAAATTTTATTGTGTCCCTTAAAAGCTTCAGCAGGTGGTGGGAAGAAATCAAGCAACCTTTTTACTTAAAGGGACTCTCCAGGCACCCAACCACTTCTGCCCATTGGAGTGGTCTGGGTGCCAACTCCCACTACCATTAACCTTGCAACTGTAAATATTGCAGTTTTCATAAACTGCAATATTTATATTGCAGGTTTAGCTCTTCCTCTAGTGGCTGTCTACTAGACAGCCACTAGAGGGCACTTCCTGGTTTATAGCACAAATTGCTATAGTGTCACTATGTGAGGACCTCCAGCGTCGCTAAATTCCCCATGGGAAAGCATCTTTCAGTGCTTTCCTATGGGGAGGTCTAATGCGCGTGTGCGGCATTGCTGTGCATGCGCAATAGGTCTCCACCGACGGATGATGTGGGCGGACCATGAACCAGCGCCGAGGGACATCAGACATAGGATTATTTTCCTTGCACTGGAGAGTCCCTATAACACATCACATCCTTAATATTGTATGCATTGTGTTTACATCTGCTGCAGTTTTTATATAATTTTCTTTATCTCCCCCTGCAGGCAGATCGGGAAAGGTGCAGAGAAAAATTTCCCTACTAGATGACATTTCATCGCAATGTCCGATCGTTTGGGGCAGATATCCAAGGGAAAGGATGGGAAAAGCAAATACTCGTCTCTCAACCTGTTTGACAAGTATAAAGGGAAGTCAATAGAAGCCATCAGAACTACAAGTAGGTGGTCTTTCAAAAGTAAAAATGAACAGTCCAAGTACCATAACCACTTCTGCTTCTTGAATAGTATATGGAGCCTTGAATTCTTTTTCTCCCTAAACTTTTTATAGGTTTTGTCATAGTTTTACATAACTTTAACCACAAAAAAAAGCATGCCAGAACAGCCAGTAGTTTCATGAGATACATGAGTTTGGAAGAATAAACTACACAAAGGATTAGTTTACTAAACTGAGAATTTTCAGGAATTCGAAGTGAATTTAAAATTTTAAGATGAAAATGTCTTAAGTCAGCTATACTTTAGTAAACAACCCTGTACTAAATTGAGTGTTTAAGTTCCTTTTGTGTTTTTTCTTGAATGAAATGATTTGTGACGTTATCTGCCAAGTGCCACATAGCTTTCAGTGGAAAGCAAAGGTGTGACCTTTATGGCATTGATTGCTGCTGTTCAGGCATTTTATGGAATATTAAGTGTTTCCGTTTAAAGTTGAGGACTAGGATTGTCTGACAATGCACTATGGAGATAAGGGGTGACTTAAGTTGTCATCTTCGAATTTAAAATAAGAGTCTGTTGTCTTGCATTTGTCCATTGTTGACTGTGTACTTAGGGGCTACAATCCTGAATTCATGCAATTGAATGTGGATCTGAAAAATTGCCTGTCCCCAAACAATTGCTCTTTTTTGTGTGCATCTTTGTGGACATCAATGCACATTATAGTAAAGTTAATAAACCTTGGGTCTACAGTAACCAAATTGCCTGTTTGTGTCTCTCTCTTAGTTATACCTAGACATGGCTTACAGAGTCTTGGGAAAGTTGCCGCTGCCCGGCGTATGCCACCTCCCGCAAACTTGCCAAGCTTGAAATCAGAAAACAAAGGAAACGACCCAAATATATTTATAGTGCCCAAAGACGGAACGGGATGGGCAAACAAACAAGAGCAGCCAGACCAAAAGAGGTGAGTAGAGGGAAATGTGTTTTATAATCCCCTGTAATTCATAGTAACCTTTTATGTGATGCTCTGATTTTCTGTGTGTGAAAGACCTGGCAATTTACAACACAATACAGTTTGATGCGATAACAGCCATGAACCCAATGCATTGCTTGTTTTTCCAGCTCTGCAATTTTTATTTTATTTGATTTAAAAACAAAAAAAAAACTCAAATGGTGTATCACATAGCCACTGTAAATATCCAATCACAAATGTGCAAACTAGCTCCCATAAATCCACTGTTTTAGCGCAAAAGAAATGCTTATTTGAATACCTGATGGTGCTGAACGCTCCACTTTAATGTCAAGATGTCCGTTCTGCCTCCAGCAACTTTGTTTTCTTTTCAGATATTGGATTGTTTTATTTATAAAGTGTCAGCTGGTTTAGTGCTCTTTTGGTTGGAGTTCCCTCCAGTGTGAAATTTGCAGTAGCTCATGCTCTCGCTAGGGAGAGTAAATCTGCATGCACCGCACGTCTGCGGTACTAGGCTGCTGTCTGGTTTGTGAGGAATTGAAGGGTTTTGGATGACAAAGAAACTAGGTCAATGGATTTCACAAATGATAGACTTTTTGCATTTCTCAACCTCCACCCTGAATGGTAAATTACCCCCCTTTTTTTAAATAAAGTTATGGTTGCCCTTAATCCTAAAGTAAGTCAATCTAATGTTTTATATTTGACTGTTTCGTTTTGGTAATTTTTTTTTTTTTTTTTTACAATCTTTGTCACAATATATTTTCACAATAAATGAATTATGCTGTTCAAAAAACAAATGTATACAGTTCGGTTACATTTAGACAGTTAACATGATTCGGTATCTGTCAGATGCAGTAGAATAGTGTTTGGCGTAGATATATCTCTATAGAGTAGTTACAGGTTGGCATCCTGTTGCCATTAAACATAGAATGTGACTGCAGATAAGAACCATTCGGCCCATCTAAGTCATTTGTAAATCTCTGGACTCTCTGCTGTCGCCTTATCAGGTATTTCATTTCAAGAGTGGGTTTAGGTTTAAACTGTATGTATCGGTGTTGCCTAGTGTAGTGCAGTAGTGTGTTTTGATATGTATGGCAAACAGGGAGGCTAGAGTATTAATAGAAGCACACTGGTGGCGCTCGTCTTTTTTGCACTTGACGTCTTCTCGTCTGGAGTAAATCGTGATGGGATATGCATTCAGGCTTAGGGGTACACTGGTGAACTGGCCGTTCTTAGCAGTGTCCATATCCTATATGTCTGAGGGGCGTTAGTGCGTGCTCTGAAGGCCGCAGGTCTCGCAAGATTTTCGCTGGAGGAGCTGCAGGAAAGGTAAGTAACAGCTTGCTGCCGGCCCCCCCCTTGTAATGGGCCTGGCGGTCCTGGGAGGCAATATCGGTATCTATATTGGCCGATACGAAAATACCGAATATCGGCTGATATCGGTAAAACCTATAATCGATAGATCCCTAATATTTACCCAATCTGCTACCCGGAGTCCTGCCAGGTCTCGAGTGTGCAACCCACTTGCCATGACTGGGTTGTGCGTGATAGGGGTAAGTGGGTTGGGTGATATAGTCAGTTGTCTTTTGATACGTATCGTACAGCAGACGCCCAGTGTGGCGTCCATCAAAAGATTATATATACATAGTGAGCTTAACGTCCCTGTTCCCTGCCAGAGCGCAGATGGGATCTTTCCCTCTGCCTATTGGGTCTCTAGAGACACCCATAGTTTCTTTGCAGGGTACGTGTGCCAATCTAGGAATCTATACAGATGGGCAGCATGATACTATATTGTAATAGATTGGAGACCCATCCCTCCAGCCACCTTGGGCCCGCCGAAGTATGGACTGGCGATGATTCCACACGAACTGCCGTATTGCCGTGGGCACAGCGTCTCATATCTTTTTGGAGAGTGTCCAGCAGGGTCAGATAGAGAGAGGAGAAAGAGTCTGCCGGGTCCAATTACATATCGGGAATGATGCGATTTAATGCACCATTGACGCGGATTCTGGCCGTGGGGGTTGTGTATAGGGACTGCACCGAGGCACGCATGAGCGGTCTGCCTCCCATACATTGCAGTACTGCTGTCAAGCACTGCCAATCTACCCGGTCAAATGCCTTCTCTGCATCCGGGGAGAGAAGCACCAGTTCTTTTTTTGGTTGACCGGGCAGCATGGATGATGTTGAGGGCTCTGATGGTGTTGTCGCGTCTCTCTCGCCCCCGGATATAGCCGACCTGTTCGGGGTGGATAAGGCCAGGTTGGGTCCTTGACCAGCGAAGGGCCGTTGCTTTTGCGAACAGTTTGAGGTCCGCATTCAGGAGCGAAATGGGTCGATAGCTCGAGCAGCTTATTGGGTCTCTTCCTTCTTTTGGTATTATGGTTACCACCACAGCCAGGGAGTCTGTGGGAAACTGGCCTCCTGTGTGGATCGAGTTTATCCCCTTCAGGAGCCTCGGCAAGAGGAGATCGCGTTACGTACATAGGTATGTCAGGGGTAGGCCATCCGGGCCTGGGGCCCGATGGGATTTTGACCACTTAAGAGCTTCAGTAAGATCTTCGATTGTTAGCCGTAGTTCTAGTGCTTCCGCCGATTAGTGTCCTCATAACATTGTGTGCGAGGTAGTCAGTGATCAGTAGGTGTCACTGTAGTGCAGCGTCCTCTTGGCATGTTTGAGATTAATACAGGTCTGTATAATAGGAGTGGAATGCCTGTAGGATTCTGTCTGGCAGTTGGATCTCCCCTGTGTTGTGCGTTCTGATTTTATGGATATGGTGCAGTCGTTGCCTGTCTTGCAGCTGTTGGGCTAGTAGTTTCCTGGTTTTGTAAGAATGTTCAAAGAAAAAAATCGGTTTGACTTTCTGAGTGTATGTAGGAGAGGCCCTGGGCAAGGAGGTCTTGCAGCTGTCTGCGTGTCTGTCAGCTGGAGGAATGTATCTTCTGCTAGCGTGCATTTGTGTGCTTTCAAGGTCTGCGATCCTGCGGACCAGTGAGGCCGTCTGTCTCGCATGTGCTTTCTTGCGGTGCGTGCAAATTTTTATATAGTATCCTCTGATCACTCATTTGTTTGCTTTCCGGATTTGCTTTCCAGACTGTCAACAGGGGGGGTGTCAGGTGTGGTGTTGGTGTCAAAGTATTGGGCCAGTTTGTCCTCGTCGATTCTAGTTCTACTGGGTCAGTTAACAGGTTCTCATTAAGCGTCCACTGGCGGTTCCTGGGTTTAAAGAGGGTGGAGCGCAGTGTGAGCGAGACTGGCGAATGGTCAGTGCTAACCGTGGTCCTAATGTCTGAGTGGATGAGTAATGATAAAAATTATCGTGCCAGAAAGTAGTAGTCAATTTGGCTATAGGGTTTGTAGACTGAGGAGTAAAAAGTGAAGTCCCTATTGTCCGGGTGTACCACCCTCCAGCAATCTACCAGGCCCAGTTGCCCCAAGGATTGTCGAACTAAGTGGATGTGTCGGTGCGGGAGAGAGCTAGTTCCCCTGGAAGTATCTTGTCGTGGCATTTTAATGTTGCCTGCAACCAGTAGGAGCCCCTTGCTGAATTTCTCCAGTCGGGACAGCGTACGTGTCAGGAAGGTATGTTGGTTCTGGTTTGGGCTATAGAGGCATGTGAAAGTGTACTTGTGATCAGCTATTGTTCCCTTAACCCCTTAAGGACACATGACATGTGTGACATGTCATGATTCCCTTTTATTCCAGAAGTTTGGTCCTTAAGGGGTTAAGGAAGAGGGATCTGCTCTGAGGATCTGCGTGTGTCTCTGTGCATACAGATGGTATGGTGTTGGCGAATAGAATGGCTACTCCCGCCCTCCTGGCCTCGTTGTGATTAGCAAACAAGCCCATAGGGAATTTGTGTTTTAAGGGGTGTCAGGGCCTCGGAAATGAGTTTCCTGGAGGAAGGCTATGGAAACGCGCTTGGCCCACAGGCTTCTGAGTAGTTGAGCTTTTTTCAGGGACGTTCAGTCCCCTCACGTTATTAGTCCAGAACTGGAGTGGGGCGGGTGCGAAACCAGTCAGTCATTCTGGGGCGGCGGAGGCAGGCCGGCTCCGCTCCTTCAGATGGCTTGCATAGAGAAGGAAATCTGCAGAAGGGAGGCAAGCCACAGAGAAGAAAGAGGTGGGGTGAAGTGTCAGGGGGTAGGCGGTGCTATGAGCGCCCTATATTTGACTTTTTGTTTGTTAGTAAACCTTGCCATTTATCTGCCAGTTTTGTTTTCCTTTTTCAATGGGAAATCATTTAAAAATACACACATGTATGATGGGCAATATTTGTATAAATAAAATGAGACCACACAATAACCACAGACAACGTTTACATTTTTTTCAATGAGCTTGGCCCCATGGTGTTTGTTCAAAGTTTAAGGGGCATACAACCATAATTTCATAAAATTGGATCTTTCAAACTTTTAACTTTATTAACCACCAAATAGCCAGTCAGTCTTAGATGATGTGACCGCCGTTTATGTAAATATTTTAACTTTATTAACCATCATATTGCCAGTCAGTCTTAACTAAACTTGACCCTGAGGATGACTTTTGCCCCAATGCTTCATAACACCACGACAATATAGTTATATAAAATTAAAGGGAGGCAGGGTGGGTCCTGCTTCAGTACACTGACTGGATTTAATTTGTGCTTTATAGGTTTATAGTTTATTTTTTTTATTTTTTTTTTAAAGGAACACTATATTGTTAGGAATACAAAGTCCAGCCTCCCCGCCATGTAAAACGTTAAAAAACCCTTTATATACTTGCCTGATTCAAGCACTGGTGTCCCTCGGTGCTGGGTCAGATTCCTCCTCTTTTGACCAACTGATTTAGGGGTGGAGGGTTTAATGTGCATCAAGTGCTGCTCATATTACGCCTTCCCCACAAGAAAGCATTGATTCAGTGCTTTTCCATGAGGTTTTTCAATATGCTAGATGTCCTCCTGCAAAGCGTAGGACACTGCAATGTAACCTTTGCAATTTCTCTAACACTGAAATGTTTTACATTGCATGGATGAAGGAAAATTATACTGTTAATAATACAAAACTTTATTTCTAACCGTATAGTGCCCTCCTATGCATCCCTAGATGTCCCTTGGCGCTAGATTGCGCTCCACTGTTGCCGTCCGCCAATGTGAATGGTGTATTGTGGATCACTAATATCGTGTTTGTGACCCACCATGTCTTACCTTGCATGTTGTGTTCTGTGCATTCTTATGTTTTGTGTTTGGGTTCTGTGCAGCGAACATAGTCATCAATGTCCACGTTGAATTTACAAAAGAAATACTAGTTTTTACAATATACTGAAAGCTCCATAGATGTGCAAATAAAATACCAGTGTTTGTGTTTTTTGTTTTGTTTTTTTTGTTATAAAATAACTTGTAGATCATCATATTCACTACAGCTCACTGTAGTGGTTATGGTGCCAGGACTACCCTGGTGCCCCCTCTCCTATTGTTGTAGACTTGTCTTTTGAGGATGGTTGATTGTTACAGTTGTTAAGGTCTACCTGCTTATACAATTCTATGGAATGTATCCCTTGTTTCTGCTAACATGCACATGTTCTCTGTAGTTCCACAGTGACAGTTCCTGTGCCGCAGGAGTTGCTGCCGCCGCAGGGTTTGCAGAAGTCTGTCTCCAATTTACAGAAACCGAACCCAGTGACAAATCCAGAGGTGAGACTCTCACTGATGTTTAGATGTCAAAGTGCTTTGATTGTGACCATGCTTCTTTTCTTTATAAGTTCCTCCAAAAACACTATAAGAACATTTGAGTAAAGAAAAATACAAAGTCCGCTTTCTGAACCTTTTAGGACACCCAAATTTTAGGATGAAAAGTGATAAATGCTAATCTGATGGATTTTTAAAATCTTTTTCTGGATGCTATATGTAGCTTGCTTTTTTTTTTTTTTTTTTTTCCAAAGGCAGCGAGACATGTGAACTATTAAAACTAAAGTAAACCTAAATAAAAATATTTAGCATATAGTGTGTTCAATATAATATATTCAATTATGTTCTTTTTCATTTTACAGAATATAAATTTAGTGCCAGGTGGGCAAAAGTCATGGGCACAGCTGAATGGAAAGCCAGCAGGACAAGAAGGTGGTAAGTGTCCTGTAATCCAAGTCAGAGGTGCACTTGCTCTCAGCAGACACTGCAGCTAGTGCAGGGGTTTCCAATTCATTTTTCCCGTGGAGCCCTTTGACATAGTGTTTCAACACTGTACGCCCTCCACCCCCCCATCCCCTCCCCCCCCAAAGGAAAAAAAAAGAAATTGTGCCGTTGCATTAACGTACGTGTGTGTCTGTGTGTGTCTGACACACAGATCCACACACTGGCACATAGTGGCGCGCACACTCAGATACAGTGACCCACAGATACACACACTGGCACATGCACATACATCTATATACACTCACTGAAAGATACATACAGTGACACTTGGTTACACACACTGGTGCATACACTCAGATACGCCGTGACACATACATTCACTGACACACAGATACTCACAGTGACACATATTTCACACACATGCCATTTTTTTTTATATTTGCAGTCACCCTCCTGTAAACATACCTGTTGTCTGCAGTAGGGTGACTTGCTGGTGTGTGTGTGTGTGTCTGTCTGTCTGCTCACTGCCGGCTGCTGCCTCTCTCCCTCCAGCGCAGAGTTTTCCGCATGGAGGAAACTAGTCACTTCCTCCCAGCATCCCATACTATGGGGACCCGGTCGCGCAATTAATCGGCCGCGGCGCAGACTGGGTCCCAGCAGCAATAGGGCTAACCTCTGGGCAAATAACCGCGGAACCCCAATTTTGTTCTCGTAGACCGCAGAACACCCATTGGGAAACACCGGTCTGGAGTCTAGCTTACAATACTTGCCATTTTGTGTTTCTGCTTCCGCCCCACTCTTGCTTTTTAAATTGGACTGTTCCTTTAAAAAGGTATGTGTGCAAAACCTGTTTATTTGGAACACAAATCCTACTGCAACTTTATTTGTTCTTATAAGGTATTTGCATTTTTTTGTTGACAGGTTCAAGGGGCTCAAACCGACTGTTGTCCTTCTCTCCCGAGGAATTTCCAACATTGAAAGCAGCTGGCGAGCAAGACAAGGTTGGCAAAGAAAAGAGCGTCTTAGATCCGTCGTATGGGCCCGGACCAAGCCTCCGCCCCCAGAGTAAGCCCCTCGCCCTGCTTCCCGGTAACCGCTCTGAACGTTTTGTCAGTCTTCCCCTTATCCCTTGTGTGACTTAATAGTCATACGTCCTCTAATCTAACTTATCTGATGTGTAATGTGCGTACAATAAATGGTCTCCATAGTTTTCTGCAGCCAAATATTTTTTTTTAATGTAAATTTTTCTTTGCACTGTTCCTCTCATGCATTTAATATTCATTATTGTAAAATGGAAGTTGCCTCCCCACCTCCCACCCCAAAAAATCCTCACTTAAATTATATTATCTATTGCTATCTGGACAATTTAGTCATCCCTACCGCTGCTGCACCTTACGTGACTATTTGGATTGTCGTAAATCAATATCGGCAAATGCTCAGGAGCCGTTTCTTTTAATGTGCTACTGATCTAAAGCCAAAATGTCCCTAGTTCCTTTAGTAACCAACTTATAGATGGATTTTCATGATGCACAGCCAGCCACTCTCTGACTGTAATGTCCCATAGTTGTTGGAATGAGCACTGTGTACTTTTACAACTCCCAGATTCTTAAAGGCTTAACTATAGGTTGGTGACTTCTGTTCTATGGTTGCATTCTAGGGGGGAGCGGGCGGGCGGGAAATTCCCTTCTTTTTCAGAAGGTTCAGGGTTTTTTCACCTTACAGGTTAGGTTCCAGTAGTAATAATGATTACCATTGATTTGTAATAATATTCCAATGGTGAATTGTTCTGTGATCATTTTATGTGCTTTGTATGTAGGATATCTGTGTTGGTTTTTTTTTTTTGTTTTGTTTTTTAAATGCATCATACAGAACAGGAATCATCACAGTTAAAATCTGGTCACGTATGTTAGCTGGACAGTCCACATCATAACCACTCATCTTATTAAAGTGGTTAAAGTGCCTAGAGTCCTCTGTTTCGACCACATTGTATATTGTTATACTGTTCTCAATTTCTGTGTTACTGAATGTGTGTCTCTGGACACCTGTACCTCCACTTGGCTACGGCACAGTTTAACACTTCCTTAGCCATATAAATCCATATTAAATGTGGGCAGCATTGATAGATGATAGATGAGAGCTTCCTTCATTCAGTATTAAAACAGTCGAAAATTGTTTAGCAATAAACAATGGAGCTGTGCCAGAGAACTCTGTGAGATGAAGGGGTTATGGTGCGTAGAGTATTCCCTGGCGGGGAAAAATATATATTAAAGGGTAACCATGAAGTAAAAATTGGCATCTAATATTTTATTTCATTATGAAGGTTAAAATAAAAAAAGGGGAGGGGGTGGGGTGATGAAGTATCCCATCAACCTCTGAACAGTAGGTTTGTAGGATAAGTAGTTAATGAGATGAGTGGAACTTTCTTGTGCAAGAGTAAAATTGCCCATAAAACCAATAGTAGCTTTACCATGGCTGCTATCTGTTCACACGTTTCACTGTTTAGTGGACCATGCTATGTTAAGCTCTTAGCAAATGTGTGGTATACAGTCCACAGCTCTGCTTTGCTCTTGTATATGGAGAGAGAGCGGAGCCTACGTTGTGCATATAGTATGCAAAAGCTGCACACAAAATTTGGATAAAATTGATTATCCGGCAACAAGTCTCTTTCCATTCCAGGAGCCCAGAAGTGGAGTTACACCTCAGCAGAAATTCTAGTGTCTCGGAACTGCTTGCATCTCAAGCTAAAACCATGCATATATGGGCGAATTGAAATGGTTATAGTACTTAAAGTAACCCTCTAACTTTAAATATTGGTTACCTTTAACAGAGCAATGCCTCTGCTCTTTTATATATTCTTACATTTTAATGTGGTTATTTTGTATAAAGTGCCTTATCTTGTTTTTTAAATTAGAAATTTTAACCGGTTTCTAATATGTTCTATTCTTCCTATCCCATTTCAGATGTCACCAGTTGGAGGGAGGGCGGTGGGAGAATCATTACTTCTAGTGTGTCTCCGACCGTCTCTCCTACTGAGCCGGGAAGCAAACCCACCATCCCAGCAGATGGTGCCCCCTCCCCAGCGCTTGCGAACGATTCAAAGGAGCTTTCGCTTCGCCCGGCTCAGCCCAACCGAAAAGGGGCTCCGTTCTTGGGGAACACATACCATCCACCAACTTACCATGACATGCTACCAGCTTTTGTACGTATTACTGCCCAGTATTGTCTTATTACATTGCAAATGTTTTTGCTTAAATCAGGCATCTCAAACTCTGTGCCACCCCCCAGACGTTTCTGAAATACAACTTTCACATTTCTCTGGCCATCTATTGCATTCAGTCTAATAAGGCAATTGTAAAGTGTAAAGGAACACTTCGTTGCAAATGTTAATATTTTCTTTTTAGCTATTTAGTAGCTTTTTGGCAGACTGGATCAAGGCCAAGAATGTGAGACTCGGAGTGGTCATCTACGAAGAGATACCTAATTTTATCCATAGGCTTCTGGCCTCACTCCTACCCCCAAAGCACAAAGCAGATGAAGTTAGTCATGATGGACTATTGCTTTTGTTTACTAGAGGGCCCCAAAGGACACATCCAAGGACATTCTGATAAAATTTGTTCGGACAGAAGGATTGTCAGAGGGCAACCAAGGGGACCCCTAACACAGCATTCGAAGGCTATCAACTTACCTTTTACCGTGACCTGTCCCATCACACCACCATATGGAGACAGCCCCTCCGACATGTTACTTAACACCTGAGGGACCACAATGTGCCTTAAGAATGGGGCACACACAGGCTTTTAATGGAGAAAGGAGTCAAAACCAACTCCATCACGCACCTTACTGAAGTGCCAGCCTTGTTCCGAATGCTGGGTATACTAGACGCACCTCATACACCAGCAAGCCGACCATTCTAATCTGTGGACCAGATAACCCCATCTGTACGCAGTGCCGCAATATCATGGAACATTGATCCTCCACACCGAGGGGCACGACCGCGCACCCGTACCTACCTAGCACGCTTAATGTGTGAAAACTGTTTCCTTATTTCTCATTTTCTATTGTATAATATGTTCACTGTTCTGTTTTTTTTTTAACCGGCGCCGTAAGCCATACAGTCTGAACCACCCCACCCCCAAACCCAGAACACCACTGGCAGACGACCCCTACTCACAGAAGCCAAGCAATTATACCAGCTGACGGCTCATACCCAGCCGTGATCCCCCCTCCCTCCCTAAAGGCAGACAGACAATCAGATGAGAGGGCCACAACCCACAGACAAGTACAGGATAATTGTTCTACTTCTCACTTAAGCCAGAATACCTTATGGTTTATAACACGCATGATTGGTTGACTGCTTATTAGTTGACATTTTTATTACTTTTATTAAAAATAGTGTCTGTACCTTTTTGACATGTACCAAAATGTGCAGTGTTTTAATGTGGACCCTGCTATGTCCAAACAAGTTTTATGCCACGGTTTATAGCACGACAAAAATGTCAAGAAAAATCTGGTGGAGCAGAGTTTGAGGTTCCTGTTTCAAATGTAAGTGTCCGGACATGCAAGTTAATTTTTATATTTTGCTTCCAGATGTGCTCTCAGCACCAATCAGAACCCACTGGGACATCGGATCGTGCTTCCTTTCCTATCCAACCTACTTCCCAACCTCGTCTGGAACCTCGTGTACCATTTAGACAGTTTCAGATGAATGACCATGAAGGGTAAGTCCAAGCAGATTGCATGACTGATGCATTTGGATTTTACTATCAATTTTGAAAAAAAATTTTTTTACTTGATGCTCTTGTTATCCTACATTCATTGTTTTTATTTGCCCTGCAGACTGAGTACCACTTTAATGCAGACTCTTTTTTTAGGTCTTTGTGGCCGTTCTTCATTTCATTTAGCCAAGCTTTTAGTAAAATTCAATTCTGTCTCTGGTTATTTCTTAGAAGAGAGAGCCGATATCCAGGAGGACCTTCTCGACCTGTACGTCAAACTCGTTCTCAAGGAGAGAGAGCACCAAGGGCCACCATCATTAATGCTGAAGATCTCAAGGAGTTGGATGACCTTGACAATGATGCTGAAGATGGTTGGGCTGGTATGTTTTTTTTTTTTTTTTTTAAATCTATTATGTATATGTTCTACTGACAAGTACATCATTAAGTTTCCTGTAATTGAGCTCTAGTTTGTATTTTTATTATTATAATCTTTATATAGTGCCAACAAATTCCGTAGCATTTTACAATGGGTGGACTAATTTTAGTATATATTCTTGTAGGTCTGCATGATGAGGTGGATTATTCGGAAAAACTTAAGTTCAGTGAGGATGAGGAAGATGAGGATATCAATAAGGAGGGAAGAAATAAATGGTAAGCATTGTTTTATTTAATTTTTTAGTTATTTGTAAATACTAGGATACACATTATTATAGGCTGCTGATGACCACCAAAGCATAGTCTGCACATTGCTGACATTTATTGATCCAATCACTGCTTTTAGCAGCTAAATGGTTAGAGGGATCCACCTGCCCATTGGAAGGCTTGCTATCTTATGAAGGATTTAAGGCTGGAAATGATCATGACAGTGTGGTTGTAAAACAGCTGATGTGGTGGTTTTTTCTTTTTTTTTCTTTGGACACCACTGCCAGGGCTCAAAACGTCAATTTGACCCTAGCCATTGGCAAGTTAACAGTTAGCCCTGGCAAGTAGAAGTCCACTTCTGGAGGGTATACATGGTTTACAGTGGCAAGTCACTTTTAAGGCTGTTGGTTTGTTTCTTATGTATACTTTGAGTTCCTGTTTTGTGTATGTTGGGTGAGATGGGTTTCCTCACACATAATGGCCAAAATTACGCTTTAAGAGCAGATTAATTTTTTTTTAAACATTTTTTATTTTAAACAATGTGTATTTGCAGTGTTATCATGGTAGATTTAGATCCACATTATCCTGTTTTGTGCTTGATCTATCTGGACCATCCGCAAAAGAATGAGATTTGAGTCCGTTTATGAAGCTCATGATCATGGTCTTGCCCTTTGTGTTTTTCAGATGTTAAGATGAATTTATATTTCCTTGTAGTGCTAAACTGTTAAAGTTGCATAATATTAAACTGCCAGACTATTCCCCACAGGAATGGCTGGGATTGCAGAAGGCAGCGGCAGGTCTCTTTTACCTCCACTGACAGTGCAGATGCAAAGCACCCAACAGAGGATGGTAAAAACTGGAGTGATCCATTGGCCCATCAGCGACCTGCACGAAGAACACCAGAACCATTGCAGCAAGGGTCCCGGAAACCAAACAGCTGGGCAGCAGTAGCTGAGCATCAGGTAGCATACATGTTTAACAAAAATAAACACTAGTGAGAGTATAGATGTATGCACCTTGCAGCCTTTGGCAGAACATCCACAAGTATCTGGAGTAGCTCCGTTAAGCACATTTTATTAATGTGTAAAGCAGTCTTGTATGTTTTTGGTGGGGGTGGAGGGGTTCAGGCTTGTCTACAGTTTTATCCTAGATAATTCTCAGATGGAAATAATACTAAATGTTATTTCTGTGCTTTCTTTATAGCAGAAGTCTACACCTGTTATACGGCAACCGTCTGTGGAAGAAAAGGAGGACAAGTTGCCTCCACGGCAAAAGTTTGTGCAGTCCGAGATATCAGAGGCAGTGGAGCGTGCCCGAAAACGGCGTGAAGAGGAGGAGCGACGGGCCAGAGAAGAGCGTCTTGCTGCTTGTGCTGCTAAATTAAAACAACTGGACCAAAAAACAAAACAGGCTCCAAAATCTCCTGGTGGTGACCTTCCAAGACAGACTGAAAACAAAGAGAATGAGGACCCACGGTCTCCAGTGTCAGACAAGAGCAGCACTCAGGAGAACAGTCATGCTTTCCGAAGAGGTACGTACGCGTGAGAGGTTAACCTCTGGAAATCAAAATTTTAACATTCCAAATTAAAATCATGGTATATTGGTCAGAGGTGATAAATGTTTTAATATCTTACTTGGAAGAAGGCAGAAATCTTGTTAATATTTATATGCATCAAACAATGCATGCACATGCATATATAATAGAACAGTTTTGTGTGCAGATTGCTTTTCTTGAAAATATTAGTTATGTAAATTTACAGAATTTGTATTTTCCATTCTTTTATAGAATTTTTTAACTTTACTTTTTTAACCCCTTAAGGATGGAGCCAAATGTACACGTTGTGAACAAAACAAACTGTAAACAAAACCTGGCATTTGCGCTACATGTCTGTCCAACCGTAATTCCCCTCTTTCATATTAAATGCACCCACCCTTATTATATATATCATTTTATTCAGGGCAAACAGGGCTTTCATTTAATATCAAATATTTAGCTATGAAACCTAGTTTAATATGAAAAAAATTTTTTTTTTTTAGTTCTACATGACATTTTAACTGTGAATGTCATAATACTGTTTGCTTTTACTGCAATAAAATACACATATTTGTATTCAGCAAAGTCTCACGTGTAAGACAGTACCCCCTATGTACAGGTTTTATGGCATTTTGGGAAGTTACAGGGTCAAATATAGCGTGTTACATTTGAAATTGAAATTCGCCAGATTGGTTACGTTGCCTTTGAGACTGTATAGTAGCCCAGGAATGAAATTTACACCCATAATGGCATACCATTTGCAATAGTAGACAACCCAAGGTATTTCAAATGGGGTATGTCCAGTCTTTTTTAGTAGCCATTTGGTCACAAACACTGGCCAAAGTTAGCGTTAGTATTTGTTTGTGTGTGAAAAATGCAAAAACCGCCAATTTTGGCAAGTGTTTGTGACTAAGTGGCTACTAAAAAAGACTGGACATACCCCGTTTGCAAAAAACCTTGGGTTGTCTACTATTGCAAATGGTATGCCATCATAGGGGTAATTTTCATTCTTGGGCTAACCAATCTGGCAAATGTTAATGTGAAAAAAATGAAACACAAGCCTTTGATGCTGTAACTTTTGAAAACACCATAAAAGCTGTACCTGAGGGGTACTGTTGTACTCTGGAGACTTAGCTGAACACAAATATTTGTGTTTCAAAAAAGTAAAAAGTATCACAGCAATAATATCGTCCGTGTAAGTGCTGTTTGTGCGTGAAAAATGCAAAAAACTTCACTTTTACTGGCGATATCATCGTAGTAATACATTTTACTGTTTTGAAACACTAATATTTGTGTTCAGCGAAGTCTCCTGAGTAGAACAGTACCCCCCATGTACAGATTTTATGGTGTCTTGCAAAGTTATAGGGTTAAATATAGTGCTAGCAAATTAAATTCCCTACGTGTATTTTGATATATATATATTTATATATTAATATCACAATAGTTAGAATGAAATAACACACATCTATATATTTAATTTTTTTAATGTATTTACATATTAAATTTTTTATTATATATAACAATAATTATATATATTTAATCAGTATCAGTCTGTGTAATTTGATATTAAAATATATATTAATAGTTAAATACACCTAGACAGTGTGTGTGTGTGTGTGTGTGTGTGTGTGTGTGTGTGTGTGTGTATGTGTATGGGGGGGAGGGCATACTATTACGCCCAGCGGCATTTAGAGCCGCCTAAAATAGGGCGTAATAGTATGCCCTCCGGTTTTGAGGGGTAAATGAAAAGCATAACAAAATGTGTCAAAAAAATAAAATTCATAAATAATCCATCATGCACCATTGGAAATCTGCAGAATGGAAAAATGATCTGAGGGAAATAATCTGTGCTTTTTTGGGGGGGGGAGATTTGAATCATAAAATACCAAACTCTGCTTTCATCAGCTTAAACATTTAAAAAAAAATGCAATTTAATCCTCACCAGGCTGCTTCTCTCTACCACAAAGACTGTGTGAGATCTTACATGTATGACAAGAATTAAAAATGACCATTAGAGCGATGGAGAGAGAGTTTTAATACACAGACACATGTATTGAAATTTTAGTTTAGTCCTATTATTTTGTCACCTGTACATATTATGTACGCTATAAATCAAGAAACATAAATGAATTTATTTTGAATTACTTTTTCTAAGCTCATGTTGGTGCAATAAATGACAGAGATGCAAATTGCGTTTGAACACAAACTGCAAAAAATCCAAAAATGGCTTGTGTCCTTAAGGGTAAGTCCAGTTTTTGAAGCTGCGTCCTTAAGAGGTTAAAATAGTTAAATACTCTAGGCTCAAATTACATGCACATTTGCAACAGTTCTCACATTTGAAGCTCCTCCATTTGCTGCAAACACATTGCAGCTTCAGTGAACCTTGCCCAGAAAAGGAAGCAACCGTTTTTTTCTTGTATCTTTTTTTTTTTTTTTTATGGTGAACGTAGTCATGGGAAGTAGTGGAATTATGTGCGTTAATTTTGTTACCCTAGTTACTGCATCACAATTTAGAATTTTTGTTGCTTTTGTGTGTGTAACAGCTTTCTAAGTATCCCAGTCAATCTGTAATTTAAAGAGTGCAAGTGATTTTCATTTTTTCATCAACTTGGGATATGCTGACCTCAAGGTATCTGCCCATCTTTTTCTCCCAAGGGTTTTCCATGCTAGTTATTTCTCAAAGACACTATAGTGAAGAAAGCTTGACCACACATTTTGCATTGTACGTTAAATTGAGATGATCCATTTGATTAACCCCTTAAGGACCAAACTTCTGAAATAAAAGGGAATCATGACATGTCACACATGTCATGTGTCCTTAAGGGGTTAAAGTTCCACTATAGTGACTTAGACCACGTTTTGCCTTTAGTCCTGCTGTGCAACACATTGCTGCTTTGTATACAGCAATAGTTTCGAATAGTTCCTAGAGGGTGCTTCCTGTGGGAAAGCATTGGATTGGCTGAAATCCTCACAATTGATGATCTCTGCCAAGAAGGCAGAACTTGGGCAGGGCTAGCCGAGAGGAGTCCTGCACGGTGCTGGAAAAAATAAATGTTTGCGGGCCTTTTTTATTGGTGCAAGTGAGGCCGGGTGGGACAAATGGTGTTTTACACCTATGGTGTCAGGAATACATATTTATATTCCTGAGATTATAGCGTTCCTTAAAGAATTACAATTTCCATAAATTCCTGTTGCTTAGAATAACATTAAGTGTTTTTATACATATTTTTACCCTGTGTTATAGAATACTCCACGCAGGAATACCCACCTGATTACCTAGAGGAAGAACCTGCTGCAGCTCCTCGGGCTGAAACAAGTAGCGAAGAAGAATATACAGAATCTTCCTCTCCCATTCAGGAATTCGGTAAACATCAGAAGCTCATCCCCCCTAGATTCCAGCGGCAGCAACAGGTTAGTGACACAATTGCTCACACACACAAAAAAAAAATCTAAAATATCTTCAAATTTTCTTGACTTGGTTTTCAAGTTCTAAAGGAAAACATTTCTGCAATGCATCAGCTTACAGACATAGGCTGTGTTATATGCTGAAATGGTTTTAAAATGAAGTCTGAGTATTTGCTTGATTTATTTTATAAAAAAAAATTTTTTATTAAAAAAAAGTGTATGGTGCTGAATTTGTGACTTCTTTATAAGTCACGCTAATTGCAAGCTGTAGAGCAGTAAATGGGAAGCTGAACTACATCCCAAATACCTATAACTTTTCTGTGCAGCCTCTTATGATTCATTTAAACCCTGTGTATAGTTGTATTGCAGAAAACTAGAAACAAACATGACCTATTAAGTCTCCTCGTTTGTCAATATTTCTCTGTAGGAGCAGTTGTATAAAATGCAGCAATGGCAGCAGCAGCAGCAGCAGCAACAACAACAACAACAAGCAGCCTATGTTGCATCCACACATTCCACCCCCCCGCGCACTTTCTATTCACATCATCCACAGATGTTGGGGTTTGACCCTCGTTGGATGATGATGCCTTCCTACATGGACCCACGGATGACCCAGGGCCGCGCACCAGTGGATTTCTACCCTCCTTCAATCCACCCTCCAGGTTAGTGCTCAGCTACAGACTTTACTTATAGAAGAGAATTAGTTTGGTACAGTTTTATCAAATGCACCTGGCAAATGTTGTACAAATTTTTTTTATATATTAATATTCTCTAGTTCATGTCTGCATATATTCGGCCCTTGTTCTGGAGATTTATTTTTATTTTTTCCTCTTGTGCATCTTAAAAGTTGGTTAAATAGAGGTCCATGCACAGTGTTTACTTCTCATTCCCTACTCTGTTAATTGAGCTAAATTCACACATGAGGCTCCTTCAGGCTCTAGCAGGCAGGATTAGATAAGAAATTATAAATTAAACACTGTGTGTAATAAAGGAAGCTTTAGAGCTCTTTACAGGGAGAGTGTAGGGAGGATGTATGCTAATGCTGCATAAATAAAGTGTCAACACCTAAATGACAAAAAATTAAGCAGTGAGATTGCACAAATGTCTTTTCGACTTTTAGTCTTTCGGATGCCAGAGGAGTGTGCCGTGTATAAAAATGCATCACTTGAAATAAGACATGGAATTCTGTTTCCCATTTTTCAGGAGTGATGAAACATATTATTCCTCAAGAGTCTATGGCCCCAGCAGAGGAGTGCCAGACTAGCCTGCAACCAGAGAGGAGAACTCAGTCTGCAGAACCAGTTTCTGCATGGCATCAAGATGGCTATGTCCACATGCAGAACAAAGTTTATTCTATGCCTTTGCCGAAGCAAGCAGATACCACCGCGGAGGGCAATTACAGCAGGTATTTTACAGATTTTGTTTCTGGTGATTTAAAGAGATCTCATTTTCAGTGTATTTCGCATTCATGCCTGTTTTCCATAGTTCAAATGTCTACACCACCGAAGGAACAGAAAACACCTTACCGGACTATGATCTATGTTACCAGGTTGCCTAGCATTGTTTTTTTGGCAGGTAGTAATTTGTGTAGTCTTGGTAAGCTGAAACTCAAAAAAATTATTTTTTAATTTAATTTTTTTAAATCCGTAACTATGAAGGTCAAGTTTCTTTTAGGACATAATCAGACTTTGCGGCTAAAACTAAATTTAGAAAAATTAAGAGAAGTGTTCAATACCTTACATTTATGTTTGGGGAATCATGTGCATATTCTATAATTTTGATCTCTGACACAAGTTACATTCTTAACTCTTCATTTGGTGTCCACAAATTTCTTTTTTTTTCTTTCTCTTTGGCAATGGTTTTTTAATTACCTGATTTACTTTCCAGCCACTAAACCTGAGTAATTCCCCTTTTAAACTCCTTTTATTGGACACTGTACCTTGTTGACAAGAGGTTAATGCACTGTCCTCCTATCAATGCCATGTCCATTGTTAGAGAGGTCCAGCCCAAAACGGATAAGCTGGCAGTAGTGCTAGCTCATTGTAGGTAGAACATATATTGCTGGACCTCTCACATAAACAAAATGATTTGTCCTCTTCATGGAAGTCCACAAAATGGTTCCGTATAAGAACCCTAAAAGTAACATACATCTCCGGAACTGCCAGAGTTCTTGGGAGAATAATGTTACTTTCAAAACACCAAAACAGTGCGTTGATAAGAGTGCACAGGGAGATTTAAGCACCCTGTTTTTGCTCACTGTGGGTTGCCGTTACCCCACTGACTTATTTTCTGGTTTGCTTTCAGGAACGAAAGCTCTTACTCGGCCTCAAGAGAAAGGTCAGAGAGTGTACAAACACACCGTGATACCATAGAAGAACGTGCAGAAGATTATTTAGCATCCACCAGTTATGAGAAGAAATCAACTGGAAACGTAAACAGCTGTATTTCACCTCAAAGAAGAGGGCAGGATGTACTGTACCAGCATCTTGAAACTGCTGCAGATTCTGGCATGAACAGGGGGCATCCAATTAATTCAAGGGATGCATCTTCAAGGAGCTCAGAGCTCCCCAAAAATGATAAAAAATCTCAGTTCAAAGGGTGGGGTTATGCAAACCATAATAAATCATCCGACACAGCCAGCAGTGTTGAAGAAGAGATCCCTAAGGAGGCACAAGGATTGAGATCAGATTTGTGGAAGAAGGAAGATGGCGTATGTCAAGACTCAACAAGTGAAGCACGTTGGCGAAGCGAATCCACAAACTCAAACAATCAACAGTCTGAACATCTAGGTAGGAGCCGTAGATCTGGTCCAATAAAGAAGCCTGTTCTTAAAGCACTTAAAGTGGAAGAGAAGGAGCTGGATAAAAGCAAACCAGAAACAAAAGATCAGGTGAAAACAATGAAAGAAAAACTTCTTTCAAGGCCTGAAAATGTGGTAAAAACTGAACCTACAGTTCTTAACTCTTCATCAGTTTTATTAGAAGAAAAGAATTCCCAGGCGAGCCACAATCAGGAAACTGAAACTTTCCCTCAAGAGAAAGTAGAAAGGAGTTGGGATACTAAACCTTCAAGAGAGTCGAGCAACCCTTCCATGACAAAGCGCAGCAACTGGATATTTATTGATGAAGAACAGGCTTTTGGGGGCAGGTCTCAAGGTCGTGGAAGGGGTAGAGGTTTCAGAGAATTCAGCTTTAGAGGGCGTGGAACTATCAATCCTTACAATGGAACAAGAATGAGTAGGGGTAGAGGGATAAGGGAGTTTAACCCCACAGAAGATTTCAGAGGCAAAGTTTCACGAAGGCGTGTTGCCAGTGAAACACACAGTGAAGGGTCAGAATATGAAGAACTTCCAAAACGTAGGCGACAGAGAGGGGTAGAAAATGGAAATGAGCCCCCTCTTTTAGAAAGAGATGGGGATGATTCAAGAAAAGGTGACCTTCAGGACTCCTGGAGGTCTAACAGAAATTATTCTGATGATCCTAATATTGATTCTAAGTCAAACGCCCCACGGGCTTTTGGGCGGTCTCTTCCTCCAAGGCTTAGTAATAGCTATGGGAGAAGGTCTTTCAACTTCAAAGAATCATCTCATTGGCAGGCCAAATCTGTTGGATCTTCTTGGCAGGAGTATAATATGTCATCAGAGTCTTATGGAACCCGACATAACACAGATAAAGACTATGTCCATGACTATAGATATTCAGACTCCTATGCTGGTAGAGGTTTTAATGAAAACCAAGGAGATGAGAGGAGACCTTTTTTCCAAGAGGACTATTTAGATCGAGATAGTTTAGAGAAAAGGTCTTTTGGAAGGAGACGACCTCCTCGCCAAGACAAGCCACCAAGGTTCCGACGTCTTAGACAGGAAAGAGAATCTGTTGGTCAGTTGAGTGGTGAAGAAGTGGGTAGTGTAAATAATCATGATCAGTGGCAGGTGCGTCAAAAGATGACTGGTGAGAAATCTGGTCCATCTTCAAGACGGTCCCCAGAAATGACTTACCATAATGCTGATCATGTCAATGAAGAGTGGGAAACTGCATCCGAAAGCAGTGACTTTAGTGAGAAGAGACCAGCAGATATGGAGGGTGATGGCAATCCATCTGGGAGTGGGTTCTCCGAAAAGAGAGAACTTTCCAAAAGGAGTTTCTCCAGCCAAAGACCTCTTGCCGACCGCCAGAGTCGTAAAGTGGACTCTTCTGGTTATGAGGATAATAACCCAAGAGCCAGTGGGAATTCTTCACGTAATGATTACCAGCAAAATGGACCTCCATTAAAAGGAAGGTGGGTCGTTTACATGTATAGATGTACAAAGCTTACGTGAAGAATTGACGTCTCAGTTTTTAACCTATTCAAGCAGTGAAATGTATTTGGGTCCCAGTTGTTTCAACTCCACATGTTAAGTTGCTCGAATAAGCACACAGTTGTCCTTTTCATGTTCTGTCTTAAAAACTAGCTAAATCTGTAAAAATTATGTAAAGGCTGTTTGCCTTAAGCTATCCAAATAAAATAAACTGTGGCATTGTATGATTTACAGCTATTGGCTGCTGCAAGACATTGCTGACGTCTTAATGTGGTTACCTTACAATTAACAAAGGGACACGCCAGGCACCAAAACAACTTAATCTAAATGATTATGGGGCAAGGAGGCCACCGGAGGCACTCTTACCTGAAGAGGTTAAACTATCCTCGAACGGTTTAACCCCAAAGTTGCTTCCAGTGGCGATGTCCACACCCCCTAGGTGGCATTTGGCTTATGAATTTTCAGATTCAGGAAATGAAAGTGCCGCCGGGTAGGGGTGCTGCTGATTGGCTTAGAGCGGTTAGCTGATGCTTTCAGCCAATCCATGACTTCTCATTCACAAAACTGGCTTAGAAAGAAAAGTACCTTTTCTAAGCCAGTTTTGTGAATGGGGAGTCGCTGATTGCCTGAGAGAGTCAGCTTAGCGCTCTCAGCCAATCAGCAGTAATACCCTGGGGAGAGTGGGCATCGCTGCTGCAGGTAACTTAGTAGTTAAACTATTCTCAAACAGTTTAACCCCTTCAAGTAAGAGTGCCTCCAGGGGTCTTCTGGCACTATCACAACTTAGATTAAGTTGTTTTTGAGCATGGATTTACCCTTTAAAGAGGGAGTCCAAAAATCCTAACTACAGCCCACTGTAGAGGTTATAGTGCCATGGTGCTTTTCCACAGTAAGCTGTCAAACCAGTTTTAGCATGATTTGACAGCTTACCTGTTTCCTGCCGGACGCACCCCTTGTAATGCAGGGCAATGTCAGACAACACTCATTTGTCTGAGAGCTCAACTAATGCTCTCATCTTTGAGCACATTACTTCATTGACTTTACTGTTTTACTCTAAACGTGCAGCTGCGATAGCCCGGCATAACTCTGGTAAGTTATTAAACTATGCTTAAATGGTTTGACCACTTACCCTAGGATGATTCCAGAGCGCTTCTGGCACCATAACCATGGTGCTTGAAATGTTCGTTTAAGTAGTAAAGTGGCAATATGGTACTTCCAGTCTTCTGGATGTTGCCAAAGTTCTAGAGCAGGCTGTTCTGTTTATGATTAGACTACCCCTTTTAGAAATGGAAACCAGATATCCCTGCTCTTACATGTAGAACTGCATGCCATTAAGTAGAAACATGGGGCGCAGTTGTTTTGCTTTTTGTTTTTTACATTTTCACAGAGGGACCCAAAGTGTTAGCACTACATTATTTAAATGTCCTTGTCATTTCTTTATACCTTTATGCAGTTTTTCTCTGTCTTCTGCTGGCTCCCAATGCTGATGGACATTTATTTTTTTGAATTACTTTTCATGACAGAATAATACATATATTTTTTTTTTTAAATGCTCCAAGGGATGCTCTAAGCAACAAAACAACTTTAGCTTAATTAAGCTGTCTTAGTGTATAGATCACGTCCTTGCAGTCTCACTGCTCGATTCTCTGCCAGTAAGACTTAAAATCACATTGTTTATGCAGTCCTTACTTTGCCACAGTAACCTAAGGTTGTTTTGGTGCTTACAAAGTTTCTTTAACCCCTTATGGACAGTGGGCGTTCTATGCCGTCCTTGGGGACCCGGCTCTAAATGCCGGCGGGCGGCATAGAACGCCCAAGCCGTCCTATGTACTTACCCGGGAATCCCCCTCCTTCCTCTTTGGCCCTCTTGGGCCATGTGATCACGAGGACCTCACGATAACATGGACGGCATAGTCCATGTCATTGTCAGCAGGGGGAGTGCCTGTAATGACAGGTACTCCACCTGCTGCCTGAAAACTGTAAAATAAAAGATTTAATAACAGTTTAAAATAATAAATAGAATATATATATATATATATATATATATATATATATATATATATATATATATATTCTAAGTATAAGTGTATTTTAATATATATAATTATATATAGTATCAAAATACACGTACAATGATATTGATTAAATATATATAATTTTATATATATATGTAAATTCGTTCTAACTGTATTTTAAAATATATATCTCTATATATCAAAATACATGGAGAATGAAATAATATATATCTATAAACCGAAGTGTGTGTGTGTGTCTGTCTCACGCTTGAAGTCCCTTATTGTTTGGGTGTTAGCAAACCATGGCTAGTAGTATCCATTTGTAGTAAGCAGGTGTCGGCACTCTCGGTATTAAAAGTCCAAAGTTTATTGGTATAAAATTAAAAACCGATCAACATTTCAGTCCTGCATCGAGGGCTTTCATCAGGATCAAAATACTATATATATGTGTGTGTGTGTGTGTGTGTGTGTATATATATATATATATATATATATGTGTGTGTAATATTTTTACATAATTAGGTCATTTTATTAATTACAATTTGTGGGACCTGCCTGACAACCCAGGCCAAAAGTCCAGGGAATTTAATTTGCTAGCACTATATTTAACCCTGTAACTTTCCAAGACACCATCAAACCTGTACATGGGGGGTACTGTTCTACTCGGTAGACTTCGCTGAACACAAATATTAGTGTTTCAAAACCGTAAAATGTATAACAACGATGATATAGTCTGTGAAAGTGAATTTTTTTTTTTTTCACACTCAGATTGCACTTACACGGACGATATAATTGTTGTGATCCATTTTACTGTTTTGAAACACTAATATTTGTGTTCAGCGAAGTCTCCCGAGTACAATAGTACCCCTCATGTACAGGTTTTGAGGTGTTTTCAAAAGTTACAGAGTCAAATATAAGGCTTGCATTTCAGTTTTTTCACGTTGAAATTTGCCAGATTGGTTATGTTGCTTTTGTGACCGTATGGTAGTCCAGGAATGAGAATTACCCCCAGGATGGCATACCATTTGCAGTAGTAGACAACCCAAGGTATTGCAAATGGGGTATGTCCAGTCTTTTTTAGTAGCCACTTGGTCACGAACACTGGCCAAAATTGGGGTTCAAATTAGTTTTTTGCATTCTTCACACACAAATATTAACGCTAACTTTGGCTAGTGTTTGTGACCAAGTGGCTACTAAAAAAGACTGGACATACCCCATTTGCAATACCTTGGGTTGTCTACTATTGCAAATGGTAAGCCATCATGGGGGTAATTCTTATTCCTGGGCTACCATATGGTCTCAAAAGCAACGTAACAAATCTGGCGAATTTTAATGTGAAAAAAATTAAAAATGTAACATGCTATATATGACCCTGTAACTTCCCAAAACACCATAAAACCTGTACATAGGGGGTACTGTTTTACAAGTGAGACATCGCTGAATACAAATATGTGTATTTTATTGCAGTAAAAGCAAACAGTATTTTGACATTCACAGTTAAAATGTCACGTAGAACTAAAAAAAAATTTTTAAAATTTTCTCCCATTTTTAAAAATATTTTATTCATATTAAATTTTATATCTAAATATTTGATGTTAAATGAAAGCCCTGTTTCCCCTGGATAAAATGATAAATAAGTGTGGGTGCACATAATATGAAAGAGGCATATTATGCCTGAACAGACATATAGCACAAATTCTAATTTTTGTTTACGTTTTGTTTTTATCACAACTTGTACATTTGGCTCAGTCCTTAAGGGGTTAACACCTGTTGTTTCTGAATTCCATTATCAATTAAACAATAGCTGAAAATCTAAGTTTGATTTCTAGTGATCCTGACCATTTGGGTCAACGCATAAAAGACTTGACCGGTTTCTCTAAGTCTGCTATGCTTTCAGTTCAGCTAATCTGCTCTTGAAATTTTCAATTTGGCTTGAGTTATACCTGAAATTATTACTTTGGTATATGTACCAAAAGGGATCTTATATGGTGCCCTATTTAAAATTTATAGATTTAAAGCAGGCGTGTGAGCATTGGTAGTTGCATGGGACTTTTCTTTGTATGTCTTCTCTATTTCAACAGTCACTAAAAAATTAAAATATGGATAGGTTTTTAGATGTTGGAAGAGATGATTTCAATTTTTGTAGGCAAACTAATTTGATGTTATGCAAGCTTATTCATTTGAAAGAGATAGTTGTGGTGTTTTTGTCCTGTCTCTCTAGTTTTGTGCAGAAAACTTCCTAGAAGTTTACATGCTTTTTATTTTACATATGTGTAGTTTCAAACCGTTTTTTCCTTATACCTTCCTGTACTTCCAGTAGATGTCCTGAAGAGTCATATGCTCAAGAAAATGGCCAGCATCGCTATGGATTGGAGAGGTCTATGCACTGTGACAATGGCGATGCATCTGGGAAAAAACAGGAGAGGGACTCCAGGCAATCAGGCTTAAAGGCTAGCGATAAAGCAGAAGTCCTAACCCCATATGATATGAAATATGGAGGTATGTTTTGGTTAAATCTGGTTTCTTCTTTCGTAGCACTCATATGATGGTTATAATTGATACCTTTATTGTTTTCCTCAGATTCAGTCCTGGAAGAAGATCCAGAAATAGGAGGAGACGGTTACCCTGACACAAGTAGCAAGCCACGACGCGGGCTTGACAAAGATCGCCGGAAAAAGGACCAGATAGTCCAGGTGAGGTTCTCTTTTGTTAAAGATTACACGCCCGCTTGTTTATTAAATATTGCTATAAGCCTTTGTTACTTTGCGTCCTGTGACAGATTGTATTAAACTACAGATCATGTTTGGGTTTTTTTAAATACAAGATCTGTATTCCCAAACTTTGTGCCGCGCTATGTTTCCCTGGTGCTATGAACAGTGTTGGATCCCCCCTTTCCAAGAAAACCTTGCCTCACTCTGAGATCTTCATCAGCCCGCTAGCACTAAAATGCTGTATTCGGGAGGGGGAGAGGACCCGGGAGAGCTCTAACATGCAGCTCCTCTGGGTTCGCCTCTTGCGAGTGTGGAACGTTGCTGCTGTTAACATGGCAACGCGCAGTATCTTAGGAGAGTGAACTCTAGCCTGAGGAACTGGTAGAATTCACTTAGACCACCAGGGTTTAGTACCTTCGCCCTCCCAGGCAAAGGTAAGAAAGGAGGGGCAATATGAATTTTATTTTTTAAATAAAGTATACATATATTTATTAATCTGCCCTCCTACCGCCATAGACCCACAATTATTCTCCCACACACACGTACAGTACTGCCACTATAACCTACTCCAGCCACATATCCCGGTAGACCCTAGGTAGGTTGTCAAACTTTTCTTCAACAGTTTCAGTTCTTACCACAGCAGTGTAGTGACACAATAACCACTACAGAGTGCTGTAGTTGTTATTGTGCCTTGATTGTTACTTTAATCTACCAGTGCCTCTCTCAAGATTAGGTTCTGGATCCACCCCTGACCGCGAAACCTATCTGCTGAGCACAGGCCTTGTATATGCTGCAGCGCTGTACATATATTCAACCTAGAAATTTGTTTAGACTTGGGGCGCATTCGAAAAATATTGAAATATTAAGGGTGCCTTGAACCTAAAAACTTTGGGAACCACTGCTGTAATCAATGATCTGTTAGAACACAGTGGAGGCACTGTTTAGAGTGATGAGCGACACCACAGTAGAGGTGGTGCTCTGCCACACTCTTCAACCTTAAAAATATAGTTGAGCTCCAGATGGTCTTGGGATTCTTCATTATTCAAAGAAACACTATAGTTTTCGGAATACAGACTGATGGAGTAGCAGTTTAGGTTTCCCTGCCACCCGGGTTTGATAAAAGAGTTGGCAGGGGGAATTTGGACGTGATGGCTAAAAATGTTAACAGAGAGAAGCAGCTATTGGTAAAATATAAAGGGAATGAAGAGGTAATTGAGCAAGACTCTCAAACAGCTGGAGGAGCATGCTATATATTTAGGAGGAACCTGGGTGGGTGGGTAGTGCTGAGAAAAAGAAAAAAAAGGTAGAGCTTCAGTATTGTTGGTTCTGGGAGTGTGAGGTGATGCCTGAACAAGGAGATTGAACAGTCATATGAAGGTATTTACACCAAGGAAGAGCAAAGGAAAGAGGTGGAGGTTAGAGTAAACATGTGTTGTATACAATTGAAAAGTTTGCCAACCGAATTCTAACACCCAAAATATGTTTAATAACTGTGTACATTAAATATTTGTCAAACATTAAATGACAATAACTGCATTCACAGAAAAGTACAGTGGCAAACTACATGTATAAATGGTAACTATGCTATAGTAACACATGATAATATAGTAAAGTAAGAATAAATGAGATGGAGTATCTTCCAAGCTTCACTCAGTACCTGGAGGTTGTGGGAGCTGCTGCTAGATGTAAAATCCAGAACCAGAACCAACAATACTGAAGCTCTGCGAGTGTGAGGTGAGGCCTAGAGGTTGTGGAAGCTGCTGCTAGATGTAAAATGCAGAACTTCAGTATTGTGGGTTCTGGGAGTGTGAGGTGAGGCCTAGAGGTTGTGGGAGCTGCTGCTAGATGTAAAATGCAGAACTTCAGTATTGGTTCTGGGAGTGTGAGGTGAGGCCTAGAGGTTGTGGGAGCTGCTGCTAGATGTAAAATGCAGAACTTCAGTATTGTTGGTTCTGGGAGTGTGAGGTGAGGTGCATCTCTGTGCGGAATGCTGCACTCAATGCAGCACTGTAATAAAAAGCAATATTAGTGGCTGTCTGAGTGACTGCCACTAGAGGTGTTACTAGGTACCAATGTAAGCATGGTCTTTTCTTAGAAAACAAGGTGCTTACATTAAAAAGCCTGCTGTAGACACCAGAACCACTACATTAAGTTGTAGTGGTTATGGTGACACTGGGATCAGTTTAAATACAGGAATTTACATTTAATTCAGGATAAATTGGTGAATGGGAGTACTGAGTGAGATGAGCTGCTGATTTAAAGATGCTCCTCTGCTTATACATTTATATTTATATTGATTCGCATGAAAAGTATTTGTAGCAGTAATTAAAAAATATGTGTGTATATGTAAATGTTGTACCCTAGCCTAATGCATTAAACAATGCAGCTTTTCAAGCAACCAGGTTTCCATAGGGTTACGCAGTAGTGAGACCCTTAGAACTTAGGACTTCTGCCTGCGCAAACCTGTCTCACTTCTCAGCCATCTTTCATAGCAAGCATTACTTGACTTTTCCCAAATACAATACCAATTTTGTGTTGTTGAAACCTTTGACCTGTCTGGCATGGGAATTTGTTTCAAGAATAATTGTGGGTTATTATAGCTGTTCATGCTTTGTGAATGGTGTTCACGGTCTTATGATCCTTTTTTTATTTTTTATTTTATTTCAGGTGCCTGCCAAGGGCAACGGTATTCAGTCTAGAATTCCACCTCGTTTTGCCAAAAAACAGAATGGCATGTGCCTGGATCAGACTGATGTGGGTGGCAAAGAAATTTGGGAGAACAGCAACCAAGGTTAGCATCACATCATATTCTATAAATCTTTAAATTCTCAAAATATAATACACCTTGTTTGCCATCTTGATTTGAGTAGAGTGCCAGCACAGACATTAGGATGTCTTAAAGTGTGTGTATATTAATGTGTATGAATACGTTATCTTATACTAACCCACATGGCCATCAGCACATTGGTTAGAATGTCTTGCCATGTGACTCCTGTATTTGTATTTTTATATTCATTGTTTTCTCCCTGCCCAGCTATGGCTGTACAGTCCGGCGGTGATACTTGGAGCAAGCCGGTGAGTGCATTTAGCACAGAGTCCAGTTCTACAGAGGTAAATTGAGTTACTTATTGTTCTTTGGTTTGTTGGTAGGTCAAGCATGGCTTTCATATGCTGATAATGTTCCTTACAGGGTTTTCTGTACTAATGATCACTAATCTGCAGAGCCCAGTCTCCATAATGTTCCAATTGATCCTTCTGAACGTTCAATATACTCACTAAAAGGGTTTCTGAGGAGATGCCTTTCCTGAGAGACTGGAGTTAATGCACTTTAAATGTCAAAAGGATTTTCTACAACTGTCTATTTTGACAAAGACTAGTAAATGGCGTTATCTCCTGTAAACTACTGCCTATTTTTAACCATTATGAGTGTAGTGACCAATTTAGCTACGTTCCTGAGGGCTATCTCCCTGACTGCACCATATGCATTTAAAAAAAAAAATCAGTTTGTTAAACAAATCACTCTCATTTCTTTTGATTTTTCTTCTCAATATTGTGCATTACCACCTCTTTATCTTCTATTGAATGCTTTGTGCTTCTTGTTTGCTTTACCATTCTCCTACTTGCACACACTCCTGCTCTACCTCAGCTACATTGTTGCTCTCTATCAATGAATCCCCTCATGAACCACCCTGAATAATAATTTAAAATGGTCACAGTTTGAGTATGGCTGATTTAAAAGGGTATGAATTTGGCTAGTTTGGTTCTCTGCTTCCTTGTGTCCTTTCAGCTTAATTATTCTATAAAACCTCTTAAAAGGTTGCTATGTATATATAACATCTCTGCCTTGCGTATTTGTGGATGTTGAGTGTTTTCTTGGGGGACTGATTTCTGCTTGGTTCTTGTGGTATGCTGTCATTTTTGATTCGTGCTTTGCTTGGCCTGTTAGGGCTTTAAAGCCAGTCAAGGGGACAGCGGCATCGACCTAAGTGCGGAGTCTCGGGAATCATCTGCCACTTCCTCACAGCGTAGCTCCCCGTATGGCACCATGAAACCTGAAGAGATGAATGGCACAGGCATGGTGGAGGCAAAAGGAGATTGCCCAAAGGAACAAGGGCAGAAACAGTCAGACAAAAAGGTGTGACATGCATTCCTTGACTTGGTGTAAAACTGGACCTGTGTGTCCACGTTCGGATAATAGTGAAACTCTGGTGCACCAGCTGTTCTGACGGTTTATTGCACGATACTGAGCAAACTCCTACTGTCAGAGGGAACTTCATTGGCATTAGCTTCAATGTCATAGTTTATCCCATACCAGGGTTTTTTAAATAGATTTTTCTCTTCTTTAATGGAGGCACCAGCTATAACTGGGTAACAAGGCCCAGTTGGCTCACTAGCTTGATCACTGACATGTTTGCTGTAATCTACCCTTCTTTAATGTGTGTGTTTAGAACTCTGGGTTTCTGTATTTTAGGTTTTGTTAATGTCCTTGATCCTTATGGTAAAACTGTATATCCCTGTTTTTCATTGAAGGAAAATGAAACTGCCTCTGGTCTAAATAAAGAACACAAGCCAGGTCCGATTGGCAATGAGCGTTCCCTAAAGAACAGAAAGGGGTCAGAAGGGACAGAACGTTTAAATGGAGGAACACCACCTTCCAATGGGGTAGAAATCCACGTGGATCCAGTTCTTGCTGTGACGCCCATTGAATTTGGTGTCAGCTCAAAAGTGAGGATTTTATTTTTATTGTTTCTATGTGTTGGTTGACATTTGTAACTTGCATATTTGTTTTTTCAATGTTTTTGTTTACCCCTCAGCTATATGGATTTTAGTTTCGCTCTGCCTCCTCTAGTGTCATTTGATCCGGGGGAGGTGGGGGGGCTGAAGTGGTCTTACTGCGTATAGTGTCCCTTTAACATTAAACAGCTACTACCGTTTGCTATGCTCTACTGATTAACATTTATACAGATACGGTATAGGACTCTTTGGCTTGTGCCATAATTATGTCTGATATGGAAATCCCTGGGTTTCTTCCCTGAACCAGAAATTGTGTAAAATACACAGGATTGAAAATAGTAGGCCAAAATACCCAAAGTCAAGAAAAATTCTGCAAGTCTGTTTTCCAATTTGACTATTATGGCCTAGAATGTGTATTTTCCATTAAATTTTGCAATTGCGTTGTCAGCACTTGAAAATGGCTGGTTCGGTGCATTAACCTTCTGCTTCTTAATGCAACACCAGTTAAAAGTAAAATGTCAAATGTAAGTTAATGGTACGTTGAGGTCTAAAATGACTTTCCGTACGTAGATACATAGTTTACATAAGACTATGGTGTCTGCTTGTAGTAATTAACACTTTGTCCCTTGCATGAGAACTTTCAATCTTTTTACTGTTTGTTTAAAGTATTGTTAAACCACTGAATATTTTTTGTTATGCAAACACAAAGCTCTGGTGATATGTTTGACAGTCAAATGAAAAAACTTGAGGCACTTTTTGATCATGTTGTGTGTTTTACTTTACTGTCCACAGGATGCAGATTATTCCTTACCCCCTGCAGCAGCCCCAGGATCTGCAGCTAACACAGTCACAAAGCTTCAAGATTCTTTGGTGGGGAAGGTACGTTAAAAGTAACTATACATTTCCATTTTTTACCTACAAGATCCATGTTCTGTTCAGTGGTTGAATTAGCCTTCCGAAGCGTTGCAGCTCATCTATTTAAAAGCTGGTTTACATAGCCCGTTTTCAATGGATGACGAAGGACTGTGAAACTTGTAAATTTATAGGTATAAGGGGAAATTGGTGTGTGTGTTTTTTTTTTTTTTGTTTTTTTTTTGTATATATTTATTTATTTCTCACCCCTTTGATAGTGTTTTGCTTCGAACAACATGAGTAGACTGAACCAGCAATACAGAACTGGATTTCTGTTCCCTTGTAAAGCTGTGAAACGTCATAGAGAAATGTTTAAATCCCTTTTCTTATGGTTTTGTCCTTTCTCCCAATAGGCTGGATTAACACAGTCCATACAAATGCTAAGAAGAGATCATGCCTTACAGCAGGGGATTGGTTTAAACACCATATCCTCATACTCTTCTGCTGACTTCACACTAAAGGTAAAGGCACTACTTTTACTAACTCAATACACTTGGCATGGCATAAAGCACCAAACTAACACCAAGTTCTAACTGAACTGCCACAGGTTGTAACTTATTGGGAATATTAGGTTACTGCACAAAATAATGGGCAGATGAGATTTAGCCTGCCTCAGCAAGTTTGCATTTTGCTCTGTGGTCTCTATGATGTTCCAATAGATCCTACTGACCCTTCACTATGTACTCAGAAGGAAAATGTGGAGAAAATGTAACTGAGAGACCATTTCTCCAGGAGTGTAGACCCTTGGCTAATGCAGATCAGGATGCATTGACCGCTGTTTTTGGTGTCAAATTTTTGTAAGTAATTGTAAAATAATTTTCATGAGCTGGACTCTCCACAAAGCCGCATCTCGGGGTAAATATAACGCATAGCCTTGGTTTGGAGCATTCACCTTAGAAACCAAATGTTTGATATAGGTTTCTCTCGTTTTGTAGTAATAGATTGCCCATAATGAGTGGAAAGGACAGTCAATTATCTTCATCCTTGCATTAACATAGTGTATATGGGTTGATCATTGATGTAGTTGTAATTATTTTATATAACCTTTTTTGCTTTTTAATTTTTTTATTTAACCCCTTAAGGACACATGACGTGTGACATGTCATGATTCCCTTTATTCTAGAAGTTTGGTCCTTAAGGGCTTAAGTATGCTAGTCTTTAATGGAAAAGGCCCTTGTCACTTCTTCCCAGTTAATGCCTTTTGTGAATAAACTCTGTTATTGCGTTCCATTTTGATTGGTACAAGCAGCTGAATAGTTTTTAGTAAGGCAGTGGTAATGCCCCAGTTTTGGAAATAACTTTCTTTGTTAGATATGGTTTCCACTCCCTGTCTTTGTTTTTCACATAGATGGAGTCTGCACGCAAGGCATGGGAAAACTCGCCCAATTTGCCAGACCAGAACTCTCCGGTTGGCTCTGGCTCTGGAATACAGCCTCCTTCCAGTGTGGGGGCTTCCTCTGGCGTTAGTTACAGCTCCTTCGGTGGGGTGTCCATGCCACCCATGCCCATTGCTTCTGTGGCCCCTTCTGCCTCTATTCCAGGTAATGTACTATTATCTCTTGTACTCTACCACTGCAGGTATTCTATACTAAAGCTTCTACCCCCATGCTTCCAGGCAGGAAAGAAACAAGTTACATTTCTAAAGAAAGGACTTTACTTCTTACTGCAATTTAAGCAGTGTTTTCCTGCTTCAACTCGACTAAAAAGCAGGCTTTCCTTTTGAAGAATCCTTTCAATCCTGGCATCCTACCAATGTGTTGCTTCCTAAATCTCAAAATAGATATAATTGAGCAATTTGCACACTCGATCTGGCCTGTTGTATACTCTTAACAGGGTTTGATATTGAAACATTTTGTCTTGGCCATACAGTTTAGGTGGTATATTAATACTCAGAGAATTGACTGTCAAGTGCAGAGTTTAAATTAAAATTGCAAAACAGAAGGGAAAATTGTTTTAGATTTTCTCACATATTTTGCACTTTGTTTTTAATTTCCTCTTTACTGGAAAGACAATTACATTATAAACTACACTCTTGCACTGAAATGTTTAGAGGTGTCAAGAACACCAGTCTTTCTCATGGTTACACAGCGATTACGTGACATGCTCAATATGCATTAACAATTTTTCTTTCCCCCTCTTTTTCTGAATTCTACCCATTTTTTCTTTTGCAGGTAACCACATGACTCCCTTGTATCTAGATGGTCATGTGTTTGCAAGTCAGCCCCGTCTGGTACAGCAGACAATACCTCAGCAACAAGGATACCAGCAGGTACGCGTTTGCACACACATGCTTCTTCCATCTCCTATTTGCAGCAGGCTCCTTACCAAGGCCACCTCCATACTCAGCAGTGCCTTAAGTTGAAGTTTTTGAGATATGAGAGTGGAAATGTATTGGTTTACATGTTTTATTTTTTTTAACCCCCTAAGGACACATGACATGTGTGACATGTCATGATTCACTTTTATTCCAGGAGTTTGGTGCTTAAGGGGTTAAAGTGACTGCCCAAGAATGCTGGTTCCACCAAGGAAATCATACAATACAAAAGCTGGCCTTGGCTGATTACTGGCTGAGAGATAGGCATTAACGTTTGCCATTTCCATTTCTTGGTCTCTGTGATGTTCCAATAGATCCTGCTGACCCTTCACTATGTACTCAGAAGGGAAATGGGGAGACAATCTAACCGAGAGACCATAATTTCTCAAAGTGTAGATAGCTTTGTTGATTGTTGACTAATACAATGCTTCCGCTGTTTTCAGTTTTATATTTTTTTAGGTAATAAAAAAATTTAGAAAAAATACCCACTGCATAAATGGCAGTCATCTCACATTTCACTAGAAATCCTTAATCACTTGCTGCAGTATTATAATTGTGATGTTTTACTGTCTCACTAATACCATAACTAAAGTAAAATAGAATAATGGCTAATGTGCCCAAAGAAGGCTAATGCTGTTAGTTCACCAATTGTGTTCTCTCTTAACAGGCGGCAGCAGCCCAGCAGATCCCAATTTCTTTACACACATCCCTCCAGGCGCAGGCCCAGCTAAGTTTGAGGGGAGGACTTCCTGTTTCACAGTCACAAGAAATGTACAGCTCCATGCAGCCTTTTAGGTAGCCTAAAAGGTTTCCCTTGTATGATTAATTTGTTGTAGTGTGTGATCTTCTTATTAGAGGTTGCTGACTGACATTTAACTTGTGCCTGTAGGTCCCAGATGTACGTACACCCAAGCCTCTCACAGCCCAATGCCATGGTACTCGCCAGTGGCACTGGTCTCAAGCCTCCGTACTCCCCGTTTCCTGGCATGCAACCCCTGGAGATGGTAAAGACACAAGCTGGCTCATACCAGACTATGAATGGAAGCCAGCAGCTTGTTTACGAAAGCCAGCTGAACCAGTCTGCAGGAATGGGAGCTTCTCAGATGATGGACTCTCAACTGACACAGGTGACTTCTGGATTCATAAGAGACTTTTGGACTGTTATCTGACGCTGGACGTCCTCACGGACCTCCAGTGTCAGATTTTCCCCCATAGGAAAGCTTTGAATAATGCTTTCCTATGGGGAGGTCTTATGCGCGTGCACCCATAGGCGCGCATGCGCATTAGGTCACTGATGTTGGCGGGGGATTAGAGCGGGCGGAGCCTGAACCAGCGCAGAGGGACATCTGCACTGGATTCAGGTAAGTAGCTGAAGCCTTTTAGCGATGTGGCATGGGGGGGCGGGAGTCAGGGGGACATTCCAGGATTCTCTATTGCCAAGAAAACGGGTTTATTTTCCTGGCACTGGAGAATCCCTTTATTATAGTTAACTCTCATTAATTTTTATTTTATTTTTTTTTGTTCAGAAAGGATTTTTGTTGAATGTTGATGTGTTGTAATATATGTTGACTAGTAGTAAATATATGTGGGATCTTTATGCAAGACCTAATTTGGCATTAAAGTTGCATAAGTTACCCTTTGTGGTCTTTAACAGAATGTAAGTGTAATATGATGTGATATGATTTAAAGTATTTAAAAAAATTTTTTTTTTCTTGTTTTCAGTTAACCATGCCAATGTCTGGTGCACAGCTTCAAATGCCACGTTACAGTTCCGGCCAACAAGCCATGCTTCTGCCACAATCCATTCAGCTTTCCCAAGGGCAAAATCTGCCAGTTGGGGCACCTCGGAGAATGCAACCCTCAGTCTTAACCACAAACAGAGAGGTACTTGATCACTGCTAACTATTGCATAGTATTCTAAATTAGATTTTTGTACTAGGATTTGATCTGGATTACATATTTGTTGGTATATAAACATGTATCACATGTATTTGTGTGTGCATTTCACTGTAACGGCTCTGCCTGTGCCTTTACAGAAGGTTTTTGTGTATATATATATATATATATATATATATATAGTTAAAGTGTGGGAGAATGAGGTATAAGTTCAGTAGGGCTGAAAGAGCAGGGCATGACACGGGATAATGTAGTAAGAAGACTAGAACTAGCTCTTAACCATCAAGTATGGTAAAAAAAAATTATTAAAACGTAACTTTTAATATTGTATTTGACAAAAGGGGTATATTTGGTATTTCCACTAGATGGAGACAAAACTTAACCATCTATTCACAATATATACAGTGTTGAAAAAGGAAAAGAACAAAAATCAAAGTGTGCATGTATATATTTACTCTGGGATGTGTATAGATATAGTAGCAAGCTGTGCTCAATGAAAATGCAGTGGTCTATAGCGAATCAAATAAACGATCTGTAACCGTTTATCACCAGAATGCAACATGGTATGATAACACCATGTTAACTATTCAGTGCCATGTGCCCTTGAATGAACAGACTAGCATATCTTTGAAGCAGAATTATTTTCCTGCCATTTTTGACTTGCTACTGTATTTTGGAATAGTGATAATTATCGGCAGTCCTATTCAGTGACCGTGAATCCAGCGTAGGTGCCCTTGAAGGCACAGATCAAGCATCTGTATATACTCGCATGCCGATATTTTCACCATTACCATTATCCACATTGTTTACTCTACACCAACAGTACTTTCTAGGACTTCACCTCTCACTGTATAAGTAGCCACTGTACTTTGCTTGAATTCCCATATTGCTGAGGGTTCCCCCCAGCACTGAATAGTTAACATGTTATCATACCATGTTGCTTTCTGGAGATAAACTGTTGCAGATCCTACAGGGAGTGCAGAATTATTAGGCAAATGAGTATTTTGACCACATCATCCTCTTTATGCATGTTGTCTTACTCCAAGCTGTATAGGCTCGAAAGCCTACTACCAATTAAGCATATTAGGTGATGTGCATCTCTGTAATGAGAAGGGGTGTGGTCTAATGACATCAACACCCTATATCAGGTGTGCATAATTATTAGGCAACTTCCTTTCCTTTGGCAAAATGGGTCAAAAGAAGGACTTGACAGGCTCAGAAAAGTCAAAAATAGTGAGATATCTTGCAGAGGGATGCAGCACTCTTAAAATTGCAAAGCTTCTGAAGCGTGATCATCGAACAATCAAGCGTTTCATTCAAAATAGTCAACAGGGTCGCAAGAAGCGTGTGGAAAAACCAAGGCGCAAAATAACTGCCCATGAACTGAGAAAAGTCAAGCGTGCAGCTGCCACGATGCCACTTGCCACCAGTTTGGCCATATTTCAGAGCTGCAACATCACTGGAGTGCCCAAAAGCACAAGGTGTGCAATACTCAGAGACATGGCCAAGGTAAGAAAGGCTGAAAGATGACCACCACTGAACAAGACACACAAGCTGAAACGTCAAGACTGGGCCAAGAAATATCTCAAGACTGATTTTTCTAAGGTTTTATGGACTGATGAAATGAGAGTGAGTCTTGATGGGCCAGATGGATGGGCCCGTGGCTGGATTGGTAAAGGGCAGAGAGCTCCAGTCCGACTCAGACGCCAGCAAGGTGGAGGTGGAGTACTGGTTTGGGCTGGTATCATCAAAGATGAGCTTGTGGGGCCTTTTCGGGTTGAGGATGGAGTCAAGCTCAACTCCCAGTCCTACTGCCAGTTCCTGGAAGACACCTTCTTCAAGCAGTGGTACAGGAAGAAGTCTGCATCCTTCAAGAAAACATGATTTTCATGCAGGACAATGCTCCATCACACGCGTCCAAGTACTCCACAGCGTGGCTGGCAAGAAAGGGTATAAAAGAAGAAAATCTAATGACATGGCCTCCTTTTTCACCTGATCTGAACCCCATTGAGAACCTGTGGTCCATCATCAAATGTGAGATTTACAAGGAGGGAAAACAGTACACCTCTCTGAACAGTGTCTGGGAGGCTGTGGTTGCTGCTGCACGCAATGTTGATGGTGAACAGATCAAAACACTGACAGAATCCATGGATGGCAGGCTTTTGAGTGTCCTTGCAAAGAAAGGTGGCTATATTGGTCACTGATTTGTTTTTGTTTTGTTTTTGAATGTCAGAAATGTATATTTGTGAATGTTGAGATGTTATATTGGTTTCACTGGTAATAATAAATAATTGAAATGGGTATATATTTGTTTTTTGTTAAGTTGCCTAATAATTATGCACAGTAATAGTCACCTGCACACACAGATATCCCCCTAACATAGCTATAACTAAAAACAAACTAAAAACTACTTCCAAAAATATTCAGCTTTGATATTAATGAGTTTTTTGGGTTCATTGAGAACATGGTTGTTGTTCAATAATAAAATTAATCCTCAAAAATACAACTTGCCTAATAATTCTGCACTCCCTGTATTTTTTTATTCTCTATAGAACACTGAATTTTCATTGAGCACAGCTTGCTACTATATTTCTATACACATACCAGAGTAAACTCTTATTTATAAAAATTAATTTATTTATAAAAATTAAATATATATATATATATAATTTAGATTTTTGTTCTTTCCCCTTTTCAACACTGTATATATTGTGAATAGATCACTAAGTATCTTTTTCTTTAATGCTATTTCTTAGCATGGTTAAGTTTTGTCTCTAAGTGGAAATAACAAATATTGTCTCCATATATCCCCCTTTTGTCTAATACAATATTAAAAGTTACGTTTTAATTATTTTCTAACCATACTTCAGGGTTAAGAGCTAGTTCTCTTCTTCTTACTATTTTTTTTATATTGAAAGCTAACTTTATTTTCTGTAAAAAGAAAAAAAAAATATTGAGATCCACATGTAAAGGTTTGATATATCTGTATTTCTCTCTATTTCTCAGTCCTCCCAAATGGAAATGAAAGGTTATCATTTCACGGATGGTAAACAAAACATGCCCTCGACCAACATGCAAGCACAGCATTCCTATCGGTAAGCGCACTTCACACATGACTTCCTTTTCCATGTGCATGTTACTAAGCCGAGAGACAATTCGTGGCGCCCCTTGGAATGAAAATCACAAACTACGACAAAGCTCTATGTATTCAAACGTCTGTTTATCTTTTTAGTTTGTCGGTTTCATTTTGCAGAAGCAAGTTACTATTTCCATGCAATAATATATTGTTTTACAATGGAAGGATTTGTGTAAAGGTGCTGCAGCAAATTGTGTAGAAGACTATGCTTTTCTATATGATTGATACCAGTTTGTCAATGTAGCATAATGTAACTTTTTGTCAAGGTTTGTCTTTAACCTGTTTGTTTTTTTTATTTTTTTTTTATTTTATTTTTTTATAATCTGGACACTGCTAGTTTCACTTATCTCAGGGCAAATGGCTACAGCTCTTCACCTGTAATTCACATGTTCTCTAATTCAGCCAAGATTATTGAAGTTCTTGGTTATGGAGGTCCATGAAAATCTAGTGGTGCAGGTTGATACCTGACTAGTGTACCGTTCATTAATAGTGCAGTATAACTGTGCTTTCCTCTTCTTCCTTATCAGCAGAGATATAAATATAAAATGAATAACCATTTAATTTGCCATCAAAACTTGATGTCCCCTGCCATCACACCTTTGGATTGATTTCTCAGATTAGAAAGATAAGCTAAAACCAATCCAGTTGATTAGTTTGAGCGGTCTTGTTTTTGTGACCGGATTTCTTTAATGTTTTATAAATACGCTTACATTGGGACAATAGTACTCATAGGTCCATAAACTCATTATGAAGCTTTTGAAAGTAAGCCCGGAAAATATACAGTGAGGTGGAGTTGGCATTTTTTCCCCTCATCTTTTTAATTTTCTTTTTTAATTTTAATTGTAATTGTAAACAGACTAAGGTCAAACTGTGCATTTTGACTAAAGCAAAGTGGTTACTCTAGCCAAGGTTATGAGAGCTATAGTTCATCCACAAGGTGAGCAAATCAGTATATTTGCCGTTGTACACAGCTACATGTGTATTTTTCAGCCCTTTATATTGCCTATCAGGAAGTTCCTGTAAAGAAGCAATGAGACTAAATCTCTTATTGGCAAGAAACAAGACCATATGAAGTGTGGCATTGCACTCTCTGGTATATTCTGTCTGTGCATAAACCTACCTTATAAGGCAAAGCCCAATGATTTATGCTGTTGGAAAAGTGTATAGTCCGTATGGAATAGCTGCGAAATATTAGCAGAGGAAAGTATCAAAACCTCAAACACAAAAAAGCATGGCAAAACGTTTAACACTTTACCTGGAGCAGTGGTAGGCAACTTTCGGCAATACAGATATTGTTAAAGGGACACTATTGTCACCAGAACTACAGCTTATTGTAGTTGTTCTGGTGTCTATAGCCTTCCACTGCAGGCTTTTTGCTGCCTTTTCAGATTCTCTTATGAATCTTGGTTATGTTTAAGATAGTGGAATAATTTACAAGATTTTTTTTTTGGCACGATTTGAATCCCAACTAAATTGAAACTTTCAAAGAGTTAAGAGAAGCTTAGCTTGAAAAATTCACATCCGTTTTCGGCTTGGCTATTTTGGTCTGATTGTGTTTAATGTATGCAAGCACGCATTTGTTGCTTAGTGACTAGCCTGGTTAAACACAGCATGACAGTGTGTTCAGCTAGACACTCCGGTATCTGATTTTTAAGACCAGAATTGTCAACCTACAAGGAACCTCTCCCATATATCTGGTGCACTCCATTGGCATAAATGGTAAAAAATTACTGAAGTAGTTTGATCAATATTTTAACTGCCCCGTAAGCACTGCTCTGTGGCCTTGTCAGTTTGATTTTGTGCTTTGCCTGTTCTGAAACAGTTGCCTTTCATTTTAAGGCCCAGTTCAGCTAGTCCCAGTGGAAAATCACCTGGACCGGGGCCATCTGCCAACTTGGGGTCTGTGCAAGGACACTATCCTCAACAGGTAAAGAAATAATCCTGTGACAAAAAGCCTGTTTTTGACAGTCTTTATTTTACAGACTTAGACCATCTCAGACTGACATAATCACCCATTGCTGCAGTGTATTTAGGGATTATTGTAAATAGAAGCATTGCCTAAATTGGTGGTATCACATGGTAACAAAGAATTAAACAAGTGGCATCCCTGTGTTAAAAAAGGCCTATCCTAATAACCTCTCACAGAATAGTTACCATTGTGTGCACGGTCAGTTTTTGGGTGATGCATGTAGGAACTGAATGGTGGCTAGATTTTTATTTTTTTATTTTTTTTCATCTGTTAGATCCATCTTGACGTTGCCCCCCCCAAAAAAAAAAAAAAAAAAATATTTTGATGTCTATAATATATGCAAGCAAAGCATTAAGCTCCATAGAAAAAAAAATACATAATACATAATAACGTATTGATTAATTGCATTCTATAATAAAACATGGTCTGGATATTTGTCCAGTGGTTAAACTAGCACTGTGGTCATTCACCTGTAACTAATGGGAAAAAGTTAAATTAAGGAGACACTTAGCAGCCCATTTACTTTATTTAGTTTTTCTTAAACAATGCTTGCATCAACTTAAACATATTTGTATTCATAACAATTTAGTGTTCCTTTAAGTACAAAAAAGTTGTTAAACCCCCACAAAGGATAGAAATGTTAATTTATATTTTCTCCCATACCATGTTGCTCTCTGCAGTCTGTCTTTTTGGCTGGGGTCATCAATCTTGTTGATCTAAGCAAGTACAAGGCTTTTTCATTGGGAAGCTGGCGCATATGCTGAAAAATACTGTAGTGTGCCAATCACTTGATCTGAGACCATCTGACTTAAAGCGGCACTGTCATGGCCGAATCACAGGTTTTTTTGGGGGGGATTTTTTTTTAACCCCCCCTCCGGACTCCACTACATCTAACTGACCTCCTGGCTCCTACGTCTGTCATTGGCTGAGCTACATTTTTTTCCCTTCGAATCGGGAAATTTAGCAAAAAGAAGTGGGACTAGCTTATGCTGCTGAAAGCCACAAAACCACACATATATATAGATTTTTTATTTTTTTTTAAGGAACACTTCAAGCACCATAACCGCTTTAGCTCGGTTGAAAGAGTGCCCTGACATCCCCTCATATTGTAAGACGTCAAACTTTTTGGGGAACATTTTTCACTTACCTGGCATTCACCGTCGCTACTAACTGCAACAAGCAAATTCCTAAGGCAGTAAGTCCTGTTGGATAACTGGCTGAGAGTGATCCCTGGTTGATGACTGACCCCAAAAGAGTGGCATTACTTTGGATCTGAATAAAAATGCTCTTACCAACTTAAGTGATGCTTCCTAAATAATTACAACTTAGAAATGCAAAACTATAAGGTACTGGAAAGTGAGTGTAGAAAAGTGGGGGGAAATATTAAGAAAATTCCACATTTATAGTAAGATAATATTAGGAGTCAACACAATCTTTATATTGCTGATAAATATACATAAAACAATAAAATAACCAGTATATGTTGCAAGGATGAAAAAAACCTTTCAAAAACACAGAGGCACGAAAGTTTCTTTTCAAATGGATTTGTCCCAGCCAAATGAGCAGTTTGAATAAAGCATTCAAAAAACTGGTTCAACTCCAACTTGAAGTGTCTTGTTAATTCCTCCACAACAACTGAGACTCGTGAATAGGGTAGCTATGTTACCTTTTATAACAGAGCTTGAAACAAGAGATGCTTAGTCGCCAGCATTTGTTCTACAGTAGTTACATTTAAAGGTTGCACTGGGGTCCTTTTTTACTGGAACCTAGGTTACTAAGTAACTATCTAAATATATGGTAAAAAGGGGGATTGAGTTGCCATGGTTTACTAGTAAATGATTGTTGGTTATGAAATAAAACATTTGGTGAACCATACATAAGGCTGTTATTTTACACTGATAATTTGTTAAAATTCGATATATTATATTGAACTAAGACTCCTTTAACTAAACACACGAAATATAGATGCTCATGGATACTGAAATTTTATCTGGTGCACTTTAGATGCTTAGTCATTGGCTAGCTGCTATTGTGTTATAGTGTGAGTTGGTAGCGGTTGTGGCCTCGTCCCTCCCAATGTGTTGTAATATCACTTGCAGTCCTAGGAACAAGTAAAGGTTTTTGATTTTCCCCACTTGTGGAACTGACACATTGCTCATCTTCTGAAATATTGTTGTGTTTAGTGGATTTCATGTTAGATTGTGCCTTCTCTGGTATGGTTGTTCAGCCTTGTACAATTTTTGAAATATTCCGATTTGGTGGTTTTAATGGGTTACTTGTAATTAGTTTGTAAGAAACACTCCATTGAAAATGCATTTATTTTATTTCTATTTATTGTACAATCTATAGATAAACCACTCGAGAAAATGTGCATGTTTCCTTTGGAGTATCAAAAAAAAAAATAACTTGCAAAAGCTGCAGACTTTGCAAGTCTCCCTCTTACCCAAGCACAGACTTTTAGTATACTCCAAGCAGATCTGCTGTGGCTTTCCTGTGTTTCTGTGATACAGCTCATTGAGAAGGCAGGTGCATGTTTGCAGCACAAGAACAGTTCCCTGCCTGTTTTGACAGACAGGGTGGAGAGTATAAACTGTTAAAGAATCCAGATACATAAAGCTGTGAAGTGTTTCTTTAATGAGTAATCGCCTATGGCAATAAAACAAAACCTACCAAAACAGAACTGTAATCGTAATGCTAGGTAGAAAACAATAGGAAAACCTATAGTTAATGGTATGGTAAGAGGCACATTTTAACCCTGATTTCTAAAAGAAAAAAAAAAGTAAAACGGAGTCTTTTATATTCTTATTTAATGTATACTTCTTGTTATCTCTCCATGTGTTTGGTACACTTAAACGGTTATAGCACATAGTGTTCCTTTATCTCATTGACATGGTTATAGTGGCTGGGGTCCTTGAGGGCCATCTTTCTATTCAATGTTTAACATCGAAAGAAGACCTGGCCACTCACAATTCTGCCTAAGGCAAACCTCCAGGGTGGCAGAGATTGCATTTTAACAAATTTATACAAGCAATGGGCAGCTGTGATTGGTTGAGAGCAATTTGCTGACACTTTCAGCAAACTTCTTTCATCCATTGCTGCTTTGCTAATTGGCCTAAAGAGCACAGAGAGATAATGATAGAGTGCTGCAGACACTATAACCACTTCAGTGAAATGAAGTGGTTGGAGTGTTAAAGGGACAGTATAGACAACCAGACAACTTCATCTCATTGAAGTGGTCTGAGTGCACTGTGCCTGAGCCCTGCAAGTGAATACATTGCAAGGTTAAGGCTGTCTCGCAGACAACCTCTAAAGGTGCTTCCTGGCCTGTCATGCTTTGATTTAATGCCTTCCTATGGGGAAGGCCTAATGCTTGCCTGTGTATTAGGCCAGCCCCCACCCCCGTCACCGAGATACCTTGACGCTGGAATCAGGTAAAGGGGGAGGATGTTTTCGTTAACCCTTTATTTGCAGAGGGAGGCAGCAGAGACACTATAGTGTTAAGAATACAGTTTTGTATTCATAACACTAAAGTGTTCCTTTAATCGTATCCTGTAAATATGGGAAGAATGCACATCTGCAGTGGGGCATTCATTGCTAATTTTAATGCCTAACTGAATTTGTTTGGTCTTGTAGAATGCTAAAAAAAAAAAAAAAAATTTATTTTTTTTAAATGTCAAAATTGTGTTCACTCTTTATTTGAAAACTCACAGTGCTTTCTTACCCTTTATTAAACAGGTAAAGCAGAGGTCGGATGACAACAGAGGAAGCAGCTTGGCATCTCCAAAACTTTCCGAGCAGTCCTCAGCTGGTCAGATGAAACCCGTCCGTACAGGAACCATCAAACCTCAAATGGTGAAGGTGGAAGAAAGCAAGGCCTAGCAAGAAGTCTTTCTGTATATACCAACTTGTTCCACCTCCCACTCTTACCCATCACCCCCCTGTTCTCCTTCTCTATGACCATATCTTCCTGATCCCTAAGGAATCTTCATCAAAGAATGGCCCTATACAGTCATGAGAAAAACACAAATATTAACTGCCTGTACATTCTCTGATAACTCTGTGGCCATGACTTTGTTTGCTTCAAGCAAAACGGACTCCTGTGTTTTTCAAGGAGCACGATAGGCCTTTTACCCTTGTCCTCACCCAATCCCCTCATCATGTGGCCATGCAGTCGGTGATATGTTGGTGTCTCATGTCCCAGCCTCCATCTTGTAACTGACATAAAGCTACATAGCAACGTCATCACTTTCCTCAGTTATGATTTTAATGTACTTTTATCTGTCCCCTATTTTGTATTTTTTTTTTTAATACAGCTGTAGCTTATGACAAAAACTGCAGAGATTTTAGACAAACTTTTTTTTTTTTTTAACCCCATCGATAGCTCATTGTTTCTTTTTTTATATATTTTAAACACCCTCCCTGCCCCACTATGTATTACTTTCTTGTTCCACAGAAGTTGTCAGATCCTTAGGAGGACATTACAAGTGAGGGTTGGCATGGCCAATATTAAACACACGTGAGAGACAATTTGGCAAGGCTTTCATGGTGGGGTGTAGCTGGCATCAAATTGATCATTGTTAACCAATTTTGGTGGACCCTCTTAGGAAATGAGCAACTTACAAACTTTCTGACTGGTCTCACTGATTGGTAAAACTTCCGTGTCCACTTCTGTCCCTTCCTGTCTGGATCATTCAGTACTTGTACCCTAAACAGCTCTTACACTAACTGTCTACACATCAAACCTTGGCAAATAAACCTAAATAACTCCCCCCATTCCCTCTTCCCCCCACCCTTTTGATTTACAATCACTGTACATAGATTAGCAGCTGACAATGTCCAGAATAGAACTCTTACATGAAATTGTTTCCTCCACTTTTATATACTTGTTTGAAAATCGACCTGCAATTAAGATCTCAGAGCTGTCACAGTTTGAGCACTACGATGGTCAAAAGGGTGCTTGGTGAACCTTCAGCTGAGCAGACAAATTGCTATGTTCCAGACATTACCGTCTGCTTATGGTACACCACCCCCTTTTCTGTATAGTGGAGGAATGAGGTTTCCTAATGTATGTTTCTGGACTGTCCCCATGCATGCTAACTGGTATTTAATGGGTTCCCCTACCACTGTACTATTATTCAAAGAATGGTGAATGTTAAATCTATTAATCTCTTTGGCCTAATTGTGTAGAACAATCGACCAACTGGGGACACCATTCTAGAAAAATGTTTTATTTATAATGTTATGACTGGGAAAGGGGTTCTCGATTTTCATCTTTTAGGCAGTTAGTGCAATGGGGCCTTTTTAACCTGCCCTCTATTTTACCTTGTTGACATTCACTTCAATCAAGGAGTTGGCCTGTTTTGAAATAGGGTGATGATGTCCTTCTCAGCTCAAGTCTTCAGGTTCCAAGCTTTCATTAAATGCCCTGCCTTATTTGTAACTGGGTTATGACTGGCTCACCTGTGCTCAAGTAGAGATGTCTAGGAGTTGGTAGCACTATCCCTTGAGTAGAAGCAACCTCAAAGATGTTTCTACTTCAGTATAGAAGGGCCAATCGCTAGTCGAGCCATGTTGATGAATCTCTGTGCTCCATGTGGGATTTTATGAATGTCTGGACTTTCTCGCAGCTTTGGAGGACTAGAATTGATTATCCCTTCTACGTTATCCTGCTAATCGTTTGGTTAAATAAATTATCATACAGTAGAAGTAACAGGTTTTCTGAGTAATTGCTAGTCTCCTCGTGGCTAGGAGTTTACAAGTGGAAAAAGACTCACAAAATATTTAACTTCTATACAAACTATTCCATGAGAAATAAAAGTTTTTATTTTCTTGGGTGTTACAATGCAATTGCAATTATGTCTCTTGATTTCTAATATGTCACATTTAAGCTGTCACAACATCAGCATTATTTGGGTTGCTTAAACTGAATTGGTGGTGGCTTTGTAATTCTACGTTTTTTTTTTTGTTTGTTTGTTTGTTTGTTTGTTTGGATTTTTTTTATTTTATTTTATTTTTTTAACCCATCACAGTTGTTGGGACCTCTGGCTTACAAAGAGCAACATGTGCATTTCTCTAGAGTCACTTCGAAGCAGTTTACCGATATAATTTCTACACGACACTAATGTTAAAATCGGTTTCTAGTAAAGCATATTTGTTCTTAAAGAGATGCATGGTTCATTGCCACATTCTGATGTTATACTAGATCAAGCCTTCAGACTTTTATGGGGTCAAACGACTATAAAATAAATGCTGCCCTAGTTAAGCCATGAGGGGAGAGGGGGGAGTTGTGCATGCTATTTTTGGGAAAAGTTGTACACGATAGAATAGCAGTCTCCCCCTGCTCCCCTTTCCTCTCAAACGGTAAGGGGGATCAGTAATGTCTTAAAATAAATGGCCCGGTTATAAAGTATCACACAAGGTGTAGACATGGTGCAGATGTTCATGTGGAGATTATAGAAAATGCCTGTTTATTATAAACATGTCATGAAGACCATAAGAAGCAAATGAATGCTCACATTTAAAATAAAATGGATCTGATTTCTTGGTGATACATTTGGAAAATCGCTGTGAATTAAAGGACAATTGTCACCTCAAAAAAAGAGAAACTCGATTAAAATAGTATAAAAGGTAAGGTCTCTAGCGCATTGGTGTTTTTCTTTTATGGTTTTAATCTTTATTTTTATAATTTTTTTTAAACCATGTTTGGACCTTCCTGACTTTATTCAGAAGATCCCGGCCTTTCTATATCGTGAATAGCTTGATGACCCTTTGCTGCTATGCTTATATGCACTTGAAAAGCATAAAATACATTTGAGCTTGGAAACTCATACCACACCAGCTACCAAAACTGCTATCTACTGTAAAGACTCCCACACGCAAGATCAAGATATTCCACAGACCCATAGTCAGGGATTATACCGCGCAAGCGGGTACATTTGGAGAAAATTACTAAATAAAGTGTAAGTGCCCCGTCCCCAATATACTCCTTATTGCCTTTACTATATGATAGGATCCTTCAGTCATATACATGCACTGTGGGTCTAAAAGTGTTTGAAAACAGTCTCTATGGTCCTCTCTGCTTCAATGCTGGGAAGATCAGAGACTATCTGGTTTCAAACACTGTCCGACCCAAGGTGCATGCATATGGCTGAAGGATCCTATACTAAAAATAGGAATGGGCATTCCTCATTTTGTTTAGATATAGACTTTAAAAAATCTCTATGAAAGAACTAGATTAAAAAACGTTTCGAGCTGACAGTTGTCCTATAATATCATGGTCACTGACCAAGAAGTACAAAGGAAAATTGTCTACCCTCTTGTCTGATTTAACATTGGAAATTCTCAATTAAATTTTACAAAAATAATAAATCTAACTATGTACTTGTATTACACATTCATCCAAATTCTGATCTCAAAGTCCAACTTTATTTTAAGCATTACTTTTATTTGTATCATACATGTTTTGTAACCAGCAAAATTCCAAACTCAAGATTAATGCTGCATTTACATCGTTCATATTTTTGTCACTAACAGTTATCTTTTATATATATTTTTCTGTGTAATTCTATTGGGAGTCCTGCACACACAATGTGTGAGTTAGCAGAACACATAATTATGCGGGAAGTCCGCTGTCACTCTGTAAATAAAATTGTTACCTCTTCAAATGTCAAAAGGTTTTGATTCCCTGCGCACCCATTTTGGTATTCCAAGGTGTGAGCACCAGAAAAGAAGAAAATATAGTTACATTCTGCCTTTCTTTAGAATATGTATATTCAATGTTGTAGGGGGTCAAGATATACAAAAAAATAAATATATAAAATATTCATATTGAGAAATGTTGCAGAGAGAGGATGATCAAATGGTGGATCTCCTGCTATTGTAGATTTTAAAAACATAATGCATAAGTGTTTTTATGTATAGCGCAAGCATGCCAGGTGGAACACATTTCTGGTAATCAAAACACTTCTGTGCAAGTTGCTGCATAATGCCTAAATTCTACTTAGACATGAAATGTATTTTAATTAAGAACAGATTTTTTTTTAGGTACACCCCACTGTGCAAGTTTGTCATTGCTTTTTAGTTATACCCCCAATAAAATGCCATAATTTAATTATACTTTTTATTTTTATTTTTTTTGAGGTATATCTAAAAACAGCTTGCAAAAGCTGCAGATATCTTGGCTGCAGCCTTTGTAAGCCCTCCCCTTCTAATCCTGCCCAGTCTTTCCGTGACTGTCCAATTAGTGTTCCCAGTGCAACTCAATGAGAAGTCTTTACAAGGCAGGTGCTCTGGGCAATTGTTGCCTCTTGAACTTTAGCTCCACTGAGCTAACCAAACCAGGAAGTAAGAGGAATGGTTGTCTGACAATCATGGGGTGTAGCAAGTTTACATTCAAAAAGTCAGTATCTATTGAAATCTGCATTTTTTTGTAATATTTAAAAAATTCACACAAATCACTTCAGCAAGCTGGAGTGTCCTTTTTCAGTTATACTTGTATAATTAATGTGTTGGGGTGTCTGACAACCAGGTCTCCAAATTTCGATGAAATTGCCAAGTCATGGGGGGGGGGGCAAGAAGAGCCATTGCACTCTTGGGACACTACCATACAGGTGCGGTGGGCTGCAGCTTTACGCCATTATTATATTGATTTTTTTTTTTTTTTTTTAAACTGTGAGGTATGTTAGGGATTACCTGGGGCTGACAAGACTTCCTAGGTGTATATATATGGTGCAACTCAAG